TGAGGGCGGCTTTAAACGTGGCGCTCAGGAAGTGCCCTAGTTGCAAAGTTCAATCAATAACTTAGCAATGCAATTGTACCTTAATATAGAAAGTGCTTTTTAAATGCACTTAGAGAAATTAAATAAGATAACAGAGGTGCTTGAGCTTATGTAAAATTTTGAGAATTCCATATTATTAATATTATAAAATTTTGCATATATATAATTTTAAAAATTTTTTAGACCTACTTAAAATCATATTGAAATGCAAAATTATATATATTATTTGTTTTTCTATTCACATTTTAGTTACAAATATTTTTGGTTTTTATTGTTTAAATTATTTTTTTATTGTTATTTTTTTTTTTAATTTTACTATTTAGCCTTTTAGCCTTTAGCCTTTCTTTCCTGCATAAAATATAATTTTTAGTACAGCTCAACTATCCAAAAGATTACAAGCTCCGCAGCATATGGCAGCATAAAATCTTATAATCTTCAACTAGCTCACGCGCAACATTTACAACTTCATATTTCTTCAAGTGTACGTGTTAAAAAAAGCAAAACTTTTAGTTTTACCGTTAGTTGCTCGCATGCAATTTTATGAACGCTTCCCATTTGTTTCCTTCCTGTTGATTGAAGCTTATTTAAAGCGTTTTAAAGTGCTTAGCAAGTAGAGAGCGCAAAAAGAAGCCAAGAGAGAGAGCGGGAGCGAGAGAAAGGGAGAATGAAAGAGTGGCAGCGCGCTTGAAAGTACTTCAGTTCAAAAACCTCCAAGCATTGCGTCACAAAATTCACGCCATAGACAAAACACACACATGCAGAAATGCTGCGAGCGCTAGGACACACACACAGACACTCACACAGGGACAACAGACTTTGTGTGAAGCTTTTCATACTACCAGCGGCTCGTCAACAATCAGCCGTAAGTTTGCCTGAGTGTGAAAAAGGGAGAACAGACACATGCACACATTCATATACAAGTAGTCAGCAACCGGTTTGGTCTGCTCGGTTGTGTGTGTGCTTTTGCCAATTGTCTAGCGTCGCCTTTTGAGTGGGCTTTTGGGCGCTGCTTAGAAAGACGACACCTGGAAAACTGCAATTGCTTGTGCTGCTTCTTAATCTTGTTCTAAATATAAACGCCAAACTAAACGAAACATATGAAATGATGTAGATGTATGCAGAAAAAAAATCAATTTATGGATTTTAGTTTTTTGTTTGGCTTGAGTCAACAAAAAAATGCACGTGTTTATTTTTCTACTTCTCCATCTCCTTCTTTTTTGTTATTCTTTAGTTGAGATTTAAATTTGTCTGCTATTTAAACAGCTGCCTGCTGTGTACAATAGCGCGTGTGCAATTAATGCAATTGAGCTTAATTGCTAGCAAATGAAATGCAAAGCACTCATGAGTGAGGGAGCCGGAGAGAGAGGCAGCGGCAAGGAACACACTTAACTTACCCCGTTAGTTGAAGCTGTCGTAGCAGCACACAAAAGCGCGCTAAAATGCCAGCACATGTATTTGAGTGTGTGTGTGTGTGTGTGTAGGTGAGTGTGAGAGTGAGTTTCTATGTGTCTGTGGGTATGCGTGCGTGCGTAAGTTTTACGGGCTGTCGCGCCACTTTTTTGTGAATGTGAATGAAATTTGTTGTTTTTTTTTTTTTGTAAAAATAGCGAATTTAAATGCGCTGCTCTGCAGCAGCGTTCACACTCACATTCACAATTCAGATGTAATTCACAATTACGCGCCGCCTTTTCTTGTCTTTATTTGCTTTTTGCACAGGAACTGCAGAAACTCTTTAATTGTCCTTAAATTTGTCTATATTATCTTTTGCTGCTATTGCAAACAGTTTGTGACACACGCTGAACAGGACTACTGCAAGTCGTGTTGCCTTTGGCCATTTTATAGGACCTGCTTAGGTTCCACACAACAGCTGTTCTTGGATGCTGTGGATGCTCTCGCTCTCTATCGCTCTCGCCAATGCGCAGTTACAAACAAGAGCCGAAGAGCGACTAGCCGTTAAACTAAATTTAATTAGTCAATGATGATGCTCAAATATATTTTCATATTTATTATTTCACCTTAGCAAAATCAAAGTCCATTTCCGCGCTATCAGTAAAAAGCTCTTTATATGTTGTGCCTACAAGTATGCAAGGTTTTCGCACAGGCACAGGGTGTGTCATGTTGGGCATCTGGTTAGCTCGCACTTGTTGCTGCCTTTGCTTTAGGCCAATTTATCGCTGCCGCAGCACGATGCCATAAATTAAATCCCAGATAATCTGCGAAAATACCCAAATAACTCAAATGTTCACAGAGTAATCATTTGTTTTTCGATTCTTAAGTTGTTATAAGACGAACAATATATTTTAAACCTGTTTTTAAATATTAATAGAAATTTATTTTTGCTCGGAATGATAATTTATATTTATACTTATACTTATAATTATAATTATAATTATACTTATACTTATACTTATACTTATACTTATACTTATACTTATACTTATACTTATACTTATACTTATACTTATACTTATACTTATACTTATACTTATACTTATACTTATACTTATACTTATACTTATACTTATACTTATACTTATAATTATACTTATACTTATACTTATACTTATACTTATACTTATACTTATACTTATACTTATACTTATACTTATACTCATACTTATACTTATACTTATACTTATACTTATACTTATACTTATACTTATACTTATACTTATACTTATACTTATACTTATACTTATACTTATACTTATACTTATACTTATACTTACTTATACTTATACTTATACTTATACTTATACTTATACTTATACTTATACTTATACTTATACTTATACTTATACTTATACTTATACTTATACTTATACTTATACTTATACTTATACTTATACTTATACTTATACTTATACTTATACTTATACTTATACTTATACTTATACTTATACTTATACTTATACTTATACTTATACTTATACTTATACTTATACTTATACTTATACTTATACTTATACTTATACTTATACTTATACTTATACTTATACTTATACTTATACTTATACTTATACTTATACTTATACTTATACTTATACTTATACTTATACTTATACTTATACTTATACTTATACTTATACTTATACTTATACTTATACTTATACTTATACTTATACTTATACTTATACTTATACTTATACTTATACTTATACTTATACTTATACTTATACTTATACTTATACTTATACTTATACTTATACTTATACTTATACTTATACTTATACTTATACTTATACTTATACTTATACTTATACTTATACTTATGCATATATACATATTTGCTCTTAAAAATAATCAAAAATATTTGATTAAGATATGGTTAATATGATTAGCCACACCTTTTTGACCAAATTCTCACGCTTCGGCTGCGAAACTGAGAAAATTTGCTTTGGCTATTGAGTGATACCACCCAAAAAGAAACATAAAAAAGAAGCATCGAAAGTGGTTGTTAAATGACTTTCACCCATCAAAATTGTTGTTATTGGCTAAGCAAATTCTGTGGATCGATGTAAAGATCTAGCACAACTTTTTTTTGCATTGTTTAGTTGTTGTATTTGCTGTTTTTTGTTATAAGTCAAATTCGCGTGTCAACAGCTGCTAAAAGAATTTACAAGATGCTGTTGATAAAAATGCCAACTGTTTATGAATGCTGCTGATGCTGTTCTTTCATCTCATCTCATACGTTTCTGACCTAACTGTCTATCGAGTGCTTCTGCATTCCACGATGACTTGGCCAGGGGGATGATAATGCGTTACTTTGTCAGCCATTAGTCAGGCCTTAAGCAACGGCGTTTGTGGCATAAAAACTAGCAGAAAGCAATTCCGTATCAATACGAATAAGATAATGAAAAAGTGAGCGGAAAATATGCTCGAAAATATGACCAAATACTGAGATGCCGCAGAGTGGGTCTGAGTCGCCGTCGCAGTCGACGTCGTAGTCATCGAGTGTGTAAGGTGCAATGCGCCGAAGCTGTTGACCAACAGCACAGGCAGCGGAAGGAGCAGAGGTGAGAGCAACAGGAGAGAGAGAGACGAAAGACAGACGTTAAAAGTACATAAAAACACACGAAATAGAAGAAAAATTAAAAAAGAGACAAAAAGTGGAGAAAAAATAAACGCAGGCACAGCTCATATGTATGCTTGTATAAGTATGTGTGTGTGTGTGTGTGTGTGACGGACTGTGAATATCACCGTGACAGTCGTTGCTGCTGTTGTTGTTGTTGTTGCTGCTGCTGTCGCTATTGTTGGTCCGGCTGACAGACGTATCAAATGTCTTTCATAGGTAGTTAAACGCTTCCTATTCCGTGCATGTCGCTGCACTTGGTATTTGCATGGCTTACAGCTTGGACTCGGTATTTGGCGTAGGGCATTTCCCGACTCATTTGACCGACCCATAAACAACGCCCATTTTGAAGCAAAGCTTCTTCGACTAACTGAACTTGTGTAACTGAATACGAATGTGTTTGTGTTTATGGTTCTCTGTTATTTTTTGTTTTTGTCTTTTTTTTTTGCTTATATTTGCACTTCCCTTTTATGTCGCTTCCTTATGCCATACAAAATAAAGTTTGGTCGTGTGACCAAAAGAGTTGGACAGTCTGCAATTTAGAAGAGAGTAAAAGAGAGAGAGAGAGACAGGGAGAAGTAGTACGAGTGGTGCGTACAAGAAGTTCGCAGTGCTAAGTGGTCGATGTGTTGCCCTTGAATTGTGCTGCAAAAACTGGTTAAAGCTACCCCAAGTGGCAACCCCTTGGCCTTAAGCCTCTTTTGAGCTTCTAATCAAAAAACCAGAACAAAAATTTGCCGCTAATTTGGTTGTTTTTTTATTTGCAGCCAGCTGTTGAGCGCGCCAGCAAAGCGAAAGAGAGAGAGAGAGCGCAACAAGCAGCGACTGCGCAGCAGCAGCGACAACGTCGCCGACGACGACACAAAGCTCGACTTGACAGCGTCGACGTTGACGGCTCTCATTCGCGTTTTAACGTTTGCGCGGCGCTCACGCAACGGCTGAGCAGAGCAGAGCGGCATAAAAACAACAAATCAATGTGCGTTTTGTTATTGTTGTTATTATTATTATTATTAATCATATTATATTTAACTCAATTTGTTGTTGCTGGTGTAAAACAATAGCTTAAAACGTGTCGTGCAATAAGCAATGATAAGTGAACCTTAGCTGAAAATAAAATCGTTCAAGCGCAGCAACAGCAGCAGTCGAAACTGGTGATAAAAATAAAAAGGGCTCAGGGACAGCGAGGGAGCAAGCCCTAGACCTTAAAGCCTGTGTGCAGCTGTCTATACACATATATGTGTATGTGTATGCGAGTGTTTGTTTAGTGCATTCTCCTAGTGGGTCACTGGAGCGTGCGATATGCCAGTGTTAAACTAAAACAAGCGACTCATGCGCAAAGCAGACACAAAATAAAAAAAAGAAATGAGCGCACAAAATAAAATGACGAAAAGTGTCAACGGGGCCCAAGCAAGTGCAAAAGGGACAGGGACAGTCACACAGGCCAAGCGAAAAAAGGAGACGGGTTGCCAGTGCTGGACAAGTGTCAATGTCATGAACATTTAGCATTTAGCATTGCAATAAAATGCAACCCTGTGTTTGGGTGTGGGAAAATAAAAAACAAAACTTTAAAGCGGAAAAGAGAGTTGAAATTGCTTCCGCTGATCAATTGATTTTTTTCTACGTTTTTTGAAGAAAACAACTTTTACGTACAGCAAAAATAAAATGACTTAAGTAAGAGCAGCAGCAAAGCAGAAAGCAAAACCAATTGGCCAGCATCAGTTAACAATATTTAAGAGCCAAGTGGCAACTGAGACGCGACAAAAGACGTTACCAGCTTCCGTTAGTTCGCTTTTGGGCGCCTAAGCGGCTTCCAGCTGCAATTGTTATCGTTTCACTGGCCATTTTTTCTTCATAGAAGTAACAGCTCATCTGTGCGGACACAGAGAGAAAGAGAGAGAGAGAGAAAGGGAGATGGCGAGAGACACCAGCGTGCATATGTGTGAATCTGTTAGTAAAAGCTTTATTGATACATCTGCGTGTAATTAATATCAAAGATTTCCCTTTCACACATCACACCCATCAATCTCAAGCCACAGCATCAATCATATGCCAGTGCAAAATATTTGTTCAAATATTAATTAACCGATTGCCCGTGGCGTTGACTAACAAATACATTTACATAAACATTTACACATACATACATACAATATAAACCAACTATGTACTTAGCCGACTTGTTAACTAATTGCGCATACAGTGAAAGCTCTATTAACGAACAGCCTTAGACTATGAGTAAGAAGTCAATTTAAGTCTCTATAATTAGCACTTGCTCTTTGGACTAAACATTTTGTTTACAAAAGATCAGAATTTTGTATACAAATAACCACAGAGCGCACAAATTCCTTTTTTTGTATGTTTTATTTTTATTAATTTGTTAAAAAAGCTTATAACATGAATATCTATTTAAATTATCTCAAACTTGGCTCAAGTATTTGTACTGTTTTTTATGAAATTATTTCAAGATTTAAAAATATATATTAATATAAATTTGATTTATCTAAAATATCGGTTTTGCTTAGTAATAGAACTATAAACTCAAATAGTATGGTTGCCACGATTCAATTCATATATAATATTTGTTATATTGGGTACATAAGGAAAATATGTTCAAGGTTCAAATCCCAACAAGCTAAATTAACTGTGTGAAGTGCATTTCTGTTATGTTAAGCCATCAGTAGACTAATGCTAAAGTCCCAGGCTCAAACCCCAACCGCCAATTAGTTTGATAAAACCTGTCTAGCACTTGTAACTCTTCCGATAAAATACAGAAAAGTACATTAGATTTATCTATTCTCTTAGATCAGTTAAGTTTTAATTCCACTTAGTGAGTGTTCACTCTCCTACTCACCACTCACCTAATCTTTAGCGGTTTTAATGAATGTAAATCTTATCGAAATTTCTGTTTTCATTATCTTGCAGTTTTGCTCTGCCAGCTGTTCGCTCTGACGTGTTTTCACTGTACTGCTGTTAGCGTTTGCCGGCTTGATTAACTAATTGTTGTCTGTATATGCAAATGTTTACTGTACAGGTACTAATACATAGTAGCTCTTGATATCCGTCTGGCCCCTTTTTGCTTTGCTGTTGACCCAATTGCATTTCGAATCGCTGTCATTGTTTAATTAATTATCAAATTAGTTACTGTAACCGCTTAAAGCGACATGCAATGCGAAACAATTGTGTGAATGTTGCACAAATCTCGCAAGTCTAGATATAGTCAACACGTAACCAACAGCAGTAGCAGCAGCAGTAGCAGCAGCAGTTGCCATTGAGCAATGTGCAACAGATCTGATTTTTTTAATCAATTTCTAGTACAAAAGGTAGCCTTGCTTTATATAACTAATCCTCTTTGAATAAATCCAAAAGACAAGCGTGAATGAAAGCCGTGTGTAGCCGACGCTTGAATACCTTTACCCAAATTACTTAAAATCAATAGATAGTTATAGCTCAATAGATCTATAATCCTAACATTTGTGTACAAATTCCATTCCATACGCTAAGCTTTCTGCTGCCTGACGCTCAAATACCCTCACCAACAAATTTTTACATTGAGTCAGCAAGCTGCTGACTTGGCAGAAATGCATAAAAGGCTTTTATACAAAGTATACACATATAGTCGAAAACTAAATACCCTTACCTACAATTTGCAACTGATTCTATAGTAAACTAAATATATCTTAGCAGATCTGCGCTAGCTATACGCGAAATTTACATAATAGTTCCATTACAAATCTATAATATAAAATAGCTGACTCTTACTTAAAGCCCTACTATGTGCATAACTCAGTAGATCTAAAATATTCAGACCTATTTTACCTGCTGCAACTTTGCATACATTATGCACTTATGTAATCCGTCTCTCTCACTCTACCTTCCGCTTTGTTAGGGTATTCCTAAACTGAGTAAATGCATTTTTAATCATGCACACAAAATTGCATTTTATTTTTTTACCTTTATTTCTTTTTGTTGTCCGCCCAAAATGCCCATTCACAAGCAAAGCTGTTGTTTTCACCTGGCCGACAGGTATACATACATGGAATTTCGTATTGCTGCTGCTGTTGGTGTTGTTGTTATTGCTGCCACAGTATTTGCCCAGCGGCCAGTGTGCAAGCGACGCAGCCAAAAAACTGGACAAGTGAACTTAAGCATTAGAAATGTTGGAGACAACAACAACTGAGTTAGAAAAACAATCAACAAGTGCGTCTGTCTGTCTCTCTGTCCATTTGTCTCTCTGCCTCTTAGTCTGTCTTGTCCCGTTGTCTGGAAATGCGATACAAAAATCTTCGTCTTGTTTTGTTCGCATCTCGCGCTCGTTTAATGCTTCGTCAGTCACAGATACAGCTACAAAGTGTATCTGCAACTGGCCAACACAATCATCATCATCATCATCATCATCATCATCATTTTCATCATCATCATCATCATCATAATCATCATCATCATCATCATCATCATCATCATCATCATCATTATCATCATTATCATCATCATCATCATCATCATCATCTTTGTCATCATCAGTCTCGAGTTGGAGTCTCTGGCATTTCATGTCATTCATTTAACTGCCTCAACTATTCTACAGCAGCTGCGAGGCGAGCTCTAAAAATTGTTGCCCCTTGGCAAAAAACAAAATTGTTTAAAATACATAGTTAAGCAATTAAAGTTTAATTAGTGAAAATTTGCTTTAAACATTATGAACTGAATTTCCATGTTCAAAAATATTTTTAATTATTCGAATATTTTCATAGCGGCTTTTTGGAGAGATTTTGCTTTAGGTTTTTTGTTAGTCTTTGAAATCGAATTTAAGTGTCAATTATATGTTAGACTAAAGTAAAGTATTACAATAATGTATACAAGTATACAATATAATTGAATATTTAATGTTGGAATCAGAACACAAACAACTTAAATATTTAATGTTGGAATCAGCACTTGACTGAAGTTTCAAACTTAAATTCTCTGAAAGTATTTTTTATAATCATATTTATTGCTAAATGGCTGCTATTTTTTTAAATAATTTACTTTTTATATTTGTCCCATTCTTATTTCTTTCATAAGCTTGGCTCAGTACTTTTTAAACAGCCCTCGCTGCTCTTGTCTTAGAATTTCTCTTTGCATTTTGTTTTCTTCAACTTTTTGTTTGTTTTTTTTTTTTTTTAATTTTTTGATTTGCAAATCTTTTCTTGACTGGGTTGCTTGGCCGCCCCAGGGGTTGTCTTTCAATATGGTTATGGACAGGTACTGTCCCTCTCTCTATGTATATATCTCTCTCTCTCTCTGACTGACTGTCGTTGTATTTGTTTTTCTTGATGAGCAAGCGGCGTTTGAGAAGATTAGTTGAGCAGCTTTCTTTCGATGCTTAGGGCCCGTTTGTCAAGCTCTTGTTGCTGTTGTTATCGTTACACCCCTTCGCCCCGCGTGATCCCCCTTTTTGGGGGCCCCACTATGCAAATCGATGGCAGTGCATTAAATGAAATTACCAAATGCGGCTACGTGCCTTTCTAGGTCTTGGCAATTTACATATTTAGGCGTGCAGCCAAAAGACTCAGCTCGCATATCATTCGGAAATTATAGACTACACATATATATTTATATATATATATATATATATATATATATATATATATATGGAGTTGTCTTCCGATTCGTTGTAGCTGTAGAATCGTTTGCTGCTGCTGCAGTTGCAGATAGACGAGGGCGAGGTCTTCGAAAATCTTATCTCAGAGCACAATAAACGCGGCTTGTTTATTGTAGCCATAAAGTAAACCCAAAATAAAATTTCATATGTACCAAATACACTGTTTAGCTGTTCCACATGGCAATATTAGCTTCTAATTAACGTTCTATTTGTTCGATTTTAGACAAGTTATAAGTTGATTACTTGGCAAAGCTGTGACGTATATTTTATATATAAAAATATACTATACGGCTTGTGAAAGGGGCATATCCTCTAGGTATTTGTAAATACTTGCCATATCTTATTATAAGCCAATTTTAGTCAATAGTTCGAATCAGCAAATTTGTTTTTTTTTCAGTCTGTTTTGCTTGTTCTTAAAGCAAAATATATATATTTGGCTATCAATAATACATATCGAAATTTGCACCACTCTCTGACTAATTTTTAAAGCTAAATATAAATAAAAATATCTATAAGTTCTTGTCTAAATGGTTATCTGTATTATGTGTATAGACAAATTTATTTGATATATATATTAATACTGCTTACTTGATTTGGTATCTATAACAGTTCTAAGCCTTTGGGCCTAAGTTCAATTTGTATATAAAAACAATATTCTTTTATAATAATACAGATCTCTATGCATAGGTACAGATAAAGCTATAGATATATGAAGCTATAAGAGCTCTCGGTTTAATGTTAAGCATTTAAAAGATTATCAACATTCCCGCCTCTTTCACTAGCTAAAATAGAGCATTGCTTAGTCGTTCTCATCTATATAAAATTCTCTGTTTTTGCTTGCAGCTCCAAATACCTCGTATAGGGCGAACGCACGAGCTATTTGTGGAGCAAACGCCCCTCCGCACAAACAAAACTGAAAAATTTGTATATCGCGGTGGCTGATAAGGCAAATGGGCGCTGGTAAAAGGCCAAGACAATGGCCAAAATGCGAGCGTAATTAACAAAATGTGCGCCGAGCGACAAGTGAATGAAAATAGCTGAAAAATATAAGAAAGACAAAAACAGAAAACTGAAAACAGAAAAAAGGCCAAACAAAAAGTCTACAAAAGAAAAAGAAACAAAAAGTGTTGAAACAAAACCAGTGTTGAGAAGTGGCGCGAGGAGAATTGCATTGAGTGCTGAACTTGACAGCGCAGCGGAGGCGCCTACGGCCGGTTCCCAGGCAACCGAATTGCAACTGTATGTGTGCATGTTAGTTTGTGTTCACTGTACTCGACTGCAGTGTGTATCGCTGTGTGTGTGTGTGTGTGCGTACGGAAATGGCTTAGCGCAAAAATGTTGTGATTAAAAGTGAACGTTTGTGTGTCAAGCGGGTTCAAGTGAAGCGAAAGCGTCAAATACCAAAACAAAGTGAACTGCAACAACAAGCAAAGGCGCAACAACAACAACAACAACTCATTAAGCAGCTGCAACAACAACAATAGCAACAACTACAACAATGGCTGCCAACACACTTGCAGCCAGCAACGCAGCACCACTAACTCCTACAACACCTGCAACTCCAACAACACCTACGACACCTGTGGACAGTCCCGCTCAGCAGCTGAACAACAGCGTAGATAGCGGCATCGCCGTTCTCGACGTGGATCATCAAGCAGTGAAGCGACGTCAGCGTCTGCAGCAATGCCAACGCATTCTACAACTGTTGCAGCGAGATCAGCCCACATATCAGCAGCTGCGCGATAGATTAAGGTGAGTTTCATATTTAAACATTTCAAGATTAAGGAGGCTGCAGCTTGAATTTTAATTGCTGAGCTGACTCGCTTAATTTCTCCCTCATACGGAACGGAGAGAGACATTGTTCAGATCTCAGTTTCTCTCCTTATTCTGTTCTATCTCCATCTCGTGAGTTCGTTTATCCCTTATAGAAAGCGTCAAAAGATGTTTACGAATAATGAATCGTTATCTAGAATAAAATATTTTCTACTTATATAAGTTCCGGGTTTACCATTATTTATTTCATTATGCTTTTTTTGGGTTTTTTATTTATCGAAATGAATAATGAATCTCTATTTTTTTAAATATTAAATTTCGCAATTATTTTGTCAAATATTTGACACATGCGAACGAAGCTAATTAAGAAATTTACGATAGCCCACGGCACGTTATGCGATGTTAGGAAAAATTTAAGAGGCTGTCGGACGGATGTTGTTGATGGTGTTGATGGGCTTGGCAGACAGACGACATGCGGTTGGGTGTCTTCAACTGCAGCTGCTGTTTGTCAATTACTGATTTGATTAGCATATTTTGTGGCTCGTGTGCTTTGGGTGCGTTGCGAAGCTGACAAAAGTGCGACAAACTTGAGACTTGCAATTTGCAAAATCTGTTGACCTCAATGACAAAACTCAAATATTCGCAGGTGCAGTCAGTGCAATAAAATAACGCCAGTCGCATCGGAAAGAGCTACACTGCGAAGGAAATATATATAGAGAGACAAATGTTCCCACTCGACACAATAAGCTTACCAAAAAAAAACAAAACAAAACAAAATAAAGAGAGATAAAACTCTTTTCATTACTCATCTTCAAAATGTGTTTTATTGCCAAGTCAGGCGCACTGAGAGATGAACAACATCGTTAAGCTGTACATAAATACATATACAAATACATATACATACATATATATATATATATATATATATTTATATACTATATATGTTTGTGCTTATGCCTAACAGTTCGTGTAATATCTTCATCATTATGATGTTCTTTTTGTTCACAGAATAACTTAAAGTATTATGACTAGTTTTTTGCTCTTGTGGGTTTGGGTTTGCAAAAATTGGCTAAATTTTTTTGGGGTATATTAATTGGGAGTTTTTCTCAATATTTACTTGAAATTTCCTTAATATTTAATTATGTATCTATGAACTATAATAGTTTCATAGAAAATTAAAAATTAATTTAAAAATGTTATCGATATTTATCGGCTTTGAGTGGAATCTACACATTTCCATATATTTTTCATTAAATTTAATTTATTCATATATGCATTTAATCAAATTTTAAGTTTTATTCCGATACATTATTTTATTTAGTAATCTATATTAATCAAAATTGATCGGAATCCATGTATTTCCATAAAACTCGAAATTTATAGCAATATACAAATTCATATTCAAAATTCATCATAATTAGTTTTAGTTTTAGTTTTAGCTTTAGTTTTAAGCTTATCAAGAACTTATGCAGACTATCGATATTTTTCGAAATTTCCTATTTCGATACAGATTTACAACGATTTCTTTAACAGTCCTTCGCTATTTCCTCCTCTTCAGACGCTAATCACACATAGTACTCGTTTATGGTCTTAGCTGGTTACGGGATATTAACACCAACTTGCAGACTTTAATTCACATTCAATCTTATCGGCTCCATGAGCGCACGCAATTTGAGTTTATCTTATCGCTGAATTCATAATTAATTTGATGAATGCCAATTAATTGGCTTCGCCAAAGAGGCAGAGCGACAAACAAATAGACAGACAGACGGCCAAGCACGTGAAACGGGCTTTGGTCGTAATTCATTTTCATTTTGTCATTGGCAAACTGTTTTTCCATGTTTTACCATCGATTTTCTTTGATTTCAGCCGTTTGCTTTTCTGTCCACGATTTGCATAAATGACAAAGAGCTAATTGGTCAAATGACAAAAGTTATTCAGCTGCCTCAGACCTCTTTAACCCTATTTCTCTCTCTCTCACTCTCTGTCTCTTTCTCTGCTTTTATTCTTTGTTATCGGCTTTTATTATTTTTACCTGTGACTAAACTAACTAAAGTCCAGTTCCACTTTGGATACTCGCCACAACGCACACAAAAAAAAACCCTAAAAAATTCAAACAAAATTTATATAAAACTAAATTAAAAATCCGGCCTAAATTTCTCATATATATATAAAATATATATAACATTGTTGCTCTCGGCCCAATTATAATTCGCTTGTGATATAACCTTAAAAATCTTGACACTTATCTGTGAAATTTTTCATTGCGTTGTCTCTTTCTTTCATATTTTTTAAACTTTTTTGTTTGTTTTTCTCTCTAATATTTTTTTATGATTATTTATTTATCGCGCGCTGTTATCAAATCAAAAGCCGCAAAAAAACGAATGCCCGCGTATTTTTTTTTTAACAAAATACAAACAATACTATATAATACCCCTCTCTCCACATTTATATATGTATATAACGACAAACTGCAAAAAAAGTGTAGGAAAAAGTAAAACCAACGACGCAGTCGCAAACTTAAGTTAAGTCAGTTAAGATCGTCGCGAACTGTGACTGAGATATCCCGAGTCAGCTGGCGGGAAAATTAGGTAAACGTCTGATAGATATATGGAAGAGAGCCAACAGCTCAGAAAATCAATTAACAAGTTCTTATATACACACACATATATCTAAAGTAAATAATGGCAAAACAAAAAGGTTTGATTGATAAACGCTGTAAAAAACGCCTAATTGCAAAATAAAGTTCTTGGCTCGCTCAATTATTTATTCAAACTTGAAGTCGTGAAGTGTAAAAAAGTGTAAAAAAAAGCAGCATTAAAAATGACTTTGATGTGTGTTCAAGTGTATAGAAACCATTTGCAATTCGTAATTCGCATTTGTCATGTTTAATCACATGTTTTTTCTTCAAGCACACTCACACAGACACTCGAGACAATTGCTGATGACCAGTGTTAGATAACGTGCCAATTTGCATCTTGATAGACTGAAAGAAGAAGAAAGAACATTGCAAATTCTCTGCAGAAAAAATAGCAAATTTCTTTATATTAATCAGCTATGTTTAATCTGCAAGCAAACAAAATACAAAATCGTGATTGATAGCGCTTTAAATAACTCTACTAAGAGCACATAACAAGCGATAAGCGTAGGTAAACAGCTAAGCAGCTGAAACAGGTAAAAAGTCTAGTCAAACTTGAAGTAGAAATTGCACTTTATGAGACTTTTCATTGCAAATTACACTATTTCGCACAATTTAACTTAAGTGCTCAAATGACATTGACTTAAATTTAGAATACATTTAGCGTAAATGTCCAAATGACACTGGCTTAAAATAATTCATCCATAGCATATAATCTCGAAACAACTTAAAGCTCATTGCTTTGTAACAAATATAACGAATTCGTCAAACTGAAAATAAATAATAAAATTAACAATTAGTTTTTAAACAATATTTCCTTAACTTTGTAGAGAGAAAGATATATTAATTTAATAAATTTAAATTGTCAAACATAAATAAATACATAAAAGCTTAACTGAAATGTTTCCCCATTCATTAAACTTTTATATATATATTTATACACATATTTTTATTTTTATTATTTATTATTTTACATATGTTTTGCTGTAATTATCCTATATACTTAATATATCTATTTTTTTTAAATTTATATACATGTTTAAATTTTATTTTTTATTCAAAATGCGCTTTGATTCAATAGAAAATGTTTCTTAATATTTATTTTCATTTACGAAATGCGCTATATTTTAATAGTCAAACCAAAATATTTATATATTTGTCACACAAAATATTTATAAATATGGTTAGATGTAGCTGCGGAGTTCTCAACACAAAGTATTTATTTTAATTAAGTTACATATTCAAAAGAGACTATTTTTTATGGTTTTAGCAACTGTTTTTGTATTAAAGTTCAGTAAAAATAAGTGCAAATTGCAAACTCAATTAGAATTTGGTTTTAAAATCTGTTTGTAGCCAAGACTTGCAATGAGATTGCCTTTGTTTAAGGTCATGCATGAGTCACAAGCTACAAACATTTGTGCCATAAGCTGCTTAGTAAAAGTTGAACAAAAATATTTATAATTATATTTAATATTTTAAGCCAGTATCATTTAGAATGAAATCAGCATTTGTTTAGTATTTTAAAGGTTTTTTTAAGCATCAATTTAAACTGATGTTTGCCTAACTTCACGTAGTATACAATTTTTAAGCAAGTGTCATTCAATCACAAAACATAAATTCTGTAAAATTCTTTGCTGTCACTTATTGAAAGGACTGCAAAATAAACAACTTCATATTTTAATTAAATTCTTTAAATTTCTTAGTCTGACCAATTCACACATTGAACTAAAACACCTTGCGTAGGGCATTCTTTCGAAATTATTTATTTAACTATGAGCTAACTTACATGCGTATACAAACACACATACAACATATATACAACATGTTATATATATATTATCTGAATGATAAGATATGTTCGAGCCACAATGTCAAAGACAGCGGTAGTTAGATGTTTTTTAGACCAATAATCCCCTTGCGTAGAACTATTTGTAGTTTGAGTTTGCCTTTAGCTTGCGAGTAGAGCTGCTGCTGTGTTGTGTGTGTGTTGTTTTTGCATTTCTTCAAATGACAAATGACAAATGACAAATGAGAAATTTTCACAGTGTTGCAAGCGTCTGTTGCGGCCCTACAACTGCTTAATGGAGCTGCCCATGTATCGGGGCAACAATAATTTATTCCTGGGTCTGACCAGCGTCGTCGGCCTGATCGGTGGCGCCTATCTGCTGCAATGTGGCGCTAATAATTATCTCAGGTGAGTTCAGTCAAGTTGAGGCGGTGGACCACCAACGGGTTGCACCTGCTCCACGTTCAATTGCTGCACGTGCAGCGAATCGCACATGCAGTTAGCTAAAATATGGCTAGTTTTATTTTGTTAAGTTACCTTTTTAGCTTGATTTTCGTTTTCAGTTACGTGTCGATTACGTTTGCGTGTTAGCCAAAAGATATAAGAGAAAAACAACTAAGCAAAAATGTGTTAAACTATCTTGGGAGCATTCAAAAATTGCACATAAAAACTGATTTGGCATAATTGATGTCCACTAGCGTTTCGTTTTGTATACCCTGTAAGCAGGCCCAAAAGAGGCTGACTGGTCGAGCAAAAACAGCTGTTTGCCATTAAGAAATATATCAATCACAATTGGCATTAGTCTTGTGTAATTGCATGTCGTTTTGTATACCCTGTGAGCATTGAAAATGGGTATATTGGTTTTATTTGACTGGTCAGCGCTTTCAAGGCTCAAAATAATATATATTATTGCGATAAATTTATCGTTATTTCGTTGTTTTAAAAACTTTGCTTGGATATAAAAAAAAAAGTCAGAAATATACAAAATCAGTTTAACTACAGCTTATCAACTAATCACTGAAGCTGTCTTGATTGAAGACTTGGATGAGCACTCCACCTAGATTTAAGTCGATAAGTATCGATTTACAGCTCAGACTTGGTAAACGTTTAACATATCGCTAAGCTTTTATTTAAATAAGCTCATTATATTTGACAAGCCTTGTTAAGCTTTAAATCAATTTCCAGCTTAAGCTTTCTCAGCACATTTGCAAGCTTAAATCATGAGATTTGTTGTGCGTATAATATTTATTAGGCATATACTCGACTGTCTCACTGCTGAGTACAGGGTATCAGCTGAACGCACAATCTGCTGTGTGTGACTGTTGCTGTGCCTCGTTTGCCAGTTGGTAGCTGAGCTCAATTTTGTATTTCCTTGGTCGAGTCACAAATCAAGCCGCTTGTGTAATAACTTAATTCGCCAATGTCTTTAATTGGTCAACGACAATTGGTTTTGGCAGCTGTTGCCAATTTCGATTGTCTTCGATTATCGTTTACCGTTAGCAAACATTTCATAACAATGTGACACAAATTTGACATAGCGGAAATCGTTAAGAACCCCCTGACCCAGCGGTCTCCATAGACCTCTCCGTCTCTCAAGTACAATAACAATTAGCAAAGAATGATATTTCTTTAGACCGTCCATTCAAGTTAATGAGGCATTTGTTTACTTTTTACTATTTATTGTGTATTAGCAATGCCTTTGTAGCATTGCAATTGTTTCAACAATCATCAGCTGGCTTTTGTACTCTCTATACACCTTACAATGTTCGCTTTCTTAGCTGAAAACTGAAAACGAGCGACGCTTCATGCATAAATGGAAAGTCAGTCAGTCAGTCAGTTAATATGGCATTATAGTTATAATTAACGCCTGTCAACGTCACTTGGCTAAAAGTATTTTAATGCATAAGTGTGTTACACTGACAGAAAAAAGTTGTTGATAAGGAAAGTTTTTAAGTAAAATTAGTGAAAGAAGAAGTAATTGAAAATCTTAAAAGCTTTAAATGCATTTGCCTTAGAGCTTAACTTTAATTAATGTTTTCTATTTTGTTAAGGAAGCTTAAATAGCAAGAAAGTTGTCTTAAAATTAAATATATTTAATTTAAAGTTAAAGCTCATTTAGTTTGGAAAGCTTCAAAATTTAGCTAACAAACTATTGAACATTTCTTATATGAGAGGCTGCTTGTGTATTGTAAGTTTTTTTAAAGCGCATCTAAGCTTATTTGGTATTTTTGTATATAAAAGCTTGAATTCGATTTGAAAGCATTTGAAAAGAGCTTTAAAAGTAAAATGTGTAGTTAATAATAATTACTTATTTATTGAAAGTGTTCTTATATCAGGCAAGCTTAAGGCTGAAATTCTTTATTTTGCTGATATCTTAAATACTCATTAGTTATTTAGCATATATCAATATAATTTAAGCTGCTACACAGCTAAATATACAAAATACTAACCTTATCTTAAACTCAATCTCTTTATCGTCACTTCGACCTGTCCGCTTAAACCGCAACGAAAATAATATTTCAAGTTATTTAAGTTATTTTCACTGCATAGAAATTTGTCTAACCCGCTTTAGCTGTTGTTAAATTCTTTAATGTTTCTCGCAAATGAGAATCAAAACGGGTTCAATTAAGATTCAAGTCGCATAGCAAGTGAAAAGTAACAAAAACCGAGAAAAAAGTGTTACAAATGTGACAGAATTTTTATGTTTACGAAAGTGGCTAAAAAGCAGCCAAGGCAAGTTTGGAAAATGTACCAAAATTGCTAAAAAAAACAAAATAAATAATTAACAGGTGTAAGAAGCGAAAAAATTTGTTGCATACCAGTAAAGTGGAGAGAAAAAATGCATTGCATACTTTTCGGCGTTCGCAAATAGAACTCGATTTTCGTACTGAATGAAAAATATTTATATAGGCGCAAATTGCTAAGCAACATATTTGCAAATAATGTTAGCACAGCAAAAAAAATTACAATGAACATCTGTAAATTGTTATTTTTTGCGCTACAACAAATTAGCAACAGAGACATTGACACTGGCATTGAGATTGAAAGTCAAGTATGGAAAAAAATCATACAAATGTTCTATACAGCAAAGGCTTGTTAACATAAATAGTTGTTTATATTTGTTATTTGTAGAATTATTTATAAAATATTAATTTGTTTTTATTTGTATAAAGACGTAAAACCCGTTTCATTTTGGGCGCCATTTATTAATCAGCCGTCATTAGACTGACTAATAAATTAATAAATTCCAAGAGCTACAATTTATAAAAAAGATAAAAAAAACAACACAAATTAATGCGCAGAACAAAATTTACTGAAATCAAAACTCGTTTGCGGAATTTTCGACAATATTCTACGATATTTTAAATTTCGCAATGAATAATGAAATCACATGTTGAAAAAAGCAAACGCTAGACGAACAATTAATCAACATTAAAAGCGAATCCAAATTCCAATATGAATTTGTATTCGACTTAGAGTGCAGCATCAGCTGTCCAACTCTGTCAGAACTGTTAAGCTTTCTATTTGCCAGCTGTAAGATTTGTTGTTGTTCTTTATGTGCAGAGTTTCTGGCGAAACGCGTGAATTACTCAAAATCCCAAAGAAGAAAAAACAGCAGCTACAATAACGCTTTGAAGCTCTTACGTCATCAACGCGCTTGTCTGCGCCTGTCTATCCGCATATGTTTAGCATTTATGTTTGTTTGTGTTTGCTTCACTCTCATTCTCTCAATACTCCACACCGAAGCGCTCTCACGCGCTTGATGTGCACCTCTCTCTCTGTTGCTCTCTTTCTCTCTTGCTTTCTATGCAAAAACCGGCATAAGCTGTGTGCGTCGACGTCGCTGTCGTCGCACGCTCAGCTGTTGCCTAGACTGACGCACTCAAAGCAAACTGCGCATAATAAAACCAAAGCTGGTGCGAGAAAGTTGTCGGCGCGCTACGAATCAGACATAGATGAAACAAACTCGCAGTTAACTCGAATTCGAAAAAATAGCAAAAACAAATACAAATCAATTTACGGCCATGCAACAAAGCAAAAGCCAGCACAGTGCCAAATTAAGCAAACTGAAAAAACAATACCAGAGTTCAATAGCAAATTAAACAGAAGTAAAAGGAAATCAAAGCAACAACAACAAGCAGACGTGAAGAGTATAAGAGTTACGTTGCCAGCCCGTTAGCCTGCCAGTATGTTGTTTACATCCGGTGTAATCTGCCACGTGGAGAAATTGCTCTGTACACCGATCAGTTTCGCCGTGTTCGCCTTCCTCTTCATGGCCTGCACCATGGAGGTGGTCCTGCTCAAGCTGACCACCAGTGCACACGTCTTTGGCAGACCGCCCAACCATGACGACTGGGACGAGGGCGGCCAGTTCGAGGAGGAGGATATTTACTATGAGAATCTCGAAAATAATTATGAACATTGGGCGCGCAGGCGTCTACGCTATCATCAGCGTCAGCAGCAGTTGCTACAACAACAACAGCAGCAGCAGCAGTTTCTATAGACAATTGTCTCTTATACCTAATGTATATACGACTGAAATTTCTCCAATTAGAATTAACGTTTTTTTTTTCTGTTTCGATTTCATTGGCGTCTCTGTGTAAACAATAGCGAAATTTTCTGCCAATTCATTTGAAACACACACAAAAAAAACAGTGAAGAAAAACAAATTTTTGTGTTAATATTTTGTGCACGTTGTTAGCATTATATATATAGATATAAAGGTATATGTATATACTTAATCATTTTCGAGTATTCGGTTTCAATTACGTGCATTTGTTTTTTGTATAGAAATTTGCATAAATTGTAAATGACTGACATAATAATCATAATATCTACATATTACATAACCTAATCTATCAAATATCCAATACTATATATACGAAGACCCTATTCAGCTAGCAATTAATGTAATTTAAGGCTTCTTGTGTGTATGTGTGATTGATATAAACAAATTCTATCTATACTGTTATACTGTTATACAACTCGTTCAGTGTTATAAGCGCTATCCTAAAGTATAAGTAAAAATAAAAATATATATATACAATTAGTTGTAGATGAATTGCAAAATTGCTTTTCACTGGTCGAAACGGGTTTAACGATGGTTTTTCTTCCGCATTTTTCCTTGTGCAACAGTCGAAGAAGGAGACGGAGAAAGAGAGCGAGGTAGATAGAGTAGCTTGATTACAGTTTCGTTTTGGTTACGGAACTTGTTTTGGAAATATAAAAACATTTAAAAATGGATTTTTTTCATTAGTTAATTTAACAGACGCTAGCCAAACAGAAAATTATAAATTAAACGAAAATTAGCAAAACGCAACCTTCACAGAGTTGTTTAACCTTTTGAGAAATAATTTGTATATTATCTAGAATTCGGCGTCATAAGCTTAAGCAAATTCAAAGCGAAACGCAGCAAAAAGAAAAGTAAGAAACACCAAAAAAGGCAGAAAAAAAATTTGGAATTGTGTCAAAAATCGAAGCTATGCTACCATATCCAGGCTTAAAAAACTAGAAAAAGCCGTTATGATACTTTTTTTGCATAAATTGATGAACTAAAGAGCAGCAGCGAAGAGAGCTTATACTCGGTATACATTATAAGATAGTTTTTATGGAAATGTCATTTTATAGCAAGAAAAGAGCTAAAGCTTGAAATCCACAATTTAAGCCTAAAGCTATCTGTTTTATAATCAATGTGCAAAAAATGTTGAGGTAGACAATAGCTCTCTTTAATATATGATTCGATTTTATTTAATTTGTTGCTAATTTCATATTTTGAAACGACATTAACAACAATATATAATATATAAGCTAATTAAATTAAAATGAATCATTTTTAATTGAATACAATTTATTAATTAGTTGTTTATAATTTCCTCGTATTCCTCTTTTGATTTAGATTTTTTAAGTTTTTGCAAAATGTTCTTTTTAATTTAACTTTTAAATTTTAATATTTTTAATTTATATTTTATTTTTTTGTGGTTGAAAAGGTTTAGAAATTTAAAATTTTATAATAAATACATATAATAAATATTAATTTAAAAATGTTTATAAAATTTTTGTTATTTTTTATTCAATTTCCATGGATTTTATGAATGAAAATTAATCAATTTAGAATAATTAAATGTAAAAAATATATCAAGTAAAATACAAAATGCTATTTCTAAATGAATAAACTCTATAATTTTTTCAAAGCTTTTTATTTTTATTAATAAAATTGGCAGCTTATAAGAGTCTTAATTTTTTAGCTTAAAAGATATCTTTAATGCAATATATATGCATATATATATTTATAATTTTTTTATTTCTTTTTTTGTTGTAGCAAAATAGTTACCAAGAAGCCTAAGAAATTGAATGGCAGCGATGAGCAGTGTAGCTGCAATGTCTGCTGTGCAGAATTGGATTTAAGCAGTGCCAAAAAGTGAGTAAATAAGCTCGGTGACTCTATATATAAATATATATATATATATAATGGACTCTCTCTCCCTCTTCCGCCCTCTCTCCCTCCTGTACAGCTATGTCACATGTTGCACGTGTGGCAAGCAGGTGTGTCGCGGCATCAAGTGCGCCAATTGGCTGCCAAAGGCAGCGCAATGGGTGTGCGAATTGTGCCACAGTTCGAAGCAGTCGCTGGAGCAAACTTCGTCCTGGGTGGCCGAGCAGATGTCCTTCAACCAGCAGAAGTTCGTCTATCCACTGCGGACACGCAGCGAAATCTATATACCCATAAGTGCAGAGCTCGCCGACAGCTCGATGCGTAAGCATAGCCAGAAAAGAGCTAAAACTAGCTAGAATTTCAAGCTAAATTCCATTACAGATTTCGAGAGCGTCAGCCAGGTCGGCATGAATACGAATATGAGCTTGGACGAGCGCAGCAGGATAAGGGAATACGTTGAGGAAATTGTAGCGGAAATGCTCGGCGGTAATCTCGATCACATCAAAGTCGGCCAATTGTCCAAGAGCGAGAACTGTAAGTAGCCCCGACTGAGTGTTCGCTTAGATTTGATTAGTGCAAATGCAATCTGTGGCGAGTGCAAATTTCCCTCAATTGCTTTGAATTTAAAATGAGCTGTGTACACACAGATGATACTATATGCATGTATACATGTATATAAAGATATATATATCTTGTTTGTGTAGGAAACGTAGTCAACAGTTCAGAGAGCAGCCACTGCTTTTGCAAGCGCGCATTTATAGTGAAGTCTGATTCAGGGCAATGAACCAAGATTTTATATCTCTAATTGTAGATATAGCAAAAGCAATTTCAGCGCAACACAGTTTGCAGCTCTTTGGGGAAACAAAACACCTAAAAGTATGCAGCGAATATTTAAAATAATAAAGCAAACTTTTATTTTGATTTTATTTAAGTGAAGCTACGGTTAAGTATAATATATAAAGGCCAAGGGTTGCAAGCAGGTATAAGACTTAATAACAATATTCCTTAAATTATAATATTATTAAAAATATATTGCCTTTACATTATTATTTTATTAAAAATATCGGGTTTGATTGATCTTCTTCAAAAGTTTAATGCTCAATGACAAAACTAAATGCTTAAAGCGTAAACTCTTAGATCTAGCTTCTGTGCAGAACATGTTATTCAAGACTCAATCCGAAATTTTCCGAAATATGGAAGAACAGGTTACGTTAGTATAATTCCCATTATTCTTAGTTCTAGTTTGCTGGAGGAACACGTTATCATAGGGTAATTTCTGTTGATTTTGCCATTTAGCAAGACTGATTTAAATAGTTAATAGAACTGCGTAACAAAACTTAGAGAACAATTTAAAAACTATAGAATTTTAGGTATATATTTTAAAACATCTTTTTGCTTCTTGCATATGCAACTTTTCTAACTGCCCACCAGCTGCCACTGTATACTTTACGTTGCTTTAAGGCTAAAGTTTTTAACAAACTCCATTGCATACTTAATGTTAAATTTAATTATACTTTATATACACACACAAACACACCCACACACACACATACAAACAAACAAATGCACTGCATACAGACCTGCAGCTGTTTGATAAATTTCATGCGAAATTGAGCAATATGTTTATCAATGTGGAGAATGCTTTATGCGCACGTGTCTACAAAGGAGGTAAGTCCTGCCGTGTAGCCCTCTCCTTCCACTATTCCAAAATGAAAAAATACTGCTACTACTACTTCTGTAACTACGCTCTAATCTGCTGTAGTGCCTGCCTAACCTGCTCGTATCCAGCATGAATCATGGCTATAATAATAAAAACTTATTTCTCTATATTTAGCGCACGTAGTTATCTTTATGTATCTATATATGTGTGTAGCTATACCGCTCATATGCGTAATATTTAAAGAATTCTGCAGAAAAATCCGTAAAATACCTTGCGTATACGTAATATGCTGAGAATGTCATAGGAATCAATGAATATTCAGACTTAAATTATGCCTATCAGTAAATAATAAATGCAAACTAAACTAAAATGAAAACAAAAAGAAAAAATCAACGAAAATCGCGGTCAACACTCAGTGATAACAGCAACACACACACAGAAACACACACACATGATATGATAAGGCAAAAGCATATGAAACTGATAAGCAGCAAACTCTTGTCTCTCTCTGTCTCTCGCTCGCTCTCGCTAAATTTGAAATACCGACAAGTACATAACACTTTATAAGCATTTAAGAATTGTAGCGACAGTTGGCCTTAACCAGATGACAAGCCGAGATACTCACACATTAATCATACGCAACGTGCGCCACCATTGCTCACCAACTGGTTTAGACCAGCAGCAACAACAACAGCTGCAAATTGACAATTTACACGGCATTCAACATATTTACTTAGTGTTTCGTTTTTTTTTGTTATTTCTTAAGTTTTTCGACTGTCCCATCCTTCAAATTACTAAATCAAATACGTTTGTAGAGTGTAATAGCTTAGAGGCACGCTAACACACAATGATTGCATGAAATAAACATGTCAATCACTTGAGCGCTTGAGTTGCACAAACACAAAACTAATATAGACCTGTTACGGCTACAGGAAGCAAACAAGTTTTTCTAAAACTGTGCTAGAATTATTGTAGCGATCAGTGCCAATGCGTAGATTGATTTTCGAATTCTGATTTCATTTTAATTGACTTTCAAGTTGAAGCTTTTCAGTAATTTTTACAATTGAAATCAGCTAGTTTGTGAGTCAATCAATCAATCATGCTGACTGCCTTTCTATACGGGCGGTCTTAGTAAATCATTAACTATTTAGTCACAACTTCAATTTAACTGACTAGCAAAACGATGTATTCGCCTCTTGATTGGTCAATCCGCTCAGTTAATCAGTCATCCCAAACAGCTTTAAATTCGAGTCAATTGATCAACTAATTGAGTAACTATAACGAATCTCGCTGCTTATTCAGCACTGATTGGTTAAACATTTAGTCAATCAAGCCAGTCAATCATGCTTAATTATTCAATCAAACATTCAGACAATCAAACCTCACAAATAACTTCTCATCAGTAAATTCCATCAATCAAGCTAGTCAATCATGCTTAGTTATTCAATTATATCATTTAGACAATCAATCATCATACTGAATAATTCTTATGTATTTTAGTATCATTATCATTAAACAGTTATTCAATCACTCAGTCAATCACTTAGTCTATCAAGAAAAACAGCCTTAGATATATATATATATATATATAAATATCTTTAAGCAACTTCTAAATCGGTCAATGCAGCTGTTTATCATCAACCACTCAGCCAGTTAATCGTTCAATCTGTCAATCATTCAGTACGTTTGTCAAGCAGTCAATCAACTAAGCAAAACAGCCTTTTATATAGACTTTATTAAAGTTAGCTTGACATAAATACAAAAATATGTTCTTTAAATTCCGCAAAAGCTGTAAATTCTTACGGATCTGCTGTAATAATAACTAATAATATCTATTTGTTAAAGAAATTGGCATAATTTGAGTTCTATAAAAAACCGTTCTCAATTCTTACATGAAGAGAATTTGTGAAGCACAAAGCGCGCGAATATCGAAATGCCTCAAATAAACAAAAGCAAATTGTTTGTATGCCATTACAAAGCTATCGATGAGTGTGTGCAGCTGATTGTGTGTGTGTGCGTGTGTGTGTGTGCAGGTGATTGTGTGTGTGTGGCGCTGTTAGCTGCGACTGTCGACTGCTCGCAGCAGTTGCCAGACGCAAAGCGCGCTGATCGCAACGTTTTTTTGGCCGCGCGCCGAACAGCCAAAAGCCGGGTGAAAAAAATACAAAAACTAAAAGAAAGAAAGAGAGAAAGAAAGAAAGACAACAAAGTAAAAGCAACAAAAATTATAAAACTAAAGTGTTAATGATAACAAGCTACAAGAAAATAAAAAAGACGCATAAAAAATAAAAAATAATAAAAAATAAAAAAAAATTTCTTTAAATAAAACCACGACTAAATTATGGACTGTGCAGATAACAGATAACAAATACACACACAGAGACATGCAAGAGCTCTATTAAGAAAGCTGCACAGCCAACCTTGACCCTCTATATTTTAATAATATATATTATATATATATATAAATATGAGCAAAAATCAAAGCTAAATTTAAAACGTGGCCTAAGCAAAAAGCAGGAAAAAATATTTTTAAAAATGTTAATCAATATTAATGATGGCTTAAAGCGAAGAAATATTATGCGCCAATAATTTATGCCACGACATAAAATATATAATTTATATATATATATATATACATTTATAGAAACATAAATTTAAATACATATATACAAGTTAAGAGTTGTTAGCCAAGTGTAAAAAAACTTGTTAAAGCTGAACTCTGAACTGAACTTGACTTGTGCACCTTGTACAGCGCACTTATACACTATATATGTACCATATATAATATATATAGTATATATATATAGGTATGATCTGTGCTGGTTAAGGTTCAGTTTCGGCTTTGCTTCATTAATGACAGTCACATATGCAAAGCGAGTCAGATACATTTCAATCTTTGACATTTTGTGCGCACAACTCAATGACTAACGGCATTCAAGCGATGAACACACACAGCTTACACACAATAGACATGTCAGCGAGGCGTCGAAACGAAGCGATAAAGAAATTTAGTGGCTTTTGTTAAAGCAAAATAGATAACTGCGTGATTATTAATTATGTTTTTAACGCAAAAAAAGCATTAGCACAAAATGTGAAAGAAGCAGAAGAAACAACGAATAGCAGTTAGAAATGTATATGTCTATATGTGTATATAAATATATTATTTTTTTGTTGTATCTATTATCTTTATGCTGTCTGTTCAAGCGTTTAGCGTAGCTTTAAATGTGTATACAAATTTTGGCTAATGCGGCGTATGCGTAATTTTTTTGTTTCAAGAGAAATGTGCGCGTGTGTGTGTGAGTGTGTTTGTTTGTATTTGTTGTATTTGCCTTAATTAAAATCGAAACATAAATATTTAAACAGCACAAAACACAAATAAAACAAGACAAAAAATTAAAAAAAAATAACAATAATAAACAAATGTGAGAGTCTATTCATAAATGTGAACATATTCAACTAGTAGACATATATATATCTAGGAAAGTATATATATATACAAATATAACCGTATAGCATGGACTTTACTTTGGGCCTAATAACTGGCATGTATGCTGTGATAGCTGTTATTGTCTTTTACGTTGTTTACGTCATTGAGGTGAAATTAGGTATGCCTTCTACTTCACACTATCGATCAACAATTACAACAACAACAACAACAACTCACTCACTTTCTACACTCACTTTTCCATTCATTTCATGTGTGTTTATTGATATTTTTAACTTATATTCTTTTGTGCTAACTACACTTTGCGCATATTCTTGCACTCACTGACCATTTCGACTGCATTACAGATTTGCCCGCTATTGTCAATGGCCATAACAATAACAGCAGCAACAACAACAATAACAACAATGACCAACTGGCTGATATATCACAGACACGTCTGCGCACGCTCATCGAGAGCATCATTGCGGAAACTCTACGCAGCGGCAGCAACTCGCTCAAGACTCCGAGTGGCGCCGTCTCTGAGATTAGCTTGGATACGCGCTCCAATGGACAGCTATCCGGCTTTCAGAATAATAATAATAAGAGGCGCCATCGCACCGAGCACTACTTCGAGCCGAAAATCTATCAGGATCTGTTGGCCACAGCGGTGCTGAATAAGGTAAGACAATAATAGACAGTTACCCTATTATAGACCCTATAAATAGATACTACACGATTATTCATATAGGATACTTTCAGAGTATTAACAAAAAAAAACCTGATAATAAATAATGTCTTAGCAGCGTTCGATTAAAAATAATTAAAAATTATTACGCGCAATTTCTCTTTGCCTTGAAAATATCTTAGTAATACAATTTTTGCTTTTATTAAAAGTATTTAAATGCCAAATTGGATCTCTTGTTTTTATTTGTTATTAATGTTATTGTTACTAGAAGAATCGAAAATACTTCTAAACTAAAAGTCTAAATATTCATCATTTCAATTTCCATTTTAATAACTTGGCCGCTTTTAAAGGCTGCCAGAGATCTGGGAAAGAGATGGAGAATGAGCTCTATGTTCTTACTATGCTCCTTGCTCGGCATCCAAGAAAATAGCTGACCTGCTGCAATAACTGTTGCATTTGTGGCAGCAACTAGCTATATTTGACCTCAGCCATTTATAATTCCCATTTCCAATTTGGTATTCTCGCCATTTCCGCTAACTCGAACCTCGTTTTTGGTTTTCACTTTCGTTATGGGCCACACTTTGGCGGCTTCCCGATAGCCAATTGGAAGGCAAAAGCTAGCACAGTTGCATGCCCCACTAATTAGTTGCTGCCCATTGTTGCAAGCGTGCGGACGCCTGAGTAGAACTGTTAAACGGTTAACGTCAGCTCAGTTGCTAATTGGATCATTGACTTTTCCTGCTAGTGAAAAAATTTAATATCCCATTGCCAAAAACTTGCCTTAACTTGGTTCTCTTACTGCGGAATTGGCCATGGCAGAGCCAGCACAAAATGTAAATATTACAACAGAAAAAAAGAGCCGAAATCATCGTTTTTATATAAGCTCATTCAGTTGGACTGATTCAGACATGTCTATATATTTTCCATATCTTATCAGACACTCATATTTTAAACTGCTTCAACATAGATTTCATGAGACTTTGATTAGGCTTTTTTATAGTTTTATTGCTAAAATCTCAGCAACAGTTTTTCTTTTGTGCTGCGTAAGGCTTAAATCGATCTAGTTTTAGGTACATTCGAGACGTCACGGCTCTTGTCTAGTCAATTCGACGTATTTCAACATAGTCGCAAATGTTGCCGGCTGCCTAAGGCTTCCCTTATCTGCAAGTTAGTCTAGTTAAATAATATGTGAATCTTTTGTTTTCTAGATTGCGGACAAGGAGGGTAACACCAGGCTTATAACGGAGAGTACGCCGGATTTGAGTACTCACAACATTGATGAGAATTACAATGCGGAAGCGTTGAGCACTACGTCCGGCAGTTCCATAGAGCCGCGCAGCGATTGCAGCCTTACGGATCATGAATTGGGAGTCAATGTAAGTTTCAAGCATCTCAAGTATATTTCTATATATGTATCTATATCTCTGTGCATGTCTCCATTCCTTTCTTTCAGGCTGGCAAATCCGAGAAACATGCTGGCTTGCAGTTGGATATGGAACGCGAATCGGTTTTGAGTGACTATATAGCTGCTCACATGGTGCCATTGCCTGATTTTTCAGCGTCCGTTACCGAATCAGAAGATGGTAAGCATCTCATCACAACATACATTCCATAATATATATCATATAACTCTTGTTTCCCTTTCTCATCTCATTTTAGACATTATCTCAATGTCATCGAGCATGGTCGGCGATGGCACCTGGGAGGATAATTGGCTATTCAAAAAGAAGCGCAGCACCCTGCAAAGTTCGGGCACACCGAGCAGCATTGGGATGCTGGTGCCCGCTCCTAAAGAGAATATTCGTGCTCAGATTGGTGATCGTACGGCCGACGAGGTTAGCGATCTGTCCGAAATGGGTTCCGATGCAGAGGAAACATCATTGGATCTGTTGCGTTGCGACAATGCGCTGAATGATCGGCTCTTGAGCAAGCATCTAATCGGTGGACAGAATACAAAACTAGTACTAGATGAGCTAGTGGATCGCACAAGTTTGACCTCAAATACTTTGCCAGCGGAGCATGAACCAGCTTTTACCGAGACCACAAATCCGCTCGTTCAACAGCCCATGAAGACATCTAAGCTTTTGGTACCGCCACCTCCAATGAGTTTTCAAGATGATGATGAAGATGAAATAGATGATACTGCCCAGAAACCCATCGCAGGTCAGTGCACAACTTTTGTTATTCGTACAAATCCACAATTACTGATCCTGTATGCTAACCCATATACTTAACATATCTATAGACTGTATATCGTACCTTAAATTTGATTAGCTTAGGCGTCTGAAACCTTTAGATATTGTACCCATCCACGTACTGTACCTCAGATTGTTTGTGCATAGTTGTCGAGCAGCGGCATTCAGCAGTCGTTTGTGTTCTAGCAGATGACCTCAGCGATCTCAGCGAGGGCATAACGGGCTTCGGTGATATCGAATATCTAGATGACAGCCAGCCACATGAAAATACGCCTTCGGTTATTGAAATACTAGCAGCCATGGCACTGGGACCCATGCTCGCTATTCCAGCATCTGATCAACCTCCTGTTATGACTGCCACAGAAATTCATACACTCAAGGAGTTAAGTGATTTGGCTCTAGCCGAAATTAACGCCCGCACAATGGAGTTAGTTCAACACTCTCTGGACATTATTGACGAGGAGGAAGTCACGGAGGCACAATCTACATCTGAAGTCAAAAACTCTCAAGCTGCTGCTACTGCCCAAACCCTTCCACAAGAAGAAATAACACAGGACATCGAGGACATTTCACTTACTAAAATATCTAATGTTGAAAACTCAGAGAAAACGGAACTCAAACCTGAACAAACCTCAATATCTGCACAAGCAATGAAGGATATTGCATGTGCGGACAGCATATCACTACCACAAAATCTTTCCAGCTCAACTCCAGCACAAAAGGTTAGCGCTTTAATTAAAAAATTTGAAGTGCATGCTGCTCCAGAAAAACCTTCTATTGGGAGAGTAACTGCTAAGACTGAGGAAGCTCCAGTGCCGGCAGAAGTTACTGGTGCTCCTGAAAAAGTTACTCAAGCTCAAGTCACTGCTACTACACAGGAAGTTACTTCAGTTGAATTAACTACTACTCCAGAGAAAATTCCAGCTCCTATTGAGGATGTTACTCCCGCAGATGTAGCTGCAGTTCTACAAAAAGTTGCTACAATAGAAGTAATGGCTACTACAGTGGAAGTCCCAGATCCAGTAGAGGTTGAACCATCAATAGACACAGTTCCAGAAGAAGTCACTGCTTCTGTAGAAGAAGCTACAGCGCTAACAACGCCGGAAATTATTCCAGTACAAACAACTGCAGCTTCAGATGAAGTTACCCCAGCAGAAGTAACTGCACTTACGGAGGGTGTTACTCCAGCAGAAGTAATTGCACTTACCGAGGGTGTTTCTGCAGCAGAAGTAACTACAACTGTTGAGATAGTTCCAGTGCCAATAGATAATATTATTCCAACAGAAACAACTCCAATTCCAAAAGAAGTTACTCCAGCGGAAGTGACTGTACCTCCAGTGGAAGTGTGTGTACCTACAGAAGAAGTTACTCCAGCAGAAGTAACTACAGTTTCAAAGGAAAATTATCCAGTAGAAGGAACTGCTACTATAGAGAAACTTTCAGTAGGGACGCTTACTCCAACAGAAGAAACTACAGCTCCAGTGGAAGTAACTTCAGTGGAAGTGGAAGTGTGTGTTCCCATAGAGGATTTTACTTCAGCAGAAGTAATGTCTATTACAAAGGAAGTGTCAGTAGAGACTGTTAACCCAGCGGAAGTAACTAGAGTTCCAGAGGAAGTTACTCCAGTAGAAGTAACTGCTGCTACAGAAGAAGTAACTACAGTGGAAGTAAATGTAGCTCAAGAGGAAGGAGCTCCAGTAAGAGTAACTACTACTACAGAGGAAGTTGCATTAGAGACTGTTACCCCAGCAGAAGTAACTACAATCCCAGAAAAAGTTACTCCAGCAGAAGTAAGTGCTACTAAAGGAGAAGTTTTAGTAGCGAATAGTACTTCAACAGAAGTAACTATAGATCCAGAGGTCGTAACTCCATTGGAAGTAACTGCAACTCCAGAGGTCGTAACTCCAGTAGAAGTAACCACAGCTCCAGAGGAAGTAACTCCAGCAGAAGTAACTACAGCTCCAATGGAAACAACTCCAGTGGAAATAACTGCTACTACAGAGCAGGTTTTAGTAGAGACTGCTACCACAGCAGAAGTAACTACAGTTCCAGAGGAAGTTACTCCAGTAGAAGTATCTTCACTTACAGAGGAAGCTACTTCAGCAGAAGTAACTGCTATTACAGAGGAAGTTACTCCAGCAGAAGTAACTGCTATTACAGAGGAAGTTACTCCAGTAGAAGTTACTACAGTTCCAGAGGAAGTTACTCAAGTTGAAGTAACTGCTATTACAGAGGAAGCTACTTCAGCAGAAGTAACTGCTATTACAGAGGAAGCTACTTCAGCAGAAGTAACTGCTATTACAGAGGAAGCTACTTCAGCAGAAGTAACTGCTATTACAGAGGAAGTTACTCCAGCAGAAGTAACTGCTATTACAGAGGAAGTTACTCCAGTAGAAGTTACTACAGTTCCAGAGGAAGTTACTCAAGTTGAAGTAACTGATATTACAGAGGAAGCTACTTCAGCACAAGTAACTGCTATTACAGAGGAAGCTACTTCAGCAGAAGTAACTGCTATTACAGAGGAAGTTACTCCAGCAGAAGTAACTGCTATTACAGAGGAAGTTACTCCAGTAGAAGTTACTACAGTTCCAAAGGAAGTTACTCAAGTTGAAGTAACTGCTATTACAGAGGAAGCTACTTCAGCAGAAGTAACTGCTATTAAAGAGGAAATTACTCCAGCAGAAGTAACTGCTATTACAGAGGAAGTTACTCCAGTAGAAGTTACTGCAGTTCTAGAGGAAGTTACTCCAGTAGAAGTTACTGCAGTTCGAGAGGAAGCTACTTCAGCAGAAGTAACTGCTATTACAGAGAAAGTTACTCCAGCAGAAGTAACTGCTATTACAGAGGAAGTTACTCCAGTAGAAGTTACTACAGTTCCAGAGGAAGTTACTCCAGTAGAAGTTACTTCAGTTCGAGAGGAAGCTACTTCAGCAGAAGTAACTGCTATTACAGAGGAAGTTACTCCAGCAGAAGTAACTGCTATTACAGAGGAAGTTACTCCAGTAGAAGTTACTACAGTTCCAGAGGAAGTTACTCCAGTAGAAGTTACTACAGTTCCAGAGGAAGTTACTCAAGTTGAAGTAACTGCTATTACAGAGGAAGCTACTTCAGCAGAAGTAACTGCTATTACAGAGGAAGCTACTTCAGCAGAAGTAACTGCTATTACAGAGGAAGCTACTTCAGCAGAAGTAACTGCTATTACAGAGGAAGTTACTCCAGCAGAAGTAACTGCTATTACAGAGGAAGTTACTCCAGTAGAAGTTACTGCAGTTCCAGAGGAAGTTACTCCAGTAGAAGTTACTGCAGTTCGAGAGGAAGCTACTTCAGCAGAAGTAACTGCTATTACAGAGGAAGTTACTCCAGTAGAAGTTACTACAGTTCCAGAGGAAGTTACTCAAGTTGAAGTAACTGCTATTACAGAGGAAGCTACTTCAGCAGAAGTAACTGCTATTACAGAGGAAGCTACTTCAGCAGAAGTAACTGCTATTACAGAGGAAGCTACTTCAGCAGAAGTAACTGCTATTACAGAGGAAGTTACTCCAGCAGAAGTAACTGCTATTACAGAGGAAGTTACTCCAGTAGAAGTTACTGCAGTTCCAGAGGAAGTTACTCCAGTAGAAGTTACTGCAGTTCGAGAGGAAGCTACTTCAGCAGAAGTAACTGCTATTACAGAGGAAGTTACTCCAGTAGAAGTTACTGCAGCTCTAGAGGAAGTTACTCCAGTAGAAGTTACTGCAGTTCGAGAGGAAGCTACTTCAGCAGAAGTAACTGCTATTACAGAGGAAGTTACTCCAGTAGAAGTTACTACAGTTCCAGAGGAAGTTACTCAAGTTGAAGTAACTGCTATTACAGAGGAAGTTACTCCAGTAGAAGTTACTGCAGTTCCAGAGGAAGTTACTCCAGTAGAAGTTACTGCAGTTCGAGAGGAAGCTATTTCAGCAGAAGTAACTGCTATTACAGAGGAAGTTACTCCAGTAGAAGTTACTACAGTTCCAGAGGAAGTTACTCCAGTAGAAGTTACTGCTATTACAGAGGAAGTTACTCCAGTAGAAGTCACTACAGTTCCAGAGGAAGTTGCTCCAGTAGAAGTAACTTCACGTACTGAGGAAGTTACTTCAGCAGCTATTACAGAGGAAGTTACTCCAGCAGAAGTAACTGCTATTACAGAGGAAGTTACTCCAGTAGAAGTTACTACAGTTCCAGAGGAAGTTACTCCAGTAGAAGTTACTGCAGTTCGAGAGGAAGCTACTTCAGCAGAAGTAACTGCTATTACAGAGGAAGTTACTCCAGTAGAAGTCACTACAGTTCCAGAGGAAGTTGCTCCAGTAGAAGTAACTTCACGTACTGAGGAAGTTACTTCAGCAGAAGTAACTGCTATTACAGAGGAAGTTACTCCAGTAGAAGTTACTGCAGTTCCAGAGGAAGCTACTTCAGCAGAAGTAACTTCACTTATTGAGGAACTTACTCCAGCAGAAGTAACTGCTATTACAGAAGAAGTTACTCCAGCAGAAGTAACTGCTATTACAGAGGAAGTTACTCCAGTAGAAGTTACTGCAGTTCCAGAGGAAGCTACTTCAGCAGAAGTAACTGCTATTACAGAGGAAGTTACTCCAGTAGAAGTTACTACAGTTCCAGAGGAAGTTACTCAAGTTGAAGTAACTGCTATTACAGAGGAAACTACTTCAGCAGAAGTAACTGCTATTACAGAGGAAGTTACTCCAGTAGAAGTCACTACAGTTCCAGAGGAAGTTGCTCCAGTAGAAGTAACTTCACGTACTGAGGAAGTTACTTCAGCAGAAGTAACTGCTATTACAGAGGAAGTTACTCCAGCAGAAGTAACTGCTATTACAGAGGAAGTTACTCCAGTAGAAGTTACTACAGTTCCAGAGGAAGTTACTCAAGTTGAAGTAACTGCTATTACAGAGGAAACTACTTCAGCAGAAGTAACTGCTATTACAGAGGAAGTTACTCCAGTAGAAGTCACTACAGTTCCAGAGGAAGTTGCTCCAGTAGAAGTAACTTCACGTACTGAGGAAGTTACTTCAGCAGAAGTAACTGTTATTACAGAGGAAGTTACTCCAGTAGTAGTTACTGCAGTTCCAGAGGAAGCTATTTCAGCAGAAGTAACTGCTATTACAGAGGAAGTTACTCCAGCAGAAGTAACTGCTATTACAGAGGAAGTTACTCCAGTAGAAGTTACTACAGTTCCAGAGGAAGTTACTCAAGTTGAAGTAACTGCTATTACAGAGGAAACTACTTCAGCAGAAGTAACTGCTATTACAGAGGAAGTTACTCCAGTAGAAGTCACTACAGTTCCAGAGGAAGTTGCTCCAGTAGAAGTAACTTCACGTACTGAGGAAGTTACTTCAGCAGAAGTAACTGTTATTACAGAGGAAGTTACTCCAGTAGTAGTTACTGCAGTTCCAGAGGAAGCTATTTCAGCAGAAGTAACTGCTATTACAGAGGAAGTTACTCCAGCAGAAGTAACTGCTATTACAGAGGAAGTTACTCCAGTAGAAGTTACTACAGTTCCAGAGGAAGTTACTCAAGTTGAAGTAACTGCTATTACAGAGGAAACTACTTCAGCAGAAGTAACTGCTATTACAGAGGAAGTTACTCCAGTAGAAGTCACTACAGTTCCAGAGGAAGTTGCTCCAGTAGAAGTAACTTCACGTACTGAGGAAGTTACTTCAGCAGAAGTAACTGTTATTACAGAGGAAGTTACTCCAGTAGTAGTTACTGCAGTTCCAGAGGAAGCTATTTCAGCAGAAGTAACTGCTATTACAGAGGAAGTTACTCCAGTAGAAGTCACTACAGTTCCAGAGGAAGTTGCTCCAGTAGAAGTAACTTCGCTTACTGAGGAAGTTACTTCAGCAGAAGTAACTGCTATTACAGAGGAAGTTACTCCAGTAGAAGTCACTACAGTTCCAGAGGAAGTTGCTCCAGTAGAAGTAACTTCACTTACTGAGGAAGTTACTCCAGTAGAAGTAACTTCACTTACTGAGGAAGTTACTCCAGCAGAAGTAACTGTTATTACAGAAGAAGTTACTCCAGTAGAAGTCACTACAGTTCCAGAGGAAGTTGCTCCAGTAGAAGTAACTTCACTTACTGAGGAAGTTACTCCAGTAGAAGTAACTTCACGTACTGAGGAAGTTACTTCAGCAGAAGTAACTGCTATTACAGAGGAAGTTACTCCAGCAGAAGTAACTGCTATTACAGAGGAAGTTACTCCAGTAGAAGTTACTGCAGTTCCAGAGGAAGCTACTTCAGCAGAAGTAACTGCTATTACAGAGGAAGTTACTCCAGTAGAAGTAAATACAGTTCTAGAGGAAGTTACTCCAGTAGAAGTAACTTCACTTACAGAGGAAGTTACTTCAGAAGAAGTAACTGTTATTACAGAGGAAGTTGCTACAGTTCCGGAGGAAGTTAATCCACCACAAGTAACTACAGAGATAAATGAAGTTACTCTAGCAGAAGTTACTACAGCTCCAGAGGAAATTACTCCAGTAGAATTGACTGCTACTACGGCAGAAGTGTTTGTAGAAAATGTTACTCCAACAGAAGTTACTACAGCTCCAGATGGCGTAACTCCAGTGGAAGTAACTGCAACTCCAGATGAAGTAACTCCAATAGAAATAACTGCTACTACAGAGGATGTTTCAGTAGAGACTGTTACCCCAGCAGAAGTAACAGCAGTTCTAGAGGAAGTTACTTCAGAAGAAGTTACTACAGTTCCAGTTGAAGTTGGTCCAGCAGAAGTTCCAGAGGAAGTTACAACAGTTCCAGAAAAAGTTCCAGAGGAAGTTACTACAGTTCCAGAAAAAGTTCCAGAGGAAGTTACTACAGTTCAAGAAAAAGTAACTCCAGCGGAAGTAACTACAGTTCTTGAGAAAATTACTCCAGCAGAAATCACCACAATTACAGAGGAAGTTAAACCAATAGAAGAAGAAGTTAATAACGCAGAAGTAACTGCTACTGAAGTGGATACTCCAGTCCCTACAGCAGAGAAAGTTAGCCCAGCACAAGGATCTCCGATTGCAGAAGATATTACTCCAGCAGATGTAACTGTTACAGCAGAAGAAATTCGAGCACCAGTAGAGGAAATTAGTATAGCAGAATTAACTGTAGCTCCACAGGAAGTTACCCTAGTAAACACTGTTACTTCAACGGAAGTATCCGCAGTTCTAAATGATGTTGTTGGACCTGCAGCAGAAGAGCATGTTGCGGCTGATCTTCGGCCTAAACTGAAGGAAACACTGCTTACTGAAGAGGTTTCTATTATTAAGCCTCAGTGTAATCCCCTCGAATCTGCAGAACTACCAATTAAGGAGATTGCTAGTGCTGGCATTATATTAAAGCCTCAACTAGATCCAGAGGAAATTGCAATAGAGGATCAGGAGGATAATGTAAAACCAACACTCGAAAAGACTATCAATACTACAACACTGCCTGGATCAGATGAAACCTCGGCGCCAGCACTTGAGGAGGTTGTTGGTGCTGAGTCGAAGTCTGATTCAGAGCAAAGTCCAGCAGTAGCACTTGAGGAGGTTGCTAGTGCTGGCATTACTCAAGATCAAGAGGACGTCATTACAATAGAGAATCAGGCTGTACCCGAGGAAACTGTAGCAGCAACACTCGGAAAGACTATCAATACTACGACGCTGCCTGCATTAGACGAAACTTCGGCACCAGCACTTGAGGAGGTTGCTGGTGCTGAGTCGAAGTCAGCTTTGGAACAAAGTCCAGCAGTAGCACTTGAGGAGGTTGCTAGTGCTAGCATTTCAACAGAGCCGGAGCCTGCTTCAGTAAAAGAGGAGAAAAAGGAAGTGGCATGCGAAGAGGCATTGAAAATACAGACTGATGAGCCACTACCAGATCTTTTGACATGTGAATCTTGTAAGAGCGATAATTGTGCTCTTGTGAAAGTGTCTGAAAAGAGTCTGCAAAGACAGCCGAATATCCGAGCAGATACAACACCGAGCGATGCGAGTCCTGTGCGTTCTGTGAACCTCTTCGGAACCATTTGCAAGATTTACATTCAAGACAAACGACTGTTAGCCACAATCGAAAGAAGACGTCGACGCGCCCTAATTATGCACAAATATCTGAGTTCCTTTGATAGTTTCGATGAGCCGCCAGATGATATAGAATATGAAGCCCATGCGAGTCTGTTTGATGAACTCAATTCAACAGCCAATCAGCCCATTAGCTTAGATGTAAATATTGATGAATTCGAAGAGCCAGAAAGTCATTTAAAAATAGATAATAAGAATGATTTAGTGGATAGTTTTCAAGTAGCTGTAGATAATATCAACAATAATGATCTGATCGAAGAGCCAGATTATCCTTTAGATATAAATAATGCTAGCAATAACATAGAGATCTTTCCAGACTTGGAGGAAAACTTTGATGTAAATTCAGATAGTGCCAGCCAAACATCACTAGATGATGAGAATTACTTTATTGTTGTTAGCCTAACAGAGATTGGCTTTAACTTTATTAACCACATTCTATTCTCAGATCAATTGAGCTCCGGCTCTGGGTCAGAGCACAGCAATGAGAGCTCGCCGTCCACCTCGCATGAGACTTTTAATGGCGACGCTGAGTTGTTGGCTCACAATTATGATAGTTGTCCTGATGAATTATTGGATGAGGCAGTCTCTAGTTCAACCACAACATATACTAACCAAAATACTAAAATACAAAATACTAACAAAAATACCAAAACACGTCCCAATGGTAAACTAACAAATGGTTCACTAAGATGGTCAAGTCAAAGCAAAACAAATCAACTAAATGCCGATGATCATAATAATAATGAGCTTGTTATCGATGATGATGATGACAATGGCAATGATGATGTCAATAATAATAATGATGATGATGATGTTGTAATGTTGCGGCGCTTTGCCCCAGGTAACACGCACACAGCCATCACTCGGTGTTTGTTGTTGTCTCCTAATTTACATTGCTTTACTTGTGTTTACGTTTTTACGCTCTCTCTCTTTATGTCTCTCTCTCTCTTTTTATTCTTTTTTATTACTAGACTGGCTAAAAAACTATTGTTTATGCTTAACTTGATTAGAGTCAGTGAAACTCATGTTTAACCCAATTGCAGGCTCCATAGCAGAACGTGAGGTAAAGAAATGGTACAATGCCGTTGAGATGCCCAACAACCCGTATGCGCCGGAGGCATTGAAGCAACGCATCAGCGGCACACAGGAACGCTTCATGGATGTGCCCAATATAAGTCCCAGTGCGGAGCACAAGGCGCTGGCGCTGATGGCGAATGCAGCAAACAATGGAGAGCAGGAGCCAGCCAAGGAGGATTACAAGCGGTAACTCGACTCGGCTATTAATTGAAAGTCTAATATAAACTTCCTTGTCTAACCGACAGATATAGTCGAGATTATTACATTAACAATGCTCCATTGGCGACCACGCCCACTCGCACCGCCTCCTTGGCATGCAGCAGCAGCAGCAACAGAAGCACGGAGCCAGCGGACGAGGACATTGTCATCAATGAGGTAATTCCCACGCATGGCAACCATGGCATTTCAAGTAGCGCTCAAAGCTCAAACCTCGCTGACCTCTCGCATTGGACGCTGTCGAAGCCAGTGCGTCGCAGCAGCTCGCTAAAGTTCATTAACAAACCTACTTGCCCCACCCCCCCATTTATGACACTAGCCAACGGTTACGAGCGCCCCTCGACGTCGGCTTCGCATTATCGCGACTCCGGCTTAGGCCATGAGCCGGATGATGACTTTGACGTACGTTCGCAACGCTCCTGGCACAGGCAGCAGCTGCCCAAGAGGCACACGCAATCGACGCTGAGCTTGCTTAGCAATGGCAGTGGCAGGTCCTTCGGTTCGTCCGTGTCCAAGAGGCATTCTGCGGGTGGTCCTTCAGCGGCTGTGATCACACAGTTCGAGAAGCAGCTGCTGCACAAAGACCTCAAGCGCAATAGTTTTCGTGCTGTTAGTGCCACGTCCAAGGATTTCGTTATGAATCCCCTGTTCGAGAGCGATCAGCAGGCAAAGCCTGCCAGCCTAGACGATCAAGATTCGGGTGTAGATAGTTGTTTAAATGGGTTCAGCAATAATAGTCTGCTCTTCTAGCAGAGCTCCCTTTCATATCGGGTGGTTGTATGTGGGTTTTGATTGCGGGGGATTTCCATATATATATATAGAGGAAAGAGTAGATAGTTAGCTGTTAGTCTCTGCCAAAATAATATGTTAGTCAATCAAGTTTTAAACACTAGTCAGTAAAGACAAAACACACACACACACAAATACACACGTACACACACACACTTAGGCACAAATTCACATAGTGTAGAGAATCTCCAGCACGTGTTTTAGGCTTTTAGGCAGAGAGTGTCATCTGCTCCCTATTCAAATGTACATTCCAAAATTCCCAAACACAACAAAATGAAAAAAAAAACTGAGCAACTGCAGCACAAACAAATTTGCATTCACATCACTATCGAGAACTGAGTTCTATCTAATCTACAATATAATAATATGCATATATATAAATATTAAACAACAATATATAAATACAAAACTAAATAATTGTAATTGCTAATTGCCTAATGCTAATGCGCCCTAAAATATGCAGCACTTTTTTCTTTGTATGTTTTTTTTTTTAATTTTTAAATTATGATTTTGTTGCTGTTAATTTTTAAACATAACTCTTGTATGCACACTTAGTTAATTCATTTTACTGCTAACTTCTTTTTATATATATATATATATTAAAAACAAACAAAAACAACAACAATAGAAATACAGAATAAAGCCAAAAGTTAAACAAACACAAATAATAAAAACTCATAAATGAAACAAATGTTTTTAGTAAAAACTGATCACAATGTCGGGGTGAGTACAAAGCGAATTGAGCAAAATGAAGCTTCATTTATTTAAATAATTATTGTTTATGGCATTTTACTAACGGCATTTGTTTCACTCTCTGCTATATATAAGTACGTTAAATAACTCGCATAAACAGAAGTTTTGAATGTATTTGTAGCTGTATTTGAATTTTGTATGCATGCTGTTGCTGCTGCTTGTACATCATCACCAACACACACACACACACACATAAGCATCACATGTACACATCACATTCCATATATATATATATATATATATATATATATATACATTCATACATATCAATCTGCCAAGCTAATTATCAGCTGCGCTTCAAATATTTGATTGTACCTAAACAAATTCTTTTTTCCAACAACTAACCAACATGCATACAATATTGTACCTATTGTACCAAATGTACCTAAACAACACAACACTACAAATGAACACGCAAAACCCAAATCCAAAAAAAAATCAATGTTTTCTTAAAAAAGGCTCTCAAGACAAGCCAAGCCGCAGTCGAACAGCCAGAGGCGCCACTGCAACAGGAGCAGGATAAACTCCCCGATATGTCCACAGACAACAAGTGTATTTATACAGCTCTGCCCGCCCAGGTGCTGGACGCGGGCAGCCTGGATAGCCAATCGAATCAATCAGTGCTAACGACTAGCGATGATTCGGACACCGTGCGTATCTACGATTTCAATAAGCAGGAGACGACTGTCCTGAAGACGAGCACGTCCACAACTACGTCATCTATGGAGTCGGCTTTGGGCGGGGCAGCCACCACCAACACCTCCTCCTCCTCCGCCGCTGACGCCAACAGCAATAGCAGCTCCATAGATGCATCACGTAAACGTGAACGGCCCGTTGTGCTGCAATTCGGACCTGCAGACACAACGCCCAATGTCTGCTCTTCGCCCACGGTGACACCGACCCGCGGCTCAACGCCGCCAGCTTTTCGTTTTCTGCAGCCAAAGCGACGGCTGATTGAGCCAAGTCAAGTGCTGTCTATAGACGATGATGAAATGGTGAGTCAAGCAGTTCCCAGGTGAGCTATACACTTAAATTTCGAACATTTGCAGCCCGAGGCAACAACTACGCCTTTGGATAAACCTGCTATTGAGGACGATGTAGTGCACGCCTTGCCCTCGGTCAAGGCTCTAGCACAGGCTTTCCTGCTGACCAGTAAACGCGTGCAGCCCGAAAGACGTTGGCGTGCCAAGGCAAGCTGATTTAGATATATATCTAATTGTACAGTTGATTTATAGTTTACATTTTAGACACTGCAACATCATGCCAAGCTAATGACACCACCGCCCGATACACCTGAGAAGCCCTCGACGCCGCAGTCGCGCAGGCAAATGCTGCAACACGCCGTCTCCATGGCTGAGGTGGCCGATGAATCGACTATATCGTCCGATTTATCATCCCTGGAAACGTATGTAGCTGTAGATATATGATTAACCTTAATCTTAACGTTTTCCAACACCGACAGCGATCCCTCCCTGCATTCGGATGGGCAACCATTAGCCATACCCATTGCATCGCCTGCAAGTCCAGTGCCCGTTCGCCGTGGATTCCTTCGCAGCAATATTGCTTTCTTTGAAAACTTAAAGTTTAAGTGAATATTGAATTTAATTGAATTTACGCTGTACGATCGCCATTCGCTGATATTCCACAAGCAGTCAAGGAATATGCACATCAATGGCGCACAGCATCCCGCATACCAAAATGAACACCAAATATCAATAATCATGTGCCATGGCCACCGAGGAGAATATTAATTCGAGTATTCAAGACAGTACTTAAAACTAAATTGTATGCCCAGTGTGCGCGCATAGTTAGCTTTTAATTTGTATTTATTATAGCTAAACTTAATTACTTATTATATCCATGGATACTATAAATTAAATATTTAATATATTTTATTTAGCTCTACGACATGTATTTCGATTTAAGCCATGCAAAAGACCCTTTCTATCGATATCGATATCGATAACTCTAATATTTAACTGTTATACATATAGTCATGTACCAATAAACTGTTATACATAGTATTATGTACCAATAAAGAAGAAACTTAATTATTGTTTTACCACACTTAGGACATTCAGCAGTTAAGATTTGGCTATAAACTCAAGTCTATTATTATGTAGACATTGTACAAGTCACAATTGGTACTTTATTGCTATGAATTAAATATTTTTATAAAAATAAATTCTATGGCTCGTAGCTGCTGCATTTAAAATGCATTGGTTTCGGAGCAAAGAAGTGTTAGAGGAGAGAATTAAAATCGTAGCACATTTGGAATGGACTGAGACTGTTCATTCACTTCGGCTATGAGGTGTGATTGTGATGTGGATGCTCCGCCAGATATATGACATAGACCAATGGGATGACAACACAGAGTGCGAGTATAAATATCAGCAGACATATCCACGACATGTCACAATCCGAGCCAGACCAGTCAATCGCCCGCAACGAAGGACCAGGAATGGGACGAATAATGGGCGCATGCCTATCCACTAGCATGTCATCCAGCAGGGCCGTGTTGTCGTCCATGGGCTTCTCCATGTTGGCTGCATAAAAACAAAAACAAAATGCAAAATTACACAGATAAACAAGGAATGAAATACGAACAATGCCCCCAATAATGGTGTATACTATATACTTTAGATCTTTTATTTACTTATTGCCCTGCTGGAGCAATTACAGTTGCAGACTTAAAGGCTCACGGCGCAGCAAATGAAAAATATTGAGGGTGTATAAAACGTAAACTTAATTGTAGGTCATATAACGTGGAGTGGCGCTGAACTTGGCGTAGCTCTTGATGACTTTGTTGACAGCTTCGAGGAAGTCTTTTTCGGTGGCCACCTTGCGACGGGCACGTATGGCAAACATGCCCGCCTCTGTGCACACGGACCGAATCTCTGCGCCTGTCGAGTTGGGGCACAGACGTGCCAGCAGGTCAAAACGAATGTCACGTTCCACGGACATCGAGCGGGCGTGTATCTTAAAGATATGTGAACGGCCATCCTGGTCGGGCAGTCCAAACTCCACCTTACGATCCAAACGGCCGGGACGCATAAGCGCAGGATCAAGTGTATCAGGTCGATTAGTGGCCATCAACACTTTTATGTTGCCACGCGGGTCGAAGCCATCCAACTGATTGATTAGCTCCAACATAGTACGTTGAACCTCGTTGTCGCCACCAGCACCGTCATCAAAGCGTGCGCCGCCAATAGCATCAATTTCGTCGAAGAAAATCAAGCAAGCCTTCTTGGAGCGGGCCATTTCGAACAGTTCACGCACCATACGTGCGCCCTCACCCACATACTTCTGCACCAGCTCCGAGCCGATGACACGAATGAAGCAGGCATCTGTACGATTGGCCACAGCACGGGCACACAAAGTTTTGCCAGTACCAGGTGGACCAAACAAGAGCACACCCTTTGGTGGTTCAATACCCAAGTTGACGAACTTCTCAGGATGCAGCAAAGGTGTTTCCACAACCTCGCGCAATTTCTCTATTTGCTCCTTGCAGCCACCGACGTCGCTGTATGTGACATCTGGTTTGTCTTCAACCTGCATCATCGTTACCGTGGGATCAATTTTGGGTGGTAGCGGTATGTGAATCTGATACTTGTTGCGATCAACGCCTACTCGCATGCCCTCCTCAATATCCGTGGGTGCAACGGAATCAGCTAGATCCACCACAAACTTGGCAAACTGCTTTACATTAATAATGTACTTAGGATCATCGGAGTCAGCGTTGATAATCTTTGTGCAACGCGCAACCTGCAGCGGTTGCTCATTTTGCAGTATTTGCTTGTCGGCAGCCAAGTCCCACAAAGCAGGCGGAGCCAAACCTGTATCGCTCTCCTTAATGCCTGTTAGCTCGTTGACTTGTTTCACGGCCTTTTGTATGTCCTCTTCGATGCTCTTTATAGACTTGTGATATTGGCTCTGACCGTACGTCTTAAGTAGTTCAATATCGCCCTCGTCTAGGGATTTAATTTCCTTATCCTCCTTATTTTCATCATGCTTTACTTTGCGCTGATCATCTCCCAGATAGTCCGGCATTTTGTTTTAGTTGTTTATCAGCGAAATATTTAATAAATTTGTATGTTTTTTCGCCAACGCTTGTGTTTTCTGACAATTTTTAATGGCGAGTGTGACCGTATTTCGAATGACTAAACAAATTGCTGGCTGCGCCCAACTTCACTGCTTACTTAACAGAAAAATACTTAACAGATGCAGGGTGACTCAAAAGTAAAATTACTGTGCTTGGTTGGCCAGCTCTAGCAGCTGTTAAAGGCATTCACATTGAAATTTTTGAATTTATGATAACTAAATGCTAGCAACCTTAATATTAAAAACAAATAATCCACTCACCGTCATCATCTGGATAGCCATGAGCGCCTTCATAGAATTTGCTGCCATCTCTTCGGATTGAAGCTGGAACTTCTCCAGCTACAGTACCAGAGGCGTTCACAGCTGCCACCAAAAGTCGTTCACCCAGCATCATTCGTGCATCCTCCAGCGGATTACGCTCAATGGCCGGCTCTTGGTCTATATTGTGCCTAGGGCTATTGTTCCCGCTACGATGTATGGCAGGCAAGGCATCACCATCGCTTGCTCCCAGCAATACGTTGTGCACTGTAACTGGAATCCGAATAATTCGACGTGCGTGTATCTCATTGTCGCGATCAATCTTGTTCAAGCGCTTGATGTCCGCTACAGAGCAGTGAAAACGCAGCGCCAATGCTTGCAATGTATCGCCCTCTTGTACTTTTACCTCCAGTGTGTTCTCTAAGCGCGACATCTTTGTGTGGCCGCCACTAGATCCGTTTGCCAACTGCACCATCTCCATAAGTGCACTGTCGTGGGCGGGTCTGGCAAATATATCATCCATTCCGTCTGACTGCGCATTCTCCCAGTTGTACTGTTGTTGGCGCCTGAAATATGAAATATGATGCATGCGTTGATTCTCACAGCAACAGCAATCGAGTCGAGTTGGCGTTGACTTACACATTTCGACGCATTATATTTTGGATTTGCCGTTTATTACTGAATGCGTCTCCGTTGGCACTGGCTGTACTGTCACTCAATTCTCAAATGACAAGCAATATTGTATGTTCGAAAACAGTACTACCAGCAAATGTCACCTTTATTTACGTAAAATTTTGGTGTGAAATAAACACAACAAACCCACGTCTCTGGCTCACAAAGTTGTGCACTTGAAACGCCCTGTGTTTTTATTTTAATTTAAACAAAGAGGAAGAGCTTGTTTTTATTTTGCGCTTTAAAAGTTTTTCCAACAAATTTCTAAAGATGAGTTTAAATCTTGATACTATGTTGTGTTCATTTATGGCTTGGTTCCTGGGGATTGCCGTGATAGTGTTATTTATTAAGTAAGTGTAATTATTAAAATTCGAATTTATAAAAATTCGAGCAAATAGCAACCCTGGTATAATACCCTATGCCTGCACACAAAATGTTTACGGATTAAACAGTCATTTTACACAGATCACTCGACACGCCAAATCATTAAAAAAACACACTCGTTTTGTTACAATTCTGCATTAAATCTTAATAAACTTTTGGTTTCGTGATGGATATGTCAAATAAACAGCTCTTCATTGAGCTGTTCATTGGTCACAGGGTATTTTGACGCCTACACACCCCTGACCATCGCGATCGCATATTTGTGCACAAACGCGCGTTGGATTATGCACACTACTGTTTATTTAATATAACCGCATATAAAATGTCGTTATTTACATTTCTGAAGAGTCGCCCCATATTCTGGCTGAGCGTAGCTGGAACCACTGTGGGTGGCGCCTGTTTTATAAAGTAAGTTACAATTCGTTTAAGTCACAATATGATAAAAAGACAAAAATATTTGCCACCTTAAGGGATCTTATGCAAGGCTGTAATTTCACTAAGGAAACTGATGAATGCAACACAGTTGCTATTGTCACCGGCTCCAACACGGGCATAGGCAAGGAAACTGTGCGGGAGTTGGCACGAAGGCGAGCCATTGTCTATATGGCCTGTCGGGATATGAAAAAGTGTGAAGCGGCACGTGAGGAGATTGTCTTAGAGACGAAAAACAAATTTGTGTATTGCCGAGAATGTGATTTAGCTTCCTTGGATTCCATACGTAATTTTGTATCCACGTAGGTTCCATCTGTTGTTGACCAGTTTCATTCACGCAATTGCTAACAAATTGTCGAATCCTTGCAGTTTTAAGAGGGAGCAGGACAGTCTACACATACTCATCAATAATGCAGGTATCATGCGCTGTCCACGCATGCTGACCGCTGATGGCTTTGAGATGCAGCTGGGTGTCAATCACTTGGGTCACTTTCTTCTGACCAATTTAATGCTAGACTTACTCCTGGTAAATGAATTGACAAAGAAATTTTTCCTATATAGTTTCATTAACTTGTATCCTAGAAATCGGCTCCCAGTCGTATTGTAAATGTCTCTAGTCTGGCGCATACGCGCGGTGAAATCAATACGACGGATTTGAATAGTGAGCATTCCTATGACGAGGCTAAGGCTTACAATCAAAGCAAGTTAGCAAACGTTTTATTTACCTTGGAATTGGCCCGTCGCTTAAAGGGAACTGGAGTCACGGCATACGCTGTGCATCCTGGCATAGTGGACACCGAAATCTTCAGACACATGGGCTTCTTTAGCAACTTCTTTGCAGGGTATTTATATAGATGGATATAAATTGTGAAAGTTGGATTCGCTGTCCTATAATCGGCTTATATTGCAGTTTATTTGTTCGACCCCTGTTTTGGCCATTTGTGAAGACTGTGCACAATGGGGCGCAAACTACATTGTATGCTGCTCTTGATCCGGACTTGGAGGAAATAAGCGGGGTATATATTTCCGACTGCAAGATCCAAATGCCAGCGCCTGTAGCAACCGATACTCAACTTGCTAAATGGCTTTGGGCTGTCAGCGAAAAATGGACGCGAGCAGAAATTCTGGAGGTTAAGACTGTTAAAAATACAGTTCCCATTTTAAAGGATGTAGTATAATTTGATTTTTATGTTTTAGTGTACATAATAAATTGGTATATCGATCGATTTCAACATAATTGTGTGCTAGTGCTCATTTACGTTTCGCGCTTCCAGTAGCTTACGACGTGGTTGTTATTGTCATCGTGAATTGTCGTTTTTATCAACTGAAAGCTCTGAGTCACATTGACTGCAAACAAGTTATACGCAGTAATACTCACAGCAGTTGTGTTCTGACTGCCTTCGCGGCGAGTAGCTAATAATTGTTTAAGCAATGCTGTGTTGTTTGACTGATTGTCTTCCGTGCCCCTGCGTCGCGTGGCCTGCACTCTTTGGCCTTGGCATTTATTTTCTAAGGTATAATCAGTGCTAAGTGATACATATATATGTTTATGCATTAACTTTATTAAAAATTCGTTTATTCTTCCAGAAAATACATGCAAGGCGGGCAGTTCACCAAGCAGACTAATGAGACCGGCAAAATTGTTATTGTAACTGGCTCGAACACAGGCATTGGCAAGGAGACTGTCTTGGAGCTGGCGAGACGCGGAGCCACCGTATATATGGCTTGCAGGGATAAGGCTAGAACAGAGATAGCACGTTTGGAAATTATAGAAGAAACCAAAAACAATAATATATTCTTCCGTGAACTCGACCTGGCATCACTGGACTCCATTCGCAAATTTGTGGCTGAGTAAGCATTTACTGAATTATTCTTAAATTCCTGATTTATTATAAACTTAATTTTTATTAGCTTCAAAAACGAAGAAGACAAGTTGCACATACTGATTAACAATGCTGGTGTTATGCGCTGCCCACGCATGCTGACCAAGGACGGTTTCGAAATGCAGCTAGGAGTGAATCATATGGGTCACTTTTTGCTAACCAACTTGTTGCTCGACTTGCTAAAGGTACGCTAGCTACTACTTAATTGTCGAGATTCATATTATTAATTTGCCGCTTACAGAAAGGTGCCCCCAGCCGTATTGTCAACGTTTCCAGTTTGGCCCACACGCGTGGCTCTATTAATATAAATGACTTGAACAGCGAGCAGTCATATAGCGAGGGCGATGCCTACAGCCAGAGTAAATTGGCCAATGTTTTATTCACGCGTGAATTAGCTAAACGCCTCAAAGGCAGTGGAGTGACCGTGAATGCTCTACATCCGGGCGTTGTGGACACAGAGCTGGGCAGGCACATGAAGATCCTGAATGGCGCATTTGGACGCATTGTGCTAAGAACTTTGTTGTGGCCATTGCTGAAGACGCCAAAGAGCGGAGCACAGACTTCATTATATGCAGCCCTCGATCCAGATTTGGAGAATGTAACTGGCGTTTACTTTAGCGATTGTAAAGAGAAACAAGTAGCGCCCGCTGCTACCGACGATAAAACCGGCAAACTTCTCTGGGAGGAGAGCGAAAAATGGACCCATTTGAAGAAACTAGATTAATTATAACACATTTTGAGAAATAAACAAAACTAAACAATAGAAATGTTCGCCATATGTAGGTGTACGGCCCTTCAGTATTCGTTATCTCGCACTTTATTATTTATCATTCAACTGATTACGAAAGTAATCGACTGCTCGTACACCCGTTACGGGTCAGTTAATTGTTGAACTTAGCCGAGTGAAGACCTTAAAAACGAATAGATGTGCATTTTCATTGATTGCCTGCTTAGTCCATTCATAATATGGCCCACAGCCATTGGCCTTGCCGGTTACTTTATCAGGTAAATTGGCTATATATGGGATATTTACTATTATATATTAGTGTTACATTAGACAGTACATGCAGGGTGGGCAATTCACAGAGGAAACTGATGAAACTGGCAAAGTCGTAATTGTAACCGGTGCAAATGCAGGCATTGGCAAGGAGACCATCTTAGAGCTGGCACGCAGAGGTGCTACAGTCTATATGGCTTGCCGGGATAAAAGTCGAGCTGAAGAGGCGCGCAAGGAAATTATCAAGGTGACTGGCAATCAAAAGATATACTTTCTTCACCTCGACCTCAGCTCGCTTGCATCAGTGCGTAAATTCGTAGCAGAGTGAGTGGGCAGTTAAACCTGTTAGAGATAAGCCACCATAATTACGTAATATTAGCTTCAAGGCAGAGCAGAATCAACTACATATTCTCATAAACAATGCGGGAACGTTTTCTGGCACCCGTCGTCTTACAAAGGATGGATTCGAGATGCAGCTAGGCGTCAATCACCTGGGTCACTTTCTGCTGACGATTCTATTGCTCGACTTGCTAAAGGTAAAGCTAACACGCACTTATAAATATGATTATATATTATTTTATATTTTATAGAAATCATCGCCAAGTCGCATCGTAAACGTGTCCAGCATAGCACACACTATAGGCAAAATTAATGTTGATGATCTGAATAGCGAGAAATCCTATGACGGGGGCGCAGCGTACTATCAAAGCAAGTTGGCGATCGTGATGTTTACTCGGGAGTTGGCCAAGCGCTTGGCAGGCACAGGAGTGACCGTCAATTCTTTGCACCCTGGCGTAGTGGATACGGAAATATTGGCAAACTACAATGTCGCACAAAATCGCTTAATTAGGTGAGTAAAAATTGAGACTGAACTCGATTTGCATTATACTCACTCGGCCCACATATTATCGTACAGATATAACGTCATCAAACCAATTTTATGGCCATTTCTGAAGACACCCAAGAGTGGGGCACAAACCACAATATATGCAGCTATAGATCCCGGCTTGAATGACGTCACTGGGCAATACTTTAGCGATTGCAAGCCAAAGGAAGTGGCGAAATTGGCCAAAGATGAGAAAGTGATTCAGTTTGTGTGGCAGGAGAGCGAAAAGTGGACAGGAGCGCCAAAAGTGATTTGAGTTATGGGTTTATTTAACATACGAGTGGATGCAGCAGACGCGCAGTGTTTTTTTAAATCAGCTGCATAAATACATTTTTATATACGTTAGCTTGGATAATTTAATTTTGTTATGATTTCGGACTAATTGGCTTTTGCATTAGCTATTTCGCCAGCTTCGATGAAGATTCTTGAGTAGAGAGCATGTGTAGTCGGTTCCTTCTTGTCGGGCGTATTGGACACGGTATTGACGTACGTGTACTGCATATAGAAGCCCAGAGTCACAGCGTTGCCCGACTGCAGCTCAGCTGCAGGCGTAAAGTCGAGACGTATTAACACCTTGTTGCCCTTACGCCAAACTATGAACTTGGGTTCCTCAGTGGGCGCCTGGACATCTTCATCAAATTCCTTGGAATCATCACGTTGGTTCAGCACAAACGGACCTTCCAGTGGTACAATTGTTGCATTTGCAAGCTCACGCACCTCACGTTTCACCTCTCTGATCGAGTTCTGACGGGCCAAAGTAATACCCGTTGTCTTGAGCAGTGGCGATGATGTAATGGCCTCTTCCTTGATTCGGCACGCCTGCAGGAGTGCATCCGGGCTGATTTGAGCATCCTGTGGTGCCACATCCAATACACTTATGGTCATGTCGTACATTGTGGGATTTGTGAACTTTAGGAATATCGCATTGGCCTGGCCAGACTGCAGCGGCTGCTCGCAGCGGACCATAACGACCTCCGGCACATGGTAGCTAGCAAAGAGCTGTATGCGATACTTGATGGATGTGGGATGATACTCTGGCTTGATCAGATTGTGCTCACACTGACGACAACGTAGCGAACGCTTGATCCACAACGAACGTCGCTGTGGGTAGAGCTTGCTTACAGCCTCGGGCTGATCAGCGGGCTGGCTGTGCCTCTGCGCCACTGTTGTGATATTTCGCAAATTTATTGGCTGCGTAAAGATGGCCTCTGGTAGAGCCTCAACCTCTGCGCTGGCCTCTGCGGCCGCTATGTTAATGGGCTTTGTCTTCGGTATACTCTTGTCGCTCCAACCGATTTGGCGACGTATGAGCGAGACTGTCAGGCCCGTGCGATCGGTAAGACTGGGAAACTTGTGCTGCTTGGGCGTCTTGCGGCGCAGAAACTCCTGTTTCTCTTGCTTCTCCTGCAGTACGAGCGACTGATAATACTCCATCAAGGTGTTGAAACGCACTTGGTACAAGCATTCCTTGTCCGGCCAGGTGCCCGTTGCTACGCCCTGATCGGGTATGCCAACATCACGAGTAGTCCAACGGCAGGACAGACACGACAAATAATACATTTTCTTTGTAGTTGGCATTGCCGAAGGTTTTGGACTGGGTGTGGCCTCCGTCGCACTTTCACCATCCTTAGGCTCCTCTGGCTTTCGCACAATCGGAACTGTGGCGGCCCTCGCAGAGAGCGTGTGCTGACAACAAGGACAATCGAAGCAGTTGGCACAACAGTTTTTCTTGTGTCTGGCCTCCGAAGATGGAATGTTCTCCAGGCAGTTCGAACAAAAGTGTGACTCAATCTCGTGGCAAACGCAAAAGCCACATCTCAACTTCGGACAATGGCGACAGAAGAAGAGCTTGTTGATGGGATTCAAAATGCCGCATGAGCAGGCATATTTCACGGGACTCGGCTGCATGAAACTCATCTTTGCTTTTGGAAAGCCAATTTACACTTTTTCAGACGAATTTCCCTTCCTCTTCTTTCAGCAAATGACGACAGCTCAGCTGTCAGCTGTCTCATTATCGTTTAGTATTTTTTGGTTGCATCTACTGGTTGCTGTTCTTGTATTTAACAGTGATATGTTAACATTTAACATATTTGCTCCTCAATTTAACAGAAGTGCAATTTTCCATTAGTTTGTTTATAAGGCAATAAAAAATTAAATAAAATTGGTAATAATATTTTAAGATATAATTCAAATAAAATTCGCGAACTCCCAAGACGATTTTTACGATTAGCGCACAAAAGTATGCAAAAAGTTTTATACCAAATTTTTTTCGCTTACTTAAATGAATAACAAATGAAAATTTAAATTATTGATTTGCCCAACTTTGATTTGGTTCGGGTAAACTAACTTCATAGGCATTACTGAAAAGTTATAAGTACTATATTTAATTTATGTATGATATACAAAAAAGTATCTTTGATGTTAGTTACTCGGTGATTAGCACTCAGCTGCCAAGCTCTACTAACAATTAGATTAAATATTGTTACAGTTATGCTAGTTTACATAAGCGTACACAAATTCTAATCAAAATATTGGCATAAGGGTGTACAGTTGACTAGAATATGAGTACAATGTATAACTAAAAAATATTGCAAGTTTGTGTTCTAAGTCTTTTGTTTAGACAGTTAAATATTTGGTTTCAGATAAAACTTTAAATTTGTTTAAGAATTGTTCTCAATTGCGTTTAAAAATGTTTATTATTAGTCTAAATAATATAAGGTACTTGTTGATAACATTGTAATAATATTAAGTAACAATATTGATAATAAAAACAGCGTCAGTCTGTGGTCTCTCTTGGCCAGGTCATATTTGAAGCTTAGCCAAAGAAGTTGGGCACGAAAAGCTTCTTGCGCTTTGTGCGCGACTTCCTATAGCGCAAAATTGGTGAGAATTTGTAGCTATCCGACAGTTGGCCGCTGCTATATGGATTGAGACTGCGCTGGCTGGAGGCACTTGAGCTGGGCACAGGTGCTATATAGCCATTATCCACATAGTAATAGCCGGTATTTAGCTTATCCAGTTGATCAGATGTGAGGGGCTTGCCGTAGATGAAAGCATACGAGTTGTCGTAACTTTTGTGATCGTAGCTGCGATCATAGTCGCTCTCATAGCTATCGAGATCATAATAAATGGGCTTGGCATGACACTGCGATAATTTACAGATCATGATGCTGAGCATCAAGCTTAGCCAGGTATAAAATTGCTGTGAATGGACGATATACCATATAAGATATATACACGGAATATGGTATATATTTATGCTTACCTTTAACTCCATTATCCTTTGAATGCTATCCTTCAGTTGCTTGATATGCTTGGAACGTTTGCTGTTTGGGTTCTGTATGCTTAACTCAAAAGAATCCCACACTTATATACAAAAAATGTGAGCGCCGATTCGCACCCAAATGTGAAAATATATGTTGTTATTGTTATTGTTATTGCCTTTAATTACATTTTCACTCGCCAGCTATGACGCAATTTTTTGTCACTCACTAAGAGATCTCTTTCATTTAAGCAGCCGGTTTGACTTCGCAAAAATCGTATGCGGCGCGACATCTTCTCATGATTCACATTGTGGTCTAGGTTCTAATTGATTTACTTGATTTGCCGCGTGCGCGATTCTAGTTTTGTTTGGAAAACTTTTAACAATGCGGAAAGATTTGACTTCGTCGAATGATTTGCTTAAGCTTTAATTAAGTTTGGCTTGTCCATTTGTTTATTTTCTGGCATTTGTACATTTCCCATTCAAATGATATTGCTAATCCCAGACAATCTTAATTATTTTATTTTGTGAAATTTAATTTAATTTTCATTCTGTAGCGTTACATATATATATATATGTCGGATTAGTGTTACTTTCCATTGCGTTAGCGCAGTGAGTTTCGGTCGCACTCGAGTTTTAACAAAGACTGACTCGAGACGCACAATTCTTGTGCGTGTCTTCCACCGAACCACACTCGGCGACAGCGACAGAACGCTGTCGCCCCGCTAAAACGGGACTTTACCAAACTACAAAACTTAGGCAACCAATCACATAATGTTGCAGTTATGTTTCTACGAAAATGCTCGAAGACGCACCAATATATATGAAGTGTGACCTTCAAACATATTACCAGCACGCGCCGGCAAGGCGCCTATACATTTCTACTACCTACTCTCCGACACGGCCATCCTGACCATAACACGACCTCGTGTAATTCCCCAAAAATGTTTTACTGCAGAAATCGTTTTGTTCATAAATTATCGAATAGAATTTAACATTAACATTTTCCCTACAACTTTACTAATTACAACTACATCATTTTAGCTTCAACTTTTACTTTCTTCCAGAATTTTAATTTCATCTCTTTGTATCATTCTTAAATTTATAAAATTCTTCTTTAAATTAATTTAACTTTCTTGATTTTTTTTTTTTTTTTTTTTTTTTTTAATTTTTATTTATTTATTTACTTATTACCATAAACCCAACTGGTTTCGATTTTCATCATCTTATGCGCCACACGCCATGATCAAAACATTTGTTTTGCACTTGTGCTTGCATTATGACATTCTTTAAGTTTTATAACTAGCCTTTCAGGCATCCATACTGTCTCTTTCAACAGTTTCGATCATTCCATTACTGTCTCTTTCAACAGTTTCTTTTTCAATCATTCCATTACTGTCTCTTTCAACAGATTCTTTTCCAATCATTCCATTACTGCCTCTTTCAACAGATTCTTTTCCAATCATTCCATTACTGTCTCTTTCAACAGATTCTTTTCTAATCATTCCATTACTGTCTCTTTCAACAGATTCTTTTCCAATCATTCCATTACTGTCTCTTTCAACAGTTTCTTTTATATCAATACTGTCTCTTTCAACAGTTTCTTTTTCATTATCATTTAAAGCCTCTTCACTACTTTCTAGTTCAACTGGTACATACTCCTCTGGTAATTTTCGTATCTCTTCGTGAGCATACTTGTACTTTCTATTATTTGTCAATGATCTAAGGATATATCTATCTCCGTCTAACAATTCAGCTATTTGCAACGGTCCTCTAAACTTTGGGCTTAACTTTGTTTGATGCCTTTCTTCACTCTTCAACAACACAAAATCTCCTACTTTGTATCCAACAACCTTAGCCTTGGTTTTATCAAAGTGCGCTTAGTATATGCTGCCGCTGCTGATATATTTTGCACCGCTCAAGCTCTTGATTCTTCCAAATCAACCTCTTGTGTCATGTCGCATAGTGAAAGCAACCCCAACGGTCGAGCAATCTCATCCAATGCATCCTAAGACCCTTACATAAATTTCCGAAAATATGACGCCAATCCAATAAATTGTCTTAAAGCAGAGACCGACAGCACTAATATCGTAACCCAAAAATTGGACAGATGACTTTAAGAAGAAACACTTTGTAATGATAATCCAGCCTCCGTAGGAACATTTAACACAATGTGTTTGCCAGATCTCCTAAAGCCTGTATAACTAATCGTTGAAAGACAGAAGGTTCGTTTCGAAGTCCGAATGGCATAGATAAAAATTCGTACTGTCCATCTGGTGTCACAACGCGGCATACTCAATAGAATCTGCATGTAAGGGAATTTGATAGTATCCGCTAGCCATATCCAAACATGTAAAATAATAAACTCCTTGAAGTCTATTTATTTGATCGTTTATAAGTGGAAACGGGTATCTATCAGCCACAGTGTTTGAGTTTAATTGTCTATAATCAACACAGAGCCTATCCGAACCATTTTTCTTTTTTTTTTTTTTTTTTTTTTTTTTTTTTTTTTTTTTTTTTTTTTTTTTTTTTTTTACCAATAATTTGGGGCTAGCATAAGGTGAACAGCTGGGTCTAATTATGTTGCACGCAGTAGTTCTTCGACTTTATTTCGAACTAATTCTCGTTCACATGGACTCAGTCGATATGGTCTCCTGTTATAAAAGAATCTGAGTAGTTTGTCAACAGTGACTGCAACTTTATTTTATCTGTCCCCTCAAGTTCAGTATCCATTTCGGCTGACTCATTGCCGGTACATAAATTAACTATTTTAGTTCTTACGATCTTAAATTGATTTGATGAGACGACAATATCAAAACCCTGATTTAGTATTTCTCGCCCAATAACAATTTCGCTTTGCATTTGAACTGTTGCCTATGCCTTTTAACATAACAATATTCGTAAATCGTTTACCAGAAAATTTTTTTACTTATCTTTTCTTTCGTCAGTGAGCACTCCGCACCAGAATCGAAGGTTATTTCGAAAACTTGTCCTCTATGGTCCAGATATCCCTTGGGTACTGCAACCTACACTGTTCCACTCGTTTTTCCCGGTTGAATGTTATGTTCTTGTCAGCTTCCTTCCTTGTACACTGAGTGGATATGTGACCCAACTCTCCGCACTTGTAGCAAGTTACACTTGATTTCTCAAGATGATGGACGTCTTGCCTGCCATGTCGTTCCTTGCCATCTGTAAACGGGTTTCGTTGCGTCCTGAGTCGACAATCAATCATTTTATGGCCCAGTTTGCCGCAAAAATGGCACTCTATCGATGATTGTTTTTGTCTTTTTGGATGAATGTCAGTTTGTTGCTCCATAGGTCCACCTTTTCTTTTAGCAAAAGTGAACGCCTTCAGTTCGGACTGCAACTCGCTTCTGGTTCGAACATTTGATGTGAAGCTTAAACGCTGCAGGCGAGCATCAAAACTTGCCAGCAACGCAAGAGTCACAGACACGGCGATTTCTTCTGTTTCCATTTGGCGCCATTTCGTCGATAGTTCTGTAACCATGCGGCTTGCGTGAACTGCAAGATTCTCGCCGTCAGCCGGTCGACTTGACAACATGTTTAGAAACACGGCAGCTGGTGTTTCTGTAGTGTCAAAACGCTGGATGAAAAGTTCTTTAAACTCGATCCAGGTGATATTTGCGTAGCACACATGAGAAAGCCATTGAGAAGCGCTTCCCTCTAGTGCTGTACTTAGGGCCACGACCAGTGCACCGCCTTTTAATGAATTTTCTTGTAGAATAATTTCTACAGTGGTACACCACGATGAAGCCTTGGCGCCTGCGATGTCTGGGTTAAATTTCGGCAGTTGCACCGATTTGCTCTGTCCTGCGTCAGATGCCGTTGTTTGTAAAGCTTGCACAAGTTCAATTAGATTTTTATTCTGCAACTCCATGATGGTACGCCATGGTCCATCTAATGTTGTAGGTGAAGGGCCAGATCCCACTTCTGATGTCGGATTAGTGTTACTTTCCATTGCGTTAGCGCAGTGAGTTTCGGTCGCACTCGAGTTTTAACAAAGACTGACTCGAGACGCACAATTCTTGTGCGTGTCTTCCACCGAACCACACTCGGCGACAGCGACAGAACGCTGTCGCCCCGCTAAAACGGGACTTTACCAAACTACAAAACTTAGGCAACCAATCACATAATGTTGCAGTTATGTTTCTACGAAAATGCTCGAAGACGCACCAATATATATGAAGTGTGACCTTCAAACATATTACCAGCACGCGCCGGCAAGGCGCCTATACATTTCTACTACCTACTCTCCGACATATATATATATATATATATATGTATTTATAGATATTCATGGACCAGACACCTAAATATAGCTATATATTAGCATGTAGTCTTAAATAAAACAACAACAATAATTTGTTGTAGATGATTCATTGAAAAATTTTTTATTTTTATCCAAGAGAATTTTATGAAGAGAGTAAAGAGAGATAGATTTTTGTTATTATTATTATTTTGAATTTTTTGCTTCATTTTAATACTTCCAATGTTAAATCCATGTATTCGATGCTCATAAACTACGGTTTACAATATCTATTTAAGTTTTACTGCGCGTCCTCTATACTGAAAATATAGTCAGCAATTTATACGCATATATAGATTTTCATAAGCAAAAGACGCAAAATTATATTCTAGGCAGCATTCGTTACCAAATATGGTTACATTGAAAGAGAGAAGAGCTGGGATCTAAGCTGCTTCATCTGTGTTCACACTTAATAGTTTAACTTAGCTACAATTTCAATAAAATTTTAATTCTGTATCGTAAGTCTTTACCCTTTCTTTGCATGCCTTTTTAATGATTTCGATACTTATTCCTGTTTAGTATATTACAATTCATTTTACGGTAATGTAAATTGATTTCATTTAATATAAATATAAGCATGCTAATTAAATAAAAACGTCGCTGGCACAAAATAAATACTATAAGTGCGACTCGTAAACAACAACAACAACAATCAGTCAATCAACAGCGAATGTGTTTTCAACAATATTTTTATATATATAAATCTTCTCATAAATAATCGACGCATTTGTCAATATTTTGGCAGCCTCACATTGAGTGTGAAATTTTACTAAAAAAAAAAAAATAATTACTGTACGTCCGTAGTTAAATACTGCAGTAGGTGCCGCTAAAAAGTTTGTTACAAATATTACGTATACGCCTGAGATGGCAGAAACTATACTAGAAGTATCACGTACACGCCCGGGCTTACAGCTGGTATAGAAGTGTGACTTAAATTAGAGAGATACTTAACTGATTTGTGGCCTGGTCAACGACATTCTTAACGCACGTTTTCAATGCACGTTTCTGCTAACCACTATTCAAGCTCTGCATTTCGAAATATAGCACCTCTGCCAAGTGAAGCTACGAGTATTATTATTTTCGCTTCTCCCATTCTTCAGCTTGTTGTGCCAATTTTGATACCTGCCAGCTAATTAATTGCAATAAATACGAACGACACTTGAAGACGTTTATACATCTGCCTTACTTATTGCTGTTTGTCTGTTCTAAATTGGTGGGAAATTTCCTTAATGCATTGGCCTCTTTGTTTGGCAACGTCTCCGACCGTAAGCAAATAAATAAATATATCAATATTTAATTATAGCACATTAGCGTTCTAATTAATATGCAAATAAAATGTGGAAAATTTAATGTCTAGCTCTTTATTATACTAAAGTTATTTAAATGGATACTATTTGCAGGCTAGTAAAGGTTCTATCACATATGACCTGTGCAGCGTACACCTGTTGAGGCTTTTGCAATTCATATTTCAAGTCACAAACATTTGCAAGGCGTGCAAAATATTTCACGTCTAATTGATAATTACAATGCGAGCTGAAAATCGGAATCGGAATCTGCTTCGGGAACGTAAACATTAAAAGCTATACAGTACAATGCTGATAATTTATAACGCATATAAACAGTTCAAGGCGTGATTCTTACGATCAGCCAGCACTATCTTCAAGTGCTGTTCAAGGCGCAGCGGATTGCGCAGGACGGTGAAAGAGATTTTGATGTTGATGTTGATATAGAGGAAGTCCTTATTTGCTGTTTATTTCCTTATTTACATTTGAAATTATATGAAAAATAGCATACGTGACATATAAGCTTCAGTCTTCTTAAATAAGAGCTTATCACATGCGTTGAGCTAGCGAAACTAATTGGCTGGACAGGTTGTTGTCCAAAGTGCGTCATAAGAAGTTTTCGAATTTCAAATTTAATTACCATGCATTTTATCAATGCCTACGTCTTTCTCCACGTAATAAACTTGACATTCAATTTAAAATAAACAAAATCGAAACACGTTTTGAGCGTAGCGTTAGCCGATCAACAATCATGCCTATGTAATAGCAATAATATAACATTAAAGTTAATATACATTAAAGGTTAACGGTAAGTTAACAGTATTATTTCTTTTTTAACAGTAGATGTCCTTTGGGTTTCAGCTTATTCTGTATAATACGTTGCTTCTCAGCCTGGGCCTGCTTTTGCAGACGTTCGTGGCGCTCCTTCGCAAAGTCCAATTCGCCGCTGAGTTCCACAATTTTGGCTGCAATCTCCTGTTGCTTGAGTAGACGCTTATTCTGATTAGACTGCAAAACAATAAGAGTTAGACTACATTTTTATTCATAAATATATGAATATGATACTTACGCCTAGTGGGGTAGGCCTGCCGTCAAGGTATGTGTAATCCGGCAAATTTGTGAGTGGACCAAAAGCATTTGGATTCTCAGGTAATCCCTTTCCTGCTCGCCAGCCCTGATCGATGCAGCGTACGGCGCTGAGCGCAACATGCCGCTGTGCTGTTTTTTGTTGAAAAAATTTAATTTTAAATGAAAACCTCTATGATTTTCTATGATTTTATAACAGTCCACTTACCAGTAATAAAAGCAGAATTTGTAAGGCAGAAGTTACTTAGTTTTAACATTTTTGTATTTGGCAAAATATAAACACGCTCACATAACCACACCAGAGTTGCATTGAATAAGATTCATGTGAGCAAAATGTGCCAGCGATTTTAGTTCCTTTGGTTCATTGGAATGAACTTGAACGACCTGCACAGCTGATCTATTAATGATTAGGCAAATTTATCGGTAATACAACTTGTAAATGATATCGGCATAGCCATACTGATAGTGAAAAAAAATTTAATTAATTTTAAGTGAGTGAAAAGCATTAGATAAAAAAGTAGGTCACACAGAAAATGGCAACCAGAACGAATACTATTGAACGCAATGCCAATGGCACCTCCAAATCTTCGTCTCTACGTGAAATTTGCGCGCGGGCAATGACAAAATCCGAATGGGAAGACAAGGTGAGCTATCCAAAGAGCAGCGCGTGTTTTTTTTTTAAGAATGTTAATTAATTGTGCACATTTGTAGGATGAGTTTCTAGATGTTATTTACTGGTCACGTCAAGTGTTTGGCATCATACTCGGCATCATCTGGGGCATTGTGCCGTTAAAAGGCTTTCTGGGCCTCGTACTGTAAGTGGAGCCAGAGCCTATATATAGAACGTGGTACAGCTAAATAATATATATGATTTATACCATTACAGTTTTGCCGGCATTAGCTGTGGTGTTGTATACCTGTATGCCATCAACTTCCAAAATGTGGATGAGGATGCCTACGGTGGTGTGTGGGAGCTAGTGAAAGAGGGCTTTATGACATCGTTTGCCGGCTTTTTAGTGACGTGGATCATCTTCTACACCGGACTGCACTACGACACAATAATGGCAACCAAGAACTCATAATACTAGCCATATCAGGAAAATCCCGGAGGAATGCAACGAAGAGAGAAAGAGAGAGTAGAAGGAACAGGAGCAGAAGGAGCGCACTGCAATACAAGCAATAACAATAACCAATTCCAGAGTCCAAATGCTATTCCCGCAAATCCATTTTGCAGAGCCAAAGCATATTTACTAGTTGCCCAACTTATATATACTTCTTTTTGTCCGTTTGTAAATTGTTGAAACATTTTTAGCCAATTACGTAAATTATGTGTGTGCATTTGATTTAAATATTTACAATAATCGCCGGTTGTATTGCGAATTTGAGATTTTTTCTGTGAAAAATACACAAAGACAGCAACCTGTTGAGATCAATGAATAATAATAACATAGAAGATATCTATATAGATTTGACTCTACTGTGACTCTACTTTTATTAAAATATATTACTCTACACTAATAAGGTAGCTGACGACAGAGCTATATCTAGATTTAGATTTAGTAATCCATATCTACAGTTGGCACAGCTGCAGTTCCGTTGTGCCCGTTCTGTCCCAATTCGTGTTGAAATTTATCTGGTAGCTGGCCGCTTTGCAGGATCTGTGACAGTCTTTCCACCTCCGCCAGTGAGCTTGCCCTCTTGATGGCTTCTCGTATGCGTTGCATATCTTCGGGATTGGCAAAGCGTCCGCCTTCAGCGGCTGCCTTGCCGTTGGTTGCTTCGGCGGCCAGTGCAGCGGCAGCGCTTAATTTTGACTTTTTGGACACCTCTTTGAGCATATCCTTGCCCTGCTTGGTGCGGAAGAACTCCTGTGCCTGTTGCCTGTCTTTCTGTTTGATCTTCCTAAAGTCCAGCAGACGCAACTGTGGAAACTTATAGGCCATGTACTCGCGGTAATTTGGTTTTGTGGATACCGGATTGATGAGCAGACATATTGTCTCCAGCTTCTTGAATCCTGTTAGCGGTTCCAAGTCACTCAGCTCCTGCAGATTGTTGCCTGTCAAGATGACAGAGCTTAGATTTGGAACAACATCCTCCAGGCCCTCGCTGATGCGTAAGATACGGTTGTTGTTGAGTAACAGACATTTCAGTCGTGGCAGATGTGGTAGATTATCTAGTTTACGCAGATCGTTGTCCGAGAGATCGATTGTATCGAACTGATCCAATGTGGCACCCAAATTCTCAATCTGTGGAATTTTGTAGCCGCGCAAATCGAGCTCACGTTCACGGCATGGATTTATGTATTGCATGGACTGGTTTATCAACTCAGGCGTTAGTTTTACCATCTTGACAGGGCAGGTAGTTAATTAATTGCAACAAAAATATAAATGCAATTGCAATTTTTTATTTTCCTGTTTATTTCACAAAATAACACAGCCAAAGCCGACGCGAGTTTACAGTACAGTGTGACCGTCTTTCGCAAATAAGAAAGTCCCAAAAACAAGCAGTTCGATATAACAATCGAGCAAACTTGAAAACGTATCGATACAACCCTTATTAATTCAATATAATCGAAAAGGCAAGTTTGATATTTTTGATTTGATTTTAATTTGAATTTCAATACATTACAATAAATTTGCAAATGCTTAAACTTTAATGAACACGATACAATTATTTCGGATTCGTTTTTGTCCTTGAATTGAATGGCAAACTACATATTTGAGCCAACTATTTTGGATAGGGAGGAAACACTTCTAAAATCGAAGCGTTTTTCTGGTTCGGTGGTGGTGGATTGAATTTAATGTTTTTAATAAACATTTAGTTTGTTAATATTCAGTGCAAACTACAAGTGTTCAGTTTGAATTTGTAAATTGAAATCTTCTGTGTGTATTTTCACTATAATTTATTAAATGCATTTTAGTAATTGTTTATTTTTCTGCCTAGTTGCTTAGCGGTAATTTGTTAACTTTTTAGAAATTAAATAAAAAAGAAACCTAAAATATTTATATATAAGTCGAAACAGATTGTCGTTCATACCGAATGGAACTCAAAAATGGATAAAGAAAAACAATATATTTATAGATATAGATATTTTGGAAGCATTTATAAAAAATATTATATTTCATTTAAATTATTTTTTATGCACGCAAACGATTCACATATTTTTATTTATTTATATATATATATATATCAATTTATATATATTTATATCAGAATATTCATTGCGTTTGCTTCGTTAGTTTCTTCGTAATTTTTTAGGTTTTTTTTTAGTTTTCAATAGACAAATTGAAAAATAGATTTGTTTTTTTGTATATAATTGGCACTTAACTCATTTAAAATACATAAAAATATAGTACATAAAAACATCGGTTTTTCCACTTTTTTCATTTAGTTTTTTTTTTTTGTTTTTTCGTTTATAAATATATGCAAAAAGTTTATTTGGGATAAAAAGTATAAATAAATAAATCACGTCCATTTGAAAATTGCCAAAGATTAAAATAAGAAAGAAACAAGAACACACACCCATTCACACTCGCTGACAAACACAGTCACCCACGCACACACACTCACACACACGCTGGCGCCATTGCACATAAATTAAATTGTTCAGTACGAATAGTTGCAACCGTTTTGCTCATTATCTTTACCGTTATTATCATAAACATTATCATTATAACTTGAAGTCTGGTGTTTTTGAGGGGGAATCAAGGTTTACGGGTCGAAGGAATGTTGAGTTATATATATATATATACTATATATAATAGACAGTTTTATAAATCAACGACATCCTCTTTCGTATAGGGCGAGTCTCTAAACGTGCGTCTCGTCGAGGTGCGTTGCAGGCCTTCAACTAATGTCTCCTGCGGAATTGAAATCGGATGTGGATCTTGATTAATTATATACACATCAATTACATATATACATGCTATACAGCTAACTAAGCACACGCACACGCACATATTACAAGACCAACATTACTTAATAACAAATAAAACACAAAAATTATAAATGAATGAGCACCAGCCATCAATGGAGGATTATTAAAGAACCGCAAGAACAATGTAAAGCCAGATGCTGCACAGACAGAGAGCATGGATGATGATAATGATGTTGCTGACATAGTTAATCCAGTCAAACCTCGAATAGCGTTGAGATCTCTTTGCCTGCAATTCTCTTCGCGTTGCTCTCAGCGCAGCTGTTCGCTTTGTTCAGCTGCCCGTTGCGCATGCTCAGAATCTCGTTGCTAATGAGATTCGCGCAGGCTATGGCATGACCTGTGCTGCTCGAACTTGAGCTGGAGCTGCTTCCATGTTCTGTTATAATCGTTTTGCTGAGCGTCTCCTGCGTCTCGGTATTGGTGCTGCTCGTGCTGACGATCTTCGAGCGCGTCTGATTGTTTAATACTGTGGTCGTCGTTGTCATCGTTGTGGTGTTAGCCATGTTGTTGGCTGTGTTGCTGGACATGCTGCTGGTACTGCTGCTGTTGCTCGCGCGATTGCCTGTGTTCAACATAGTTCGCGGCATAATGGGCGGCTTGATGGGCAGATCTTTGGATATTGTTGTTGTTTTTTGGTAATACAAGACAAATTTAAGGAACAAGCACAAATCAAACAATATGAAAATAAAGAAAACATAAAAATCAAAATATATATCGCTATATAGCTACTCATTCAAGTTGCACTCTAAATGGGGCAAACAGGCAGGCATGCAACAAGAGCTAGATCTACTCATGCTTACCCAAACGACTAAGGCCTGCGGCTAGCTCTCGCACCGACTTCTTCTCTAAAGCAGCTCCTGCAAACGATGCACAAATTTAGACTTCTTCATTTAAATCTCAGGTTTAGTTAAGCTCACCTGGCGTTATGCCCACAATGCTGCCACCGCCGCTGCCGCCTGATGCCAAGGCAATGCCTGGTGTTATACCCACAATGGAACCGCCAACGCCCTGACCAAAGGACAACACCTCCACATCTGCAAAGGCAAGCAGAGACATTAGATGATATTAAGGGTATTCCCTTTCAAATCACTATTCACGCACCTTCTTCCAGCGTATCCGGCGTTGTCTTGCTAGAGTCCACGCTGCCATTGCCTGTGGGCAGCTGTTCGTTGTTCGCCTTCGGTTCGGTGCCTACGACAGACCAGGGTCGAGGCTTCTGCAGAGCAATGGGCGTGCGCAAGATGCCATTGCCAGTTGCAGTCTTTACCAACAGGCTGCCATCGGTGCCCACGGCCAGCGAACTGCTGCCTGTTGCATGGCTCTTGATCGAATCGCTACTGGGCGAACGCATCTTCTCATCGCGAGTGGCTGCCTTTAGTAGGCCTCCAGTGGCTGCAGCTGGAGTTGCTGCCTCCTCATTGCCTGCGCCGCCCTCTGTGCGCATTTTGACCAGCGGCGATTTGCGACCCACCAGCGGTGAATACTTCTCCAGATTGTCCGTGGATCGCGAACGTGTGGCCCAGGATGCACCTGTGAATATAGATAACAATTGGTAAAGCAGGCAAACTTTGTTGACTATTAAAACTCACTCTTGAGCAAAGGCGACTGGCGCTCCAGTTTGATGGGCCTTCTTTCCTCTAGGATGGGCGTTGTCTCCTCCGAGGTCATGTGGCCATTGCCATCACGACTCATCGTCGGGCTGTCCACAAATGACAACGAGCTGCATTCCTCGGATGTGGGTGACACGAGTGGTGTTAGGGTTGTGGGCGTTACAGAGCCGGGCCTAAAGAAATGCTCCAAGCCATCGCCAATGTCTCGCACTGCACCGACAGCGCATTCCGCGTTCACGAGCGGACGTGTTGGAGCACGCGTCTTAGCCCGTTTGGGGCGTCCCTTGACCAGATGTTGCAGCTGAAACGAGGCGCTCGGCAGCTCCGTTATGGAATCACAGCCCTCATCCACATTGCCATCGTCCATGGCCGCATTGCTGGTGCTGCTGGTCATCATGTTGATAGCCGAGGCACCACCACCGGCTGCTGATGCTGCGGACCCTATTGCAACGCCACGCGATGACAGCTGTGAGTTGGAACGATGCGACGAGGGCGACTCCAACAGATCAGGAATATGGCTCAAGCTGAGATTCTCGACCACCGATTGGGGACGTACCTTGCGGGCAATCGAGCGACGTTTCGACGGCAAATGCGGCGTGGCCTGCGCAGAGGAGTGGCAAGACAAATATCAGTTAGTGGCATTTTTAACAGTATCTGGTGTATATATAAAATGTTAGGTTATGTTCGTGATGTATGCATATGTGTGAAATTATGAGAGCGGATGAGGGAATTTTTACTTTTTAGCAGGAAATTTAATAACTAAAAATAATTTTAAAAAATTATCTACATTTGTAACTAAAACATAGCTAATAGATATACACAGTTCTACAAAGACCAGGAAAAGGGAGAGACAGATAAAGTGTAGTGAGTTGGTACACAGTGAGAACTCCATATTAACGAACCAGCTGCCTTTAACGATTAAGAATATTTTTGTGTAAAAGAAACTTAATTTTTAAATTAAAAACGAAAATAAATAAATAATTAAAGTAATTCCTACACTTAAAAAACATAAAATATTAAACGTACTTATTAATAAATAAAATATTATTTTTTAAGAAATTAAAAATAAATTAAATAATAAAATTAAATAAAAATATAAGAAAAATTCTTTAATTATATAGTATTTTCAATTTGTATGTTTTAAACACTTGTTAAGATAACTGTGGGTTTTTTAGCACAAAGTTAAAACTTTCCAAATGTATAAAATAAATATTAACATATATTTGTTTATATATTTTGTTTTTAGTTTCAATATTTCTGCTGCACTGCAATTGTTTATGTTCGTTAAAGGCAGCTCTCGCTGCATATAGATAAATATAGATAGATATAGGTTTTTTTCTAGTTAAAGTATGGATCGTTTTTAAAGATAGACAAGACATAAAAAACTACTTACAAGGTTCAGATATTCCAATTTCTTTAAGAGTTTGTGGTATATATATAAATATATTTTTTAATTTTTTTTTTTTTATGTAAATGAGTTGGAGATAAGGTTTTAATATATATATATATTTATATATGTTGTAGATATATATATGCGGATATATATAAAATGTATATAATATGTTTATAGCGTATGTTGGATGTAGTCGAAGTAGTTGTTGTAGTTGTAGTTGTGATTGTTGATGAATTGTTTGGATGATAACAAGGATACACGAGAAGAACACGAGAGATAAAAATAATGAGCTTTTTGTCTTTGTTTCATTTTTTTAAGTTTTTTATAGCTTATTCACATAGAAGTTTTAGTTAATGTAGATGTGTGTGTAGGTGTGTGTAGGTGTGTGTAGGTATGTGTGTGTGTGTGTGTATGTGTAGGTGTATGTATGCTAAGCTGTTTGGCATTTCATTTTTGTATATATATTTATACGATATAAGATACGCTCCCGTCTAGAAGTTATTTTTTCTTACTATTTTATATACACACAATTCTCAAGTATTGTGATAAGCCAGCGGCGGGTGTTTGTGTTTGCGTGTGTGTATTTGTGATTATTTTCCACTACTCGTATATATATATATTGTTATTAATATACATTTATTCACTTATTAGTGTTTATTGGGTTTGGGTTGTCACTCGTTTTTGTAATATGCATTTATTTTGTAGGCTATTGCATCCACTTGGGCAGCGAGAGATTTTCAACACTTACAGTGGGCGATTCCAGGCCCAGTTTGGGCAAAACGGAGCCGCGTCCGCCGGGTCGTATGATAAGGCCTTCAGCTTCCTACAGGAGACAGTGCGAGAAAGAGGGAGAGAGAAGGAGAGAGACAGAGTAAGTAATTGGAATTGTACTGTAGGTTAAATCACAGCAATTCTACAACTGGAATGCTTTAAGTATTTATGCTGGTGGTTACCACATAAAAAGTTTTGAATATGACATCACAGTTGTTATTAAATTTGCCGAAATCAAAGATAACGCGTTATCGATTTCTAATGGGTGGAGGTTTGATTGGTCGGTGGGTTGCCTGTGCTACTTACATGACTGGAACGACTGCGAACAATGTCCGGCGTCTGCGGCTCATCCAGCAGCACCGATGGCGATTCCGAAATACCATGACCGCGACGATAGCGCGTTAGTGCCTCCAACACCTCATCTGTAGCGCGATCCGAAATAGCAGCTGCTAGCGATTGCTCTATTTCACTGTGCGAATGGAAGAGTGAGAGAAATGAAAACAATTTGGATTAGCGATGGAAGTTTGATTTTGAGGGGAGTGGGGGCAGCTGTGATTGGTTGAACGATCTACTTTGTGGCTTTTGGCGACACTGTCGCCGTCTCTGTTTCGCCTTCCTGATCCTCGTCGGGACACTTGCGATAGGCTGGCCGAGCGTCGCCGCTCTCGCCGGCGCTCTCGCTGCTGGTAAAGCAACAGCATAAACTGCGCATCAGGCCCATCTTGGCGAACAGCTGGCGGAGCGCGCACAACACAAAAATGAGGAAGCAGAATAAAAACCAAACCAAAACAAAACAATTCCAACTAACTGGCACTGTAGCAAACCTAACGGCACTCAAACTGACAATGAATTCGCCTGCGCTGCTCGACTCGCCATCGCAGCAATATCGGAGCAAAAGTTAAACAAGCACACGGATACGCACGCACACACTCACGCTCACAAAATGTGAATGTATTTTATGTAAGTTTTTTTTTTATTTTTTTTTTTGGTAAGCTGGGCGACAGCACCCGTTTGGGCTTTCGAATGGAAATGCATTCAGCTGTTAAGTTATTTTCTGTTTGCTTAATCTTATCTGTGCGTTCAGACACAGGCACATACACACACCCAGAAACAGGCGATGAGTAAAATACTTCACAGATTGCGGTATGTGCGTGTGTGGGTGACCGCTAAGAGAGGCAGAGAGAGAGAAAGAGAGCGTGCGAGCTACAAAGTGTGTTTTGAACACAACAAATTTGCAAGCTCAGCTGTTAGAGAGGAGACGAGCTTTTCTTTTTTTCATATTTTTGATTCATGAGAAACTTATAAGCTGGAAATCGAACAGTGAGGCGGAATTTTATCAAAGTGTGTCATGAATTCAATACTCGTCTCTTGTCAATTAAAATTTTTAATTGTTTTTGGTTCTTGTTAATATGAATCAAAAACGTGTGCACTTAGTTTAAATTATCAATAATATCAATTAGCGTATTAATTAATACCACATTGATATTATATTAATTTTGCTAAGAATCTATCGAAAAACAGTATCTTCAAATACATAAAAATTTTTTTTTTTATTTTTGAAATTTCGGAGTTTTTTTTTGAAGCCTTCCAAACGAATAAAAATAAATATTGAACAGAGTTAGTTTTGTTTCTTAAACGCTATTTTTCTCTCTGTTTATTGTTATAGCTTTTGCAACCTGTTTGCATAGCTCTGAAATCACAGTGCTGCTGCTATAGAGTGTGTGTGTGCGAGCGAGCTAGCACACATTTTGTTGATGAACCGCGCGTCATCTTGTCTGTCTTAGTTCCTGACTGAGTCACACTCGTACTCACACACACACACAAGCACGCGCACACATACGCACACTTCGCTCTCTGGCTTGCTCTTTGCTGTTCTCTGTTCTGGTTACTCACCCAACTTTATTCATAATCTCGCTGCCGGCATTGTTGAGCAAACAGTTTTGCAGAAAATCTTCGGGTATTTGGAGACGCTCATTGAGCGCTTTGCGCAGGTCCTGAATAACAATTTGATTGCCCAGCGTTTTGGGACACTGCTCAATGCCCGTGCGTATCATTGTCTCCAATGTCTCCTCCAGATAGCTGCGAATCGTGTAGCTCAGTTCGCTGGCGACACGCGTCAATTTCGTTTCGATGGGATGAGCATCGCTGCGCACAGCCTCCTGCAGTTTGGGCATCAGCTGTTTACAATTCTCTGCATCTGTAATCAAACGTTGCACTGCTGAAACATTGTCGCCGCCACCTTTGGCTATCGAAATCGTATCCTGTGTCTCGGCTACCAGCTTGTCCACCAGCTGATGTGTGGAGGAGAGCATAAAGCCGTGCTGCAGCCTAAATCCTTGACGTTTTAGCCCGTTGCAGTTTCGCTGCAGCAGCTCCTGCATCTTTCGCATTACAGCATCTGTTTTATCCGGATGATTCTTCAGATGCGGCGCTATATCGAATACCGGAAATGGAATCGTACGCATGCTATGATTATTCTCCAAAGCGTAAACAATGTCGGCATAGCCTTGCAGGGTGACACTGTTCTTGTCCAGGTAAATGGTGCGCAATCGATTATTGATCTGCAGTGCCTTGGCCAGGAGGCGTGCACCCACATCGCCCATGTAGTTGCCACTGATATCCAGCTTCTGCAGACTCTGATTGCTGCCCAGTGCGTTGATGAAGTCGTGCAGATCATGCTTCAACTTATTCTCCGACAGCACCAGCTCCACCAGTGGGAAATCATCCTTCTGGATCAGATTTACTAGGGCATCCATCACTGTGGGTATATGCTTGGGCTTCATGCCCGTCAGACTGCGCATCAGATGCAGCGAACGTATCGAGGGATTCTTTGATATGGCTGACAGCACAGGCGCCAACTCCGCATCCAAATCTGGGAAGGATAACGGGATAACATTCATCAAAATGAATCATTTTTGTCATCTTGATCTGGTTTCAGATCCACTTACTATTGTCGCTGATATCCAGGCTCTGCAGCACACGCACACCGTGTATGCAGGATTCCAGGACGTGAGCACCCTGGGCACCCAGCGTATTGCTGCTAAGATCGAGATGAAGTCCCGTCGTCGACTCATTGCAGGCGAGACCCAGCAACAGATTCTTGAGCGCCTCCATGGGCAGCTTGCATCCGGCTATGTTCAAATGCTTCAAGCTCAGCGTGCTGGTAAAGAACTGCTTGAACGAGGGCGGTATCTCTTTGCCTTTCTTCGTGCTAAATGAGTTGTGCGAGACATTCAGATGCGACAGGTGCGTGGCACAGCCTCGCAAGAGAGCTCCAAATAGCTGCAATCGATAAAAAAAGATAGAGTTAAATTTAATATTAAGCAGCTATTAACACGCTGTTATTAATATATCTATGTAAAGGTAATGTTAGATATAAAACAAGCTTAACATAGGTTGTTAATATGTTAATATTAAAACATTACTTACATTTTCTAGCGTAATATCAGTCGATGCCAGATCCAGATGCTCCAGCACATTGGGTTGAGCCAAGAAATTGTGCAAATTCTGCAACAAATAACATTTACAAAGATATAAATTAGTTAATGAGAGAGGATACGCGCTTGCAACTGCAGATGGCTGCGCATGGTGAGTTTGCGTTGTTGCTTATGGTGAATAGGCAGCTTTTGTCGTGGTGAGTTGTCGTTTTAAGAGTCGCCTACAGTCAGTGTGCATGTACTCTCTCATAAGTGCATGTGTATTTATGTTTCTGTGTGAGTGCATGCTTTGTCTTGTATGTGCTTTGTATGTGTTCGTATCTCTCTCTCTGCGTATCGCTGTCCTTTCCCGTAGCTTGTAGCTCTGTTAGCTTTTTGCCTTGTCTATGTAAGCGTGAGTAACTAAGTTGCTGTCCGCTAACGATACGATACATTTATCGATATATTTCGTTTACTTACGGTTATGTCATCCTTCAGACTGTTACCACTCAGATCCAAATAGGTGAGCGAGTTAGAAATACTTTGATTGAGCGAGAGCGAATGCGACATCTGATTGACACCCTTCGAGGTGAGACCGCAATGAGCGAGGGCCAATTTGCAGAGACCCTTTGATACCTTGGCTATGGGTCCAGCCAAATGTATAGCGCCTGATCGAATGAAGGAAATTTATATTAATTTTCAGTATAACTTCAATTAAAGATCAACAAATAAATATAGAAAATAAAATTAAAATTTACATTTGTTTTTTTTTTTTTTTCATTGCCAATCTATCTAGAAATTTAGAATGTACACAGAGAGCAAAAGCCGTGAAGCAAGCGTCATGAATGTGAATGTGAATATATATATATATAGAGAGAGAGTGAAAGCGAGAGGGAACTCTAATGAAATTGCTTATGTGACCAGAATTGTGAAATAAGAGTTTCAAAATGCGATTAAACTTTGGGTACGAAATGTGATATATATATAAAAATGCTATAACTATTATTCGTATATTAGAAAGCTGATAAATGATATATAATATGTTTGATATTTCGTAGAAAGCTTTTAGAATATAATATATTCATTTGAATATTAAATTTCAGAGAAATAAAAGTGAATTAATATATTGTGATGTGCATGATATCTTACAATGATTTTGGATCTATAAAGTATGGAATTTCAGATAAGGAAATATTAGAAAGGGTCACATATATGACATGATATAGAAGAACTTTTAAAGCTATATAATTTATACATATATGTATAATTCAATTGTCAGAATGTAGGCAGAAGACAAGACAATCTTGTAATAGTATAATGCCATTTTACATGCTCTAATTTATCATACAAAGATTTCAAATATGAAACTAAAAAATCTTAAGTCAAAGCTAACAAAATATGAAATTGATATGAAGTTAGAAGAAAGCTTGGTTAATGAATTGCTGAGAGTTGTGAGGGATGTATATATACATATATATAATCTATTGGCTATAATGGTGCATGAATCTAAAGTCTAATTCATTTCAATAGGCACACACTATACTGTGTTCTTTTATCAGCATTAATAATGTTTTATATGCCATTTCACAATCTCAATGCACAATTCGCTAAGGTCACATAAGCACATTAAGAGTTGAACTGATATCGCATATTATGATTACATGAAAGAGCGTTTAGCATTAACATTAACATGAACATTAACATGAACATTAACAATAACATTGAACAACAACAGCAATAAGAACAATGCAAACTTAATTCCAATTGAATTTTGACACCTAATTAAAGTTCGTTTTGTCTAAAGTGAGTTTTATAAATGTGTTTCAAATGGGGATTCTGCAAACCTTGTACAATCTTTCCGAGTAGAGCGCACAATGAGCTAGCTCCTACACATGACAAATGCACACGCGCGCACACACACACACACAATATTGAATGTATAAAACATGAAACATAAGAACAGAAAACAAATGTTAAACAAAAAATGTTGTTAATATGTTAGGAGTAAAAGACAAAACGCAGTTAGTTGGATTAATTGGCTTAATAATAAATGCGACTGCTCAGGGGTTGGAGGCGTCCGGCTGGCAGCGGTACGCACGAGCGTGTGTTCACTGTGCTATTACACACCTTTGTCCTCGATTATGTTGTGACTCAAATCGATGGTGCGTATCGCTGGACTGCTGTTCGTAATCACAGATATGGATAGCTTATTCAAGAAATCCCATCTGAAAAGGAGAGCATACCATTAGCATAGATCATATAGATATATGTATTCAAAGACTCACCTTAAACCTAGTGCCTCCAGATGCAGCTCCTCTAGCCACATTGAACGCTTGAGCACGTGCAGAATGCGCTCCAGCGTCTCATGGGAGAGACGCATGTGAGCCGCCTTTAAGCCACGAAAAAAGGTATTATACTCCAGTGCCGAGACAATGGCCATCAAGTCTCTGTAACAGATGGCAAATTATGTTAGTTGACATTAACATTAAGTCAACAGAGTGCACTATTAAAGTTAGATATAACTTATTAAATAGAATCGTTAGCAAAGTTTATTGAAATGCAATTTAAAATTATCCTAACTTGATATAATACTTTTAAAAAGAAAACATTTCCTTAAAATTTTAATGTTTGAGCTCCACAAATTACGTTACATGTTAACATTTCCCTCTGTAACAGTTTAACATTTCCCTAACATTTTGCTGTTAAGCTACAGAAGGCAATTCTTTTAGTATACAAATTAAGCAAAATTCCAAAATGCACAAACAAAAAATTAATAAAATTGAAAATATAAAAAAAATTTAAAAATTATAATAAATTTACTTAAATTGATTTATAAATGTAATAAAGGGCCAAACTTTGTCACTCACTTGGGCTCCAGATGATCGAAATCACGCAGATTGAGCAACCGTGTATCGTGGGACAGGTAAATCGTGTCCACATCCCAGGCGACCTCCTCGCGGTAGGGCACCCCATGGAAGTCGCACATGCAGGCATATTGAGCGCTGAAGCCGCCGCAGGGACCAACATTGCGCGGATCCGAGGGACGAAATTCCTCTGAGAATATTGTCTCCCGCTCTGGCGGCTGTATGTCGATCTAGAGAGAGAGAGCGAGAGAGTGATTAGCAGCGAAGATAAAGGTAAGTCAAGGTTAGCCGAGGCAAGTAAAGCCCAGCTAATCGCTGTCTATGCGCGATTTGAGCGCGTTAACAGCGCAATTAACACTTTCAAGAGTTGGCAGCGAAGTTTGCGTGCCTTGCGCCAATTATCTTTTTCACTTTGTTCACCTGTTTGTTGCTGTTGTTGTAATTGCTATTGTTATGACCGTTGTTGCTCACAGCTTAAAACACGCCCAAGACACGAGCCGAGGGCACAAAAAATGCAAAGTTTTCAACAAATGCCAGACACAATGTCGAGCTGGCGATGAGTCAAGTGGAGATTTGCATACAAATGCAGGCAGCATAATTTACAACAACAACCACAGCAGCAGCAATGATTCATTTAAAATGCATTGAATTATTACGCTCGAGTAGCAACAGCAACAACAAATTTCATAACCAAATGGCTTAATTGAAGCAACAAGCAGCGGGTGTGTGTGAGCACGCGTAGGCGTACGTGTGTGGGTGCTTAGGCACCTAAGTAAGTCTATAAACACATGTATCTAGATGTGTGCAACAATAACAACATTTGACTTAATCTTCCATTAACAATTTAATCAAAATCATTTAAGACTTCGCCTTGACTCAAGCAACTATCTAGGTTAAAATGTTTATTTAATTATAATTTTATTGTAACTACTACTGCTATATTTACAGCCCAACTTTACGACTAAACTGCACAAGGCAAGAGACGCTACTGATCAGCTGTAGAGAGCAGAGTACCCTTTATAGTTGAAAAAAGTGTCCACAAAATTTGGGAAAATTACTCTTGAGTCCTTTTTTAATTTGAATACAAGACAACATGAAAAATAGAAGAGAGCTTGCTTACTCGGATTTCAATCTCTTATACTCACTGTATTTTATGCATCGAGCAATTATGGTATTTAAATACCATATCATATTGAGCTTTTGTTGTTATGGCTGTCAAGTTACTTTATAACTGTCAAAAATGTCACTCTAAATTGCCACAGTTTGAAGACAATTGATCAGGGGCGCCATAATGTCACAAATAGAGATGGTATTAGAGCGCACTTATATTCTGAGCAGTCATTGTTGTTGTCAAGCTCGCTTCGCAGACTACAAAAGCAAAGGCGACACCACGCGTGAGAGCGAGATAGCCTTAGGCAAACAAAGCTTTGGTATAGTGCCATAAAACTTAATTTGTTTGTTGTTTATTTAATGAAAGCAATTTTTAATCTTTGCAATTTATGAGTTGTATGTCAAAAGCTAAGTTAAAGTTGACTTTCGGCCAATGCATGTTAAATATTTAATTGAGCTTTAATTAAAAGCAAATTGTGAGTCAGCCAGGTCACACACCCAAAGCTCGCCCACGCAAATTAAATTAATTATAGTAGTTTTTAATATATTTAATATTTTCAATAGAGCTGCGAAAATACCCAAAAAGTGCGTAATATCATAAAAAAAAATGAAATTTTTAGCTATTATATTTTTAAATATTGTTTACCAATTCTTGGCATTATTTAGTCATTGCTTAACTTTAGTCATTTACTTTTATATCAGAGAAGAAGAAGTGAAGCTATAAAACAAATTTCTTATGGAAATTCGCACATATCGCAAAAACTGATAAAAAGAAAAAAGTTGCAAAGAAACTTTTAGTTATTGAGCTATCAACTTGTTGTTGTTGTTGTTGTTTTTAAGCCATTCAGCAACTAAGTTAAGCAAAAATTTAATTCGAAAAGTTTGTGACTTATGTGAGGCTTACAGGAATAGTAAAAAGCTTTTTTAGTGAAGATTTGGAATTACTTAAAGACGCAACTCAAACTGAATTTAACGCTTCATTTAGTCAATGTTTTCATACTGATTATTATAGTTATAAACAAAGTTAATATATATAGCTATATGATGTGATGTAATGATATATTTTTTGTTATTTGTTATATATGTATATCGTAATATATAAACTTGTGGTAGTGGTAATGCTGCTGTGGCTGATCTCTCTTATATAGGTATATCATATATACCCATCTATCTATATATGTCCAATATCAATTTCATGTTTCCAGCCAATTATACGAATACAAATGTTGCGATTGCGTGTTCGGCTTTCCGATGCTTACCTTTTTAATGATGTACTTGAGAGGAACTGTTGGAAATATTTGCTTGATCGCCGAGGCTAGATCGGTCAGAATGACATCAGCATTCTGTGAATGATATATACAGTATATATAGTTGTTATACGGGGTAGATAAGTGTGTATAGTATAGTTAGTTACCGAGCTGAAGTTGCCCGCGTCGCCGGTGGTGACAAACGAATATGGACGATCGTTCGTGATGATCGAGAAATGTGTTGACTTTTTGCTCTCGACGCCCACAATGTCCAGATAATGGAAATGGCATTCGATCTGTATAACGAAAAAAGAACTTATATATAACTTATATTTATTTATATATTGTTTATAATCTACCTTTGTGGGCACTTTGGCGCTGAGCAAATAAATGCGAACGGGCGTAAAAACCTGCAAAAGAGTTTTATATTAGAGAAGAGAATGGTACACTTAGAGAAATTCATATAATAATCTAGGTACATTTCTAGAAAATTAAGTTTAATAAACGAAATTTGATAAATTTTTAACAAAATGTTGTTTTTATTTCATTTCACGACGAGTGCCAGGCAAGACGCCTTCTAGGCAATGTAGAGAAGACTTTCCATAGCAGAGAATTGTTTACGATAGCTAGCATAGAAAAATTTTCCAAATTGCTATAATTATTTTTTTTTATATTGTGTTTTATTCAAATTAATTTAAGATACACTGAGAGAAATTGCAAGCATTTCTTGAATTAGAAGAATATTTAAATTTCTTTGAACATTCATCAAGATTCATTATTGCTTTAAAGACATAGAAAACATTTAAGCTGAACTTGAATATAAACTGCAGTCATTTTTCTCTGAGTGCAGCGGATGCACATGTAAAAACTTGTGCATATGTTGAGGTCAGAAATTTGAGTACTTTGGGGCTGGGGGTTAAATGTGCAGCACAGTCAAGCTGTCTATAGCTGGTGTCGTGGGTGAGGGCGGGGGCGGGTGAGAGTGGCATAAAAGGTAGCTGGGACTCTGAAGTGTTGACTAACTCAATTTTCTTTGAGTGTAAAAGAAAACTTTTTGCAGCATTTAATTGGAAATCAAAGTGTGTTCTGTAATTCATTTAGACACTTGGCACCAAGCCAGGCGCTAAGAGGGAGCGGAGGGAGTGATTCAGCTAGGGGTAGGGCATCGTAGGGTGTCGATAGGAACTGCTAAGTAGCCAGCCGTCTGCCTCGGGTAATTGGACACTTTGTCTCAGTAAGCGGCTTTTATTTTGTGCGCCTCGCGCCTCGTAGCCTCGAACTAAATCAATTTTCCAGTCATGTGACTTTAAACGAGGCGAGAAATTAGCATAAACTGAAAGCGCCAAGGAGCTAAAGGGCAGGTATATTGGGTTCTAAAACGGCGCTAAGTATGCTATAAAATATCAATTACATTTACAGCTATGTGGACCCTCGAAGAGGCGCAGAAAGAGGGAAATACCAGTAGAAGCCAAGTACTTCGGCTTTGGCTTTGGCTTTTAATTGAGCTTTGAGGCCAAACGAGGAAATGGACGTCAAATCGAAATGCTTAAAGGTAGCTGCCAACAGCTGCAAGTTAATAAATGGACAGGTGGAAAGATGAAAGATGGAGGTGAGTAGAGAGAGTGAGGGAGAAAGAGAGAAGCAGCAGTGGGGGCTGGGCTAAAAGTCCGTCTAGATAAGTGCAGAAATAATAGACGAAAGAAGAGTATGTAGAGTAACCAAGTGAGATAGCACAGGAGAGAGAGCGAGAGAGACAGATGACTGAAGAAATTAAAGAATATAGACTATACTGACTAACAAATGCTCTTTAAAGTATGTGATAGGTCGAGACAATGAGAGAGAGAGAAATATTTATATAGAGAGAGGGAAATACAAAAATTGAGAGAGAAAGAAAAATAAGGATAGTTAGATGACAGATAGATAAAGAGAGCGTGAGCGAAGAGATGGAATTAAAATGCTCTATATAGGGTGCATATTCAAACAGTGAATATGCCCCATTTACTGAACTCTGCCAATTCCAGGGCATCACATCTCATTTGAATGCAATTTGGCCTGCACTGCCTCAAGCGTATCATTTCAGCTTGCAATTTCATATACAAATCAGAGCCATGGCAAATCTGTAGCTCAGGCCATGCCAGACGGATGGGCGGCGGCGGGAGGTGGGAATAGGCAGATGTGGAAACACCTGAGGCCAAGCCAATTGATGTTTGACTCTACACTGCTCAACACTTACCAAGACACGATTCTCTGTTTTATCGCCTTTCGTTTCCAATTTGACCATATACTTGACCAAGATCTTTGTGTGTCGACCCAGAATGGATTTAACGCTTTCTACAAGAAACAAGAAGAAGCAAAAGAATGCGATTATTAACTGTGGAAATGTATGAAGTGAAGTATATTCGCTAGAGGTTAATTAAAAACAATTGGCAAAAAGCCAATTAAGTGCATGCAGTAAATTAACTGTTCATATCTATAGCTACATATACAAACACACTTATATGTGTATGATATATGCACGTAATTGCTATTATTATGCATGCCAATATCTATAGAGCGATTGTATTATATCATTCGTATATTTCCTTTTCAAATCCAAACACGTAGGCACTTTATAAACGCAAAAACACAATTTGAAATTTCGCTGAGTTTCACAGCCTTAGATGCCCCGCTCTCTCCGCACCCTTCCACCTATGGCTAAGCCCCGCTATTTTCATATACATTTCCAGCTACTTAACATAACTCATACATACATACATATCACAATCATATACTCACTCACACACAGACGCAGTCCCTCACAACGATGACGAATTTATTCAAAGTGAGATATTTTCATGTGCATTTGACAATGCCAGCAGAAAGAGAGCGCAAAGAGAAAGAGAGAGACAGAGGAGGGTGGGTTAGGTGTAGAACACTTTGAGTGTACAGCTGTGGTTGTTGTTGTTGCTGTTATTATTGTTGTAGGCAGGCATTATGTCATGCGACAGGCACGCCAAATCTCAAGTATGCCCGGATGGCACACAAAACCCCGAGCAAAGGAGCTACAGGAGCAGCTCGGGGATGGGCATGAGGTACTTCTACATGGGGAGCTCTGCGCTTTATGACTCCTTGTCTGGGCACTTGGGCATTTACCCCGCAGGGCTAAACTGGAATTGAAATGTCAAATATTTTTGGGTAACCAACCATTGTTGCTGCCCCGTTCTAAATCAGCCATATAACTACATTTAACATGCTTTATACATATATGATATATATATAAAACAAATGGAAGTACATTTCGACAAATTAGCCCAAAGGCACGTCGAAACAGTTGAGTGCATAATAACTATTTGTAAAACTAACGAATGACATTTAAGCTTTGATTTTTATTAGTGTGAAATTCTCTTTAAAGTGAGCTTAAAGGGACAAAAGTACTATGCATATATATGCTATTCGCAGACTGTCTGCGGGAGACTTAGGGAAATTTTCTCTTTTTTTACGTTGTCTTTCATAATGGACAGGTACAAACATGAAATAAATACTTTACTAATCTGCAAGCCATCTTCATCTAATCATATTTAAAATTTGGTTATTTAAATTTTGGGTAGAAATATATAGGATATTATTTTCCATCAAAACTTTGTCGCAATTATACATATTTTACAATAAAATTAAAGAAATCTTCAATCAAAATTGATTCAATTTTCACCCAGTTGCAGTTGCAAAGCATGATATTTAGTGTTTTATAGACAGTATATATACATTAAGTAAGACAATTTTGCATTACTCACTATAAACACGCACTAAAATATAAGATATGTTGTATAAAATCTTTATCATAAATATATGTACTTTACACAATTACATTATGCAAGAGCTATATAACAGTAATCGGTAATTGTATAATATTTACATTCATTTAAAAGACAAACCCATTGATCGCATTCAATATCTAAAAGATAGCCACAAACAACATATAGAAATTGTGTAAACAATGTTAATCTACTATTTGCCACTCAGTTATTCATTCAAGTATCGCGCCCGAGGGATATATTTCGTATGAATCATACTCTAGAGAAACTATCGCAAAAAAAACTTGGGGAATAAAACAAATTTTATGTTTGTTTCTTTTTTAGCATTAAAATTCCTTTTGCAAACAAAAGTGAAAAGTGTACATGTGTATATGTATATGCAAATGCGTGTGTGTGTGCGTGTAGACATATGTATTTGGCAGTAGATTTGCATGAAGCATGCCATATAAGAGCAGCGGGAGCAATTAGGGCCCTGACCACACTCACTAAACAGCCGCAACATTGTGGCCAAAAAACAGCAAAGAGAAAAGACATTAGCCAGACGAGCCAATTGTGTTTGTGTGTGTGTGTGTAACGATTGTTAGTGTTTGTAGACACGCACACAAACACAATGGCAGGGGCCACCCGCTGGGCAAACACTTGTAATGGCGCCAACAATTCCCAAAGGAAACCATAACGAAAAACTTGAGGAATTATGAAACCAAAGCAAGACCCGACTATGCCATACTCTGTATTATTAAATAATGCAACTATCTACCTATATATAATTAAAATATATATCAAATATATATATCAATAATAAAAATATATATAAATTTGATTAGGCCTTGCAAAAATATTATGAAAAATAAAAGCTTTATGCTCTCACAATGTGCCAATACGCTCTTTCGCACCTAAAGAGAGCGACAAAAACATAGTTCCGTGCTGCGCGATGACAATGATAAAGATCGCCCATCAACAACGCGACCAGCGAAGCGTCCAAGCGGCAACATTGACAGTTAACTGAGAGAGCAGCGGTTGCTACTGCTGCTGCTGCTGCTTCTGTTGCTTCTCTTAATTGCAGTAAAAATGTGAATGAACTTTGTGTTTGACGCTTTTACAGCTGCTGCGCGGCTCAAAAGCTTACGCGCTCTCTTTTTCGCTAATGCTTGCCCGCTCTAGCATGAGTCAAACGATAGCTGCTTACTGGCAGTGTATTTGCTGTTCTGTTCTTGCATGCAAGTGCCCATCATATGACACTATGTCAATATCAGAATGACGCATGTAGATGAGCAGACACACACACACATAAGCAATTAACTGTCTACGGCAATGAAAATGCATTTATTGCTGAGCTGCAAAAAAGTATCTAAATGCAGAACTTATATCTAAATGATATTTAAGTCTACATATATATGTAAAAAACTCATTTATGAGCAAACCTAAAGATTTTTCATAGATAAACTGCAAAGAACTAACTTTGCGGCATATTTGTGACATAAAAATGCAATAAACTTTATTATCTTTAACAAGTTTTTTGTCATTGTCTAATACCCACTCTAACAAGTGCGAAATGCCATAAGAGAAAAATTCCTTCAAAATATTCATTCATAAATATTTATAAGATCCCAAATTGCCCTTTAGTTCCCAAGTCAAAAGGAATTCATAAAGCTAAAAAAAGGCTAACATTCCGTTATCTGTCTCGTTTTGTATGGTTTTGATTGGCTTTTTGGCGAACAGAAATTTCCCCATACTGAAAAAAAGTTGTTGTTATTGTACCCTACAGCAATTACCTTGGCCATGTTCCCAATTCAAGCTCGTAATTACCTGTGCAGCCATCTAGCAGTCTCGACTTCATTTCCGCTTAAAGGAAATTTAACTTTAATTGCGAACTGCGGTCAATTTTGTTCGGCTCGGCGCTCTGATAAGCAGCAGCAGCAGCAGGTCAAACGATACTTTTTCGATACATTTTATACTTTATATTTCTGTGTGGGGTCAAAGAACCGATGCTCCAGCGTGTTCGAAAAACTTTTTATTTGATCTGAATAGCGGATTTTACCAGCTTAACAACATTGACAAGCTGCAAAGTGTGGGCGAGGGGAGAAAACACGATAAGTGTGACCCAATTTGGCAAAGTTTTGTTGCTGTTGCTATACATACAGAAATATATATATATATATATATATATTTTGCCGAGATTACACGAGTTCAAAATACTCTGCTACAAGTGCAGCTGTGGGCGTGTTTCTGTATGTGTATTGCCCTGTCTGAGCCTTTTATTACGACACTTATGTGTAGTTTGTTGTTTGTGTGCTCTTTTTGTTGCGTGTAGATATACTCAAACACACACCCACATTCAAAGTTGTCCTGTTAGAAGCACAAAGGCTGTCAAAACTTTGGAGAGAACTAAATGAATATGAAACTAAAATCAGTTATACAGTTTGACAAGAACTGCTCACAAAAGCAAAGGCGAAATAAAAAAATCATCACACTTACATATAGTATGCCAAGTCAAGCTCAAAAGCTTCTCACTTGCAGAGGATTAGGCACAGCGCAGACCAAATATAGACCCAAGCGCAGACACAGCTAGAAATATGAGTGCACACTTATACAGATACACATACATACAAACAGGCATAGACACAGCCATCATTCTTACAAGTACATTTTTGAAGTCATAAAGAATGCGACAATCGCTTTCAATGTTTGCAAAAACAACAAACAATGGACAAGGCCTCTCTGGCTCTCTGCTCAACTGCTTAAGCTAACGGTACAAAGCCGTGCTGGCAATCAAAGCTGTAGCTGAAGCCAAACGCAGCAGCACAAAAGAAAGTTAAACGAAGATTTTTTATTTTCGTTTTCTTTACACACACTTTGTGATTACTTTACGTTATGTTAATTATATTTGCACAATGAAGCAATGCGGGGGTGTGTGTAAGAAAGACAGCACAAATAGAAAAAGAGAGAGAGAGAGTGGTCGGCGGACAGACAAGCTGGCGGCTATTGCAATTTACTTTCGCGCTTTATTATTAACAGCTGTCGGCTGGTGTTGCTGTTTGCTCTTTACATGCACACTGCTTGATGTCTAACTACTGTAAGTCCAGATACTTCTAGCATGGACAGCTATGTAAGTGCTGAGCTCATATTAAAATATTTGCTATAAATCTATTTTAAGTTGTTACCTTCGCACATTTCAGTGGGCGTGAGCTTTAATTTATTTGACCCCATAACGCAGTTTAGCGTTGCGAATTTGGACGCAGAGCTTTCAAACTGCCAACACATTGTTCATAGCTATGACGAGCTTATAGAAAGCGACAGGTTATCCACATGCTCGCGCGCTCGTGCACTCCACTCCACTCCACTCTCTTGGTCTGGTTTGTTCTATTTCCCAAAATACAAAGTAGAGCACAGCTATGCGACCGTCCAGCAGCAGGTCAGGGATGCGACTGAGCGCAGCAGCAGCGGCAGCGGCAGCCTGCGCCTCATTAACGTCACTTGTTGTTGTTGTTTATGTGACACAATTTCACTCAAAATGGACCATGAGTTTTTTATTCTCAGCGTTAGTTTTTGGTGTTGGTGTCAATTCTGCGCGCTTTTGTGTTGCTTCTTTTAAGTCGTCGATGTCGTCAAACGAGTTCTGACTTCGCCGCCAACTTTCAATGCGCCCAAATTGACGCGACGAATGCAAAAAGTGTGTAAGTGTGAATGCGTTTGTGTATGTGTGTGTATCACTTAATGAGACGCAAGTTGCTGGCAGGATAACTGGAATTGGAGCAAGACGGGAAATTGGCACAAGCTTGCACTAGCACACAAAGAGAGAGCGCAAAACTAAAGAGAGTAAAAGTAACAGAACAAGAAAGAGAAAGAGAGAGAGAGAGAGAGGAGAGCACCAGCTGGTCAGCTTTCAGCAACTAATTGCATACAATTTGTCATTAGTTGCATAGCAAATGAGCAAACGGCCAAGCGACACACGCTTAATTGGAAGCATGAATTATTGAGCGCGTGCATTTATTGGCCAACATGTAGGTCAATCGGGGGTCACTCTCACACTCGCACACGCACACAGGCACACCTATACCCACTCATGGCCTTCACTGGCCATCCAATAAATTTCCATAGTTTTGCATTTTCGACTGGAAAGACAGACTCGATAAAAAAAGATTCGATTCATTAATACTGGAGGAAACTTGTTTTTGTTTCATTTCTTTCACCATTTGACTGTTGCAACAACATTGTGGTTAAACAAATGTGTGAATCAATAGCGAATTTTAAGATAATTTTGCAATGCAATTTTTGGATAACAAAAGGAAGTTTGAGCAAGCAGCGGATTGCCGAAAAATATGCCCACATTGTTTATAAGAATTAGGTATAAACTGAAACATTGGCAGTTAACATTAAACGAGCTTTTGTTTTGGCATGATTCTAGCTAAGACATTTTTGCCAAGCACATAAACATGAATGGAAGATTGATTTATATACTCAATACATATGACTTAGTCAATGCATATAACAGTTTTGTAAGGGTAATGCCTATAGGCTGGACTACTACGTAAAAGAGCTTTCTAAGTCTTAACTGTTGTGTATAAGACTTTTATTAGCATTGTCCTTATTATACTATTTTAATTCGTACAACATTATAAGAAGTCAAAAAAATATAAGTTCTATACGTATTGACTATCTATATTCGTATAAGAGAGCAACTTAAAAGTGAAGCAAAATCTTATCAGAATCGTAAAAAACTAAGTAAAATGCAATATAGGCGCATATATGTATGTATGTATATCCGGCTAAATAAATATTTCAATTTGTTGATTTAAAAAAAATAAAAACAACACGAAATAAAATAAGTTAATTGTTGAATTTCCGCTGAAAATAGGCGCAGCAGCTGTCAACGTTTGTTTTCATATTTTTAAAGCGTACTCCTCCTACTCTCTCTCTCTCGACCTTTTCTCTCTCGCTCTCTCTAACTCTGCCTCACTCACTCCACCAATTGATGTGCTGGTCAGCGAGTCTTACAAAATATTATCAATGTATGACGCATGCAAGAGTTGTAAGAAGTATATATAAACATATTGCTAATTGGATTCTCATTGGTTAGATTATATGTAATCCTTTGTTTATGTATCTCACCTTTGTCTTTGGCCTGCCGCACAACGTCGCGTATCTGCAGCTCAATAATGCGCCGTAAATACTGATCGATGTGATTCATCATTTCGTTTGTATACATTTGCTTTACATCCACACAAAACATTAATAACAACGGGCAACAGCAAAAACACAATGTAAATAATCAGCAATAATATAAGTTTCCCCAACTGCAATTACGTAGACCCAATTCGAATCCAGTTAGCTGCAAAGCGCGCGTCGCGTTCAGAACTGAGGCGAAATGCGACAATTGCGATCGTTTCTTATCAGCACGATATTCTTATCAGACATTTCGAATAGAGCGTAGCTAAAGCTAAGAGCGCGCGAGCGACAGAGTGAGAGAAGGAGAGAGCGAGCGCAGTTTGAATTGGTTTGGGTGTGACCATTAGGTGTACTGACAACAGCTACAACACTCTGATACAGGGTTTTAGTTTTCAGGTATATTTAAGAAATCTTAAGAGATAAGACTGCACTGTGCTATATATATATAGGGTCTTAGTTTAGATATAACTATATATTAACCATTATTCTTATTATAAATAATTCAATTTGTTTTATAATTTTATAATCAAATTTCGTTCATATTTTTTCCAGTCAGCCAAAAAGTGTTGAATCACAATTCCAAATAGAATCTAATGGGAATGGCAAACGGAAATTGGGTGTTAACGCTTGACAGAGCAACAGACGAGCGTGAAAAGTTAACCAAATAATAATAACAACAACAACAAGTAGTAGCAGCAGCAGCAACAACTGCCACAACGAATCAGCGTCCACTTACAGTTCTAGAGGCACTGCCTTTGGCTAGGTTGGCAATTTTCATCAAGTTCGTTGGCATTCGCGCTAATTTGATTTGAGTGCAATGACAGCCAAGAACCAGGCACAACTGCCACGCCCACCCTACAACAGCCGTCTCCCTTCTCTCTCTGTTACATTGTCCTGTTTGCCCAGGTGCAACATTTGCTGCTGCTGCCTTAGTTGGACTAGTCTCCAATTAGCTTTGCTGCCAATTAGCCAAACATTCCACTTGCTTTTCATAATTTAGGTAAATGATTTTTTTTTGGAATTGGTATTTGGAGCAAAACTGAAGTGAAAACATTGACAATTTTATTTATGTGGCACAAACAAATTGTTGTTGCAGCTGCGCTCGCTGTGAAAATTCCAGCGTGAAAAATCAAATGAAAACAAACTCAAAAAAATCCAATTGGGTGACTGAGTTATGTGCCTGGTGTTTGTGTGGGTACGTTTGTGTGTGTTATTCCAACTTGCAGTTCATTTAAGACACCTGCTGGCGCTCCATTAATCATCAATCAAGTTCCCCTTTCTTGATAACACGCGTCTAATCAGAATGTGGACCGATACGTACAACTCCCAATTAGACCTTTTTCATAGTTAAGCTAAATAATGCAGAGGCAAGCAAAACAAAAACGATTTCATTATAAATAAATATTAACAGAGAGGAATGACAATATATCTCTATTTATATTCTGAGTAGTTTAGTTTAGCTCAATTTTTATATAAAAATATTAAAAAAAAAAAAACAGAAAAACAAGTTCATGAACTGCACTGAACCAGTGATCAGTTTAGATGAGTTATGCTGCCCTGCTAAGCAAACGGATCCATTTTTGCCATTCGCACAATAGAAAATAATGAAAAACTGAAAACTATTTAATTATAGAACATTTCTGTTTTTTATGAGCTGCTGACATAATAACAAATACAACTAATCAAGTTTTCTATTAATTATAGAAATATTAAATTAATGAATTATTGATACATACAATTTTCTATATTAATGCAATATTATTGTTGTTGTTGTTGTCAGTAGCTGCATCTAAAATTTCCCTTGTTTATGCATGCAGCCAGCACTCGCTTTAAATGACAGACAAACGGAGCGCTGACTAACAGTTATTTACAAGTAAGCACACACACAAACATATCATTCACACACACACACACACATGCATTGCAGTGGTGTCTGTATGTTGATTTTGTTTATCGGCGCAGTTATGAATCCCATAAATGATGCGGCCAATGCTTCTGAGCAATGCTTTTCAATTGTTGTTATTGTTATTATTGTTGTTGTTTGTTGTTTTATTATTGTTTCTTCTACTCGCCGTTTTGCAGCGCTCAACTGAATTTCAACTCAATTAAGCATCATGGCGCGAGCAATTAATGGGAGTTCTACAAAAAATGAGCAAGCGCAACTAGCAGACACCACGTAGAACACATTTCGTTTGACATATTACTAATAGAAATCGTTGAATATATAATTATAATCAATATTTTAAAGCTTATATTAAATATCTCACACTTCCATTACTCTATATACCCAACGTCAGCAAGTCCGAGTACAGGGCATCAGGAGCACAGACTATGCGAATGAAAGTAAATTAAACACACGCACACACAAGTAAAATGCATATGCATGTGCCTGTCTGTGTGTGTGTGTGTGTGTAGAACATGCAAGCTGCAGTTGTAAGGCGACTGCTGCGGTGCATCTCAAACTGTTTCTCAACAACCAGATTTCCTATACTAACAAGCCCAAGAAGAGGGTGAGTGTGACGAGGTGGAATGGGGAGTGCGGGGGGCAGCCAGTGTGGCGTGTCCGTGTCGCATTGTGGCAAAACGGAAGTGCGCCGAGCGAGAGGCAAACGTCAAGAACAAAACATAAAGTGAAAAAAGCCGAAAACAAAAACACAACGCTACGCTAACGGTGGATGAAGTGGGGTCTAAATTATGAAGGGCGGAGTAGTAAAGAATATGCAAGCAATGCTATACAAAACCAAGACAAAAATAAAAAGAGTGAGTGTGTGCAAAGAGAGATTACGATAAGTAGAAAACAAAAAACGATAACGATTACTCACCATTGAGGTCCTTGGTTAATTGCGAACGCGTCGACATTTTGACTGTTGTGTTATTGTTGTTGTTTATAAGTTTGCGGCGAAAGTGGCAGCAATTTGGCAGCGAGCGAAAATGAAGTCAAACAGGAATAACCACCAGACGGCGGTGGCGGTGGCGGAAAAGACCTCTGCGGGCGGCGAATTCCGTGCTAAGTGCCAGGCGAAAAGGGTCCACAAAGCAATTTGGCGTTTGTTGTTGTGACTCTTCTTCTTATTGTTGTTGTCGATTCAATTTTGCCTCTCGTATAAAACTGGATTTAAAGCCTGGCTACGCATGCCGTCCGAGATGAACGGAAACAGCCTTCAATTGTTGCTCGCACATTTTTCGCAACGGGTTTCCTCAACATTTACACCGACGCACAATTCTTCTACTTTTCGTTTTTTATACAGACTCTCACACCAAGGCTTACACACAAACACTTTTCACGGTTTTCCACCCTATGTCGGGGGATCGGTTGGTCTCGCTTCTTTTTCCTGCACTAACAATTGTTTTTTTTTTTTTTTTTAATTATTTTAAAGCCAATTTAAATTTAATTTGCGCGTTAAAGCTTTGGCAATTCGTTAAATTTGAATATTTTGATTATTTGCTTGGGAATTCTTGGAATTCGTTTTGGTTTTCTTTTATTTTATATTTTTTTTCTTTGCCGCACTTTGATTTGAATAATTGGGTAAAAATTGAACACTTGTGGTGTTAACTATGTGGCGCCTTTTAGCTATCACATTGACTAAATGCGCCGTACACAGTTAATTTATTTGACTAAGAACGTTTTGCAGTTGTTTGCAAAAAATTGTGCCTTAAAAATGAATATAAAAAATGCAGTGCGCTAGCACCGCAAACAGCACACACGACGAGAGAAAAGCGTTGGGTCTACTGAAGAGTGTGACCAGTTACTGCAAGCGAACAAAATGCGCAGAAAGCATTCCAAGAAAATACCAAACAGCTGTTGCTGTAAACAGAGATAACAAACATATTTGACAATCGAACATAGGTAGTAACTGTATTTTGGGTAAACTAAATGTTATTTTTATTCATTAAAGTATGCTTTTGCTCTTATTTTTTATTATGCATTTGCAGCCCTAGCTGTACAGTGCTGCAAAATTCTACACTTCCGAACGCTGCACAGCACCAAATTTACCGCACGCTGAATGGCGCCCGAAATAAATAATAGAAGAAGAAGCAAATATCAGTTGAGCAGACAACATTTGGAGCGCTAAAATGGCAAATGTGCGCTGTTTGCAAAAAGTAATACGGCTACAAAAGTTTGTGCTGCCAATCAGTAAGTAAATTAGACAATAAATTAACAATTGTTGACACAAAGCAAAGACGCGCGCGTGCTGCATTTCGCAATTCGCCCATTACGAAATACGTGCGAGTGAGAGTGGCATTCAAAGCGAACAGCTGTTTTCTTTAGTTTTTCATTCGATTTATACGTCAGGGGGGAATGGATATAGCAAATGCTGCCGCTGCCGGTTAAAAGCTTATTTAGAATTTTCAGTTAAAATAAAACAAAGTGAAAACAAAAAAAAACAAAATCAAAATAAAATGGATATGGAAATGGGAACGGAAACGGTCACAGAAGCCGAAAATCTATTAAGCCTAATTAAGCGTATGCTCCATAGACGCAACTATGAAGACATCAAAATGATGTTCCAGAGTCCTACGGTGTTTGCTGAAATCGAGCCGCATATGCCTACCGTAGCAATGGATATGTATACGGAAATCTGTGCACCGACATTGACAGATGAAACCAACGTGGAAGATACACAGTTGTTCGATTGCGTTAATGAGTTGTTGAAGGTTATCGCTAATTATGCGCCGTTGCAGCAAATTATGTTGGAGCTAATGGAAAAGATTGAGGAGAGCAGCAGCATAGCTATATTCTCAGCGTATCTGCGGGCACTGCAAGTGGTTCTGCTGCGACAAGGTCAAAGCAAGCCACAGGCCATAGAGTGGTGTCTCGCCTCGGTAGTTACACGTGTGCGGAATCTGCCTTTGCCGGGCTACCTAAGTGAGGGCTACGACGAGCAACAGGCTCAACTGGTGGAACAGGATAAGCAAGTGGAGGAACTATTGGCACATTATATCACCATCGATCTGTGCTACGAGCCACTCTTGAAGGTGATCCTCGAACAGGAAGTCAAAACATCGATCTTTCGAGACTGTAGACTCAATCGGCGCAATATCTTGACCTGCTTTCTGCTGCAGCTGCTAGGCAAACCCTTGGCCCTGCTCGAGCTATGCAATGTGCCGACGAGATTGCTGCAACCTGGACAAGCGCACACTTGTACGCCCAGTCCCTGGCGTTTGCGCCCCGAGTTAACGCAGCGAAGCTACCTTCAGGCACGCGCCAATGCGAGCAAGACCCAATCCTATGTCCAGCAGGTGCAGCACACTTTGATAACGGATATAACCCGCTTGCTGGGTGATCCCTACTATCTGCTGTGCCTGGTGGAGCAGCGCGCGCGCTGGAAACGTCGTCTAGATGCCGCCAAAGGTGTCTACGAGATGAGCAGCCACAATGTCTTCCTAATTGATGAAAAGCTACCACTGCCCGCTTTGGCCATGTACTATCATGCATTGCTCGTGGGTCAAATGCTGCCCAAGAATGCGCCCAAAATCTATGCGCCATTGTATCTATTCGAGTCGAGTCTCTATTTGGTTTCTGTGCTGCTGGAGCAACCGGAGCCGCCGATGCAGCATTGCGGACTGCGTTTGAACGATTATATGCTGAGCATTTTGACGGAGCCCGTGCCACAGCATTCGCTGGATTTGGAAGTGCACAAACGTTACTGTGAAGCACTCTGCAAGATAACGGGCTACTCTTCGCAGGAGTCACTGCGCCAACTGGGCCTCCAGGTGTTGCATCATTACATACTCGCCTTCGAGGATGCAGCCAAATATTTAATATTGAAAAATCTGCTGGAAACAGTGCAGCATGACGGCATCTTGGGCTATTTGGCGGGCATGTACAAAGATTTGGTTGCTGCCCAAGTGGAGCTGAAAGCGCCCCTGGGCGATGTCTACAGCGGAGTACAATTCCGTTCCATGCTGCTACGCTGCGTTTGTGTACTGCCCCAGGATGTGAAATCGGATCTGTTGCTGCATTCAGTGAGCCTATCGAATGCCCTGAATATCTTGCGCTACTTTGCCATGGCTGATCTAGAGAATCGGACGGGATTCTGGCATGCGCTGCCTGAGATTGAGGAGCAGCTGCTGCAACCCCTGGGCAAGGCCCTAAACTTCTCACTGGCCCACTACAAGGCGTACAGGGAACGCGTTCTCAATGGCCAAAGCACATCCGACGATGAGCTAATGCAGAAGCAGCTCAACATGCTGGCTGTCAACATCAGCAACAGTGGCATGGACGGGGGTGAAGGCGATGGTCATTTGCCGGACATTGGTCGCGAGGAGAAGCTGGAGGTGTTGGCCGGCTCCATAACGGGTCTGGAATCGCTGCGTGTGCTCTATCTGCTGGCCAGCGATAATCTGGAGCAGAGCTCAATCAAGCGCAAAAAGCTGCTTCAATTGGATTAGAAAGCAAAAGACAAATCAATCGCATCTATTTCTATGTTTATATCTCTTCTGATCAAGCGTAAATGAAAACGAAATTTATCTGAGTCTACTGGCGTTTTTTCTATAAACAAATTATTTTTCGGTCAACAGGTGTTAATTGTCCAAACTAGCTGCCCTCTCTCACCTGTCGCTCCAAAAGGTGTTAATTGCACAGCTAAGCGAACTAAGTCAAATTGTGAGCTTTGCCTTGTTTTATGTGACCTTCAAAGCAATTAGAGCAACGAGGGAAACCACAATTCTCCATGAAATGTGGAACAGTCTGTCAACTGAAATTTAAACATTTCAAAATAAATCTGTAAATGGGGTTTACCTAAAGCTCAAAGCTCAAATTTTAATTGCATTTATGTTAGCTGTAAAGTAGAATCACTTAGAATAAAGAAATCGTAAGGAGCAAATTCGAGAACTTTTTAAGCTCGACAACTTTCCACATTTTTAATCTTTAAGTACATTGAAAACACGGAATCTAAAAATAAAAACTTAAAAAAACTAGACAATTCTTAAAGCAATTTCAAAGTTCTTTTTTGTTATTAAGAATCTCACTCTAAAGAGGCATTTCCTATTTAATTCATTTTTAACTATAGAAACTCGTTTTAATTTGAGTTGTCTAAAAAATATATTCAATTGTTAAGCTAAATTAGCTTTAAAAGCACATTAAAGCTTCCCTATTAGAGCTTTCAATTAGTTTAGTTAAAACATTGCTATTTACGAAAGAAAACTCCGATATCTTATATACACTATATTATATTCGTTTTGTTAGATCTGATTGATTGATTGATTTACAGATGTACAAAACTGCTGGCTGGCCATTACCGTCAACACACCCGCAGCCGTTTACAAACTACAACAGCGTTCATTATGCATGGCCGCCTACAGTTTGAGACGCGGCTATGCCTCGAACAGCGATAATTTGGATGAGTTTCGTGCGCGTGAGGAGCAACGCGAAAGGGAACGCGATGCAGCCGAGAAGCAGGCACAGAAGGCCACACAGGGCGACGCAGGTGGAGGGGGAGGAGTAGGTGGCAGTGGCACGTCATCTGGCGAAGAGCAGTCAGCCAAGCAGGCCAAAGTGGATGGCATACGAATACGTATATTAGATGCAGCGCTGCTGCATGTGCCAGAGCTTGGCTGGACCAAGCAGGCGATTGTCCAGGGTGCCGAGGACAGCGGCTTTCCAAGCGTGGTTCATGGCATGTTTCCCGAAGGCGGCTTTGCACTCGTGTCCCACTTCAACGGCAAGTGTAATGCAGAGCTAGTGCAGAGTTTACAGTTGCAAACGGACAATGGCCAAAAGGAGGTGGGCGACCCGCTGGATTTCCTCGTCCAAGCGGTGCGACAACGTTTGACCATGATTGAGCCGTTCAAAAAGCAATGGCCACAGGCCATGGCATTGATAGCACAACCGGCAAATGCATCCACAGCGCTGGCACAGGTGCTCACACTAGTCGATGATATCTGCTACTACTCCGGCGATCGTTCCGTTGATGTGAGTTGGGCTAACACAAATCTCTTACTGTATAGTAATTTGCTAACTTCTTTTACTGAACAGTTTGGCTGGTACACGCGTCGCATTGGCTTGGCCACTATACTGAAGATGACAGAGCTCTATATGCTGCAGGATACCTCACCTGGGCACGCTCAGACGTGGGAGTTCCTTAAGAATCGCATGGATGAGGCTGTGCAGCTGCAAATGGCTTTGGCACAAACTGAAGGCATGACACAAACATTTCAACGTTCCTTCAACTCTGCTTTCATAACGGTATATTTCGTAACTCACCTATACAAATATCCAAACTTTACTCTATTTCTCTCCCTCTCTGTATCTCTGATTTCAGGCGCGCAACATACTCGGACTGGGCTACAGTCGCCATTAGCTAAGGTGCACCAAAAATCAGCAAATGTCCAAAGAACAAACGAGTGTTATGTAAAAATATTATATATATATATATGTATATATACCATATATACATGCAAAGATTTATACCTTATAAAATATACCTGATCTACGTGTATTTGTGCATACTTTAAGCTGTTTCTTTAAGAGATTTCAATTAATTTTTTTAGATAGATAATCAACATGATGGATTTATATATGGGAAAATACTTTGTGTTCAGTCTTATACAAGTCTTATACGGTTAATGTATAAAATCTACATGTCGTCTATTTTTGTAGTCATAGCTTAGTCTAATTCAACTACTACAACTGGTATCTAAGTCAACTACTATTATTATTATCCTAATATATAAAACATATAAAACTGGCGGAGCTATATGTGTTTAATCTTTCACCTATATTTATCTATAATATAATTAAATATATTTTGGGTAAAAAGTTAACAAAATATTGAAGCAAGTCTATTGTAAATGTATATAGAGTTACGGATATATATATATATATATATATACATTGGACACGATTAAATACGAAGCTAATTAAACAGCTTCGCTTCTCTGCTTAAGATCAATGCAAGTTGGTTTAAAGCCTTTGCACAGATCTGTCTTTGATAGTTCAGATGCTTTTTGTCTGCCTGTTAAATTGATATATATTTAAATTATAAAATGTATTAATATATATTATAATTTGATAACAATTTAAATTATAAAATTTATTAATATATACTATAATTTAATAACAATACTAAGAAAGGAGCAACACTTGCCGCGATCTTCGTTTTTTTGTTTTGTGTTCTAACTAGCCATACTTCTGAAAATTTTGTCTATGTTTACATTATGTGTGTGGATATAGGAATGATTTGGCTTTAGAGCTTTTCAGCTTCATTTCAATCCCTTTTGATCCCGGGTACAGCTGGTCGTGATTGCACAGGCAACACTTTCTCAGGCATGGGAAAACGCGGCTTCCACGTCCATGTATCGTCGTCATGGGGAATAGTTTCGAAGATAGCATCACACACCGCTGATATATGACTGTTATCGATTTGCGCATTCGCTACGTTCCGGTTAAGAACACGCCGCCTTCGGCGTCTCTTCTTAGCCGAAACCACATATGAATACAGCTCCGATATATCTTTGCACAAGTCAGTATGCTTCAACGAACTCTTGTTAATTGACGTTGGATACATTAGTTTATGTTTCCTGCCGATCGACCCATGGCACCGATCAGACACCTGACGCACCGGACAGAGCGGGCATGAGTAGGGTATGGGCTCACAACGTGTCCATTCCATGCGGCAGCAGTGTTGGCACATCTTCTAGCTATGTTAACCAAACTGGAAACAAGCCCAATTTTTTTCTAGGAAAGTTTACCAAAAATTAAAAACAATTTCTATGCGGCCTTTCAAATTTAATTCTCATGAAAATTCGAAAGTCCGCTGCCCTCAAATATAAAGAAATTCTGATTAATTTTCCGATGTTCTTTAAAGATCTGTATATAAAATGTGTAAGAATTAGCTTCGGTGTTGTGATTGAGACATTTTAAGAAAACGTTCTTAAAAATGTTGTTCCCATCTTTATAAGAATAATCAAAAAGCATATATAACAAGAAAATGTAATATACAAAGGATGCTAGAAGACTCGTATATAATTGTCTTAAAAAGTAAATATATTCATATAAATTTCTTATAAATGATTGAAAGAGCTCATCAACAACTGAAATGCTGTGTTTACAACTAGTCTGTATATATATATATTTTGATGAAAATCTTTGCAGCCTAAGCGCATTGTTAGTAACTTAAACATATAAGCTATAAATATATCTATATATAGTTAACCCCTATTTTCTACACACATCTCTGTTTGAAAATGTATTGCACGAAGTAAAACATTTAGAAAAAGACAAAAACAAACATTTAAAAACAAATTTAAGCACAAGGCTGCAAATAGTGTTCATCCTGTGGCTTTAGCTGCTCCACTTTGCTGTGAATTGAAATGAGATTTAGATTCAGGTTTAGCTTAAGGTTAGTCTACTACATAGCACATGCCTATGTGGATTGTCAGTTTGTGTGAGCTGTAGCTTTAACTGCTGCTGCAGCCGCATTGGTTGCTCTTTGCTGGCCAAGATCATCGCATCTAGCTGCTGTTTGAGCTGCGCAAATGTTGGTCGATTGCCAGGTATGGAGCACCAGCAGCTTGTCATTAGAGCGAATCTGTGGAAAAATGTACATATATATTCCATGCATGCGTACTTTCTAGTTACACACAATTCATCTGTGCAGCCTTCGGGCTGCTTCATTCGCTGTCCCTGACGCAGCAGCTGCAACAAATCTCTGGGCGAGATTGAAGGATATGGCATGCCACCCAATGTAGTAATCTCATACAGCAGTACGCCAAAGGACCAGCTGAAAGAAGAAGCAAAGTAAGTATATCAATTCTGTACATAGACATAGACTACACTCTTACACATCACTCTGACTGGTGTACACCTGATGGGTAAGCGATTCCAATGCCAACCATTTAATGGGCAGCTTGCCACTGCCTCCTGATTTGCGATAAACATTCTCATGGTAGACATCACGACTTAGACTGATAATAAAGAAAAGTTTATTTAATATATCTTAAGTATCAAAATGTATTGATAAAAGCTTGCCCGAAGTCGGCTATTTTTATGGTGAGATCCAATGAGATGAGCACATTTCGTGCCGCCAAATCTCGATGCACAATTTTATTCTGCGCCAAAAAGTCCTGTGGATTAAAATTGTCATTTTTATCTACATTTTAATTTTCTATCTAAGCTGTTACCATGCCAACCGCCACCTGTTGCGCAATATCCAAGAGATCTACATATTTCAGCGGTTGCCTTTCCAATTGATGCTCAACGGCTGGTGTATTGAAGTATTCCTGATTTTCGAAGCTAGCCGTGCAGCAGGAACTTTTCTCTGGCTGCTGTTCCCTTTGATTGCGCTTCAATATGCTCTTCAGAGATGCTACAGCAGCAGCTGCATTTGCCTCAATATTCTCTATGCCATGCAGTCCATAGGATTTGTTGTCAGCAGCAAGTGTTGCCTTGCTCCACTTGAAGCTCGTATCTTGGCGACTGCTGTTCCTCGAGAGATCCGTTTCGGATTCCTCTTCTAGTGTGGACAACATGGAGCGATTTATATCCTCAATACGTGTATCGTTACAAAGGAGATGCCTAGGGCGCATTGGAAGCTGTGCCTGCTGCATTGAATTGAGCTTGAGATGCAAGTTCCGAGCGCTGCGCTCCTGCTGAAATTTCCATTCATCCCTGTGAAATAAATGCATTAGACAGTTTCTATAATAGAGCTCAAGGTAATTTCTTGCCGCAAATAACTCTGAAGGCTGCCCAAACCACAGTATTCGGTGAGCAGCATCATGCGATTGCTGCATCTGGTCGAGTAGCCAACAATGCCAACAATATTTGGATGCCTGCCCACGGCGCGTAACATTTCGATTTCGCACTTGAATGCTTGCACATCCTCCTCATTGGGATGATCTGTGTAGCATAAGCAAAGGCGTCAAATTAGCTGCTTGATGTCATAAGGTACCTTCCTTACCTTTGAGCAGCTTCACAGCCACCTGTCTCTGTTTGTAGACACCGCGACGTACTAGACCAAAGGCGCCCTCGCCTAGGACATCCTGCAGCAGCACTGCATGTGGCTCTACCTCCAGCTCATCATCCAATTCAAAATTATCCTCAGCTGCGAGCGTAGCTAACAGTCTGTTACTGTTGTTGTTGATCAATGACAAATGAAAATCGCTTGACTGATTGGGAGCTGCCTTAAGCTCCTTCGTCTCCAGCTGCTGACAATCTTGTCTTTGTTTTTGCCTACGCAACGTCAGCCAACACAAGCCGACTATCACACAAAGCATCACAATGAATAAAACCATTAAGTTAATTAGGGTGCTTTCTGGAAAATAAAAACATATATTATTCAACCCATTTATAATGGTTAAGAAAATAGGAGTGTGTAGGAGAGCATACCCAGCATCCAGAGCTGCAAATCAATCTTGTCAACGAACAAAGTCGTAGCATTCTGTCCGCCCTCTGTGACTGCTATCAAATGGACCTCAAAACTGGCACCAAGTATAGTTATATTTTGTACATCATAATGATTAGCACTACGATCTACTGTATAGTTCATTTCTGAGCTATTATCATGTAGATCGAGTATATTCAGCTTATAGTAATCCGGCAGTTGTCGTGGCAGAGACCAGCTGATATTCAATGTTAATATATCCTGATCGAAATGAAATTGTTGGACACTAACATTTTCGGGCTTCAGCGGAGCTAGAAGAGGTGAAGAAGTATCTAATTATAGATCCTATAGAACAATATATCCTGATTACAATTAAGTCGATCTATGTATTTTACAGGGTATATGCACATTTATACAGTCCACTTACTGGGTTTCTCTAATAGACTTACCACACAGAGTATAGTTGTAGTGAAACCAATCTAGGCAGCTGGGCACGTGCAGTACCAGCCATTGCATTGAGGTCTCCAGCATATTCATGATATTCACTGTGCGAATGCCCACCATGAACTTTTCTTCAAATTTCAAATTGGGTATTGTATAGCTGTAGAGGCTGCGAGGCTGTAAAGGTCAAGTAGAGTTGAGGACACTTAAAGACATAAGTAAAATTTCATAGCATTTACGTCGCGAAATTCGATAGGTGTGGGCGCGTCCATGATTTGAGTATCCTTCGAAAAGTAGATCATATCAAAATAACAATTGCGTTCTGTAAGTAAAAGGATTGCAACAATATAAAATCATTTCCATTTTATAAGAGTTCTTTATAAGACTTGCCAGCTGATGGCTGCCATTCTATTTTTGCAGCAAGATGTTGCCTATCGGCGGGCTGCTCTTCGAATTCTTTTAGTCGAACGTTGCCCATTTTGCTGGGCTGATAGCCACGCTTCAGTGTTTGATAGCTCTCCTGGATGGCAATAAACGAATAGGCGCCATCGGCGTGCACAGCCAGCGCTGTAATATTATGAGAGGTAATTGCTTCCAGATCCGATAAGGTAAAGAAACTATCATCGGACTAAAACATATTATAGATTAGAGGCTGATAAATGGACTAGAAATGTTTAACTTACCACATAGAAAGTCGATTCAAGATTAACGTCATCAAGGATTCTGTCAAGCTTTATGATAAACATGACATCTGGCATAGGCTGTGGAGCATCATCACGCGCATGCTGTACCCACTTAATGCGAAATGACAGCTCCGACTCTGTGCGGCAAACGAGATTCAAAGAGAAATTCTCCTGTATTTTGTGCGGCGGATTCGCGGTCATTAGATCCGTCGCATTTTCACCACAGTAATCGTAACAGGTCGAAAAATTCTAAACGAGAAAGAGAGAGAGAAGGAGAGATACAGAACATGTAGATCTTTGCGAGCAATAGGTGTCACCTTATTTGGTATTGTGAGCAGGCAGCGCTTGGTGCAGGCAGTCAAATTGAGCAGCACCTCTTCCTTGGACAGCTCTCGCATGAGTATCAAATTGCCCTGATTCTCGTCGATGAACAGCCAAAACAGAAATGCATATTTTGCATAGAACAACAACATTGCTTTTTCAATTTTGCCGTTTATTTTCTTTTTTTGCGTCTTTTTAGCGCGCTTCTTTTCAACACTTGAACTTGCGGTTCTTTTTGTTTATTTTACAGTTCGCACTTTTCTTAGTCGAGGCTCTGCACTAGTTCCACTTTTATTCTATTCGAAATGCCGCTCTGCACCAGTTCCAACCTTCGCCTACGACTGAGCCGTGCACACTGAAGTTGAGCCATATCCAAGCGGACAGGAAGAATAGCCGCAAAGTCGCAAAAGAAAGGAAAAAAATTGAATACAATTCTGTTTTCATTTCTTATCCGTTTTGTTTCAATTTTGTGTTTCATATGACGGACGGACGGACGGTCACGCTAGTCATATCATTTGTAATGCAAAAATCCAATTCGGTTTTCGACAATGGGGCGCCAAAGTGGATTGGAGAAATGCAGAACGCAACATATAAATGAGAGTGCACACTAAAAAATACCCTTTGAATATAACAATAAGCAGCCGGTCTTATTATTATAGTGAAATTCAACTGGAGTAAGTACGTGTGTATGTATACGTAAAAACATAAGCAAACTCATGTTTCCTCTCCTTTGTTGCTCTACAAATGTACATAAATTACAAAATGAGCTCAAGCTTTCTGCATCTGCTTCATAGCGCTCTACCCAATAATTCGCTCTTATCTCTCTACTTCATGCGTGTATCAAGCTGTTAAACGCTTCCATTGACTTAAAAGCAATGTGTTATATGATGTTCCAAAAAGTTATCAAATTTTGATCTTTCGCTTTACTTAGCATTGGATTTACCTAAGTTCGTCTAACTTTTATACCCGCCTTATCCATATATGAAGATTCAACCATATGGTAACAAATTCGCCCAATAATTTTTATTTTTAGATCAAATCCGTTATAGAATTGAGTGATACGATGCAAAAGGTGCTCGAGTTGGAGTTGTACGAGTTTCAATTACAGCTAGAACTTGAGCAGTTTTTGCACCTCATCACGGAACTCGTATAATATCAGCCGATCACGAAGAAACGTTCACGCACAATCGCACAGTATTCAATTGCATTTCTGAGGGAAATACTTCGCCCAGAAATTCCAAAAGACTCGGCTGCGATCGCACAATATCGCAATATACTTCGAACGTGATGAGCAGGTTTTTGTCCCGATCGAATTTAGCAAAGAGCACTTCAATCATATCCTAAAAAGTATATATTTGGATATATTATATTAGTAGAAATAGATATTAGTAGAAATTTATTTACAGTACGGAGCTCAAATATTTCATCCTCGTCTTCGCCAGTGAAAAACTTTTGCACAAATGCATCGACTTGATCGCGTTCCAGATAGCCACGATCACGATCATCATAGATCTGCACAAATAGATTTACTATATAAAATATTTACCATATAAAATATGCTGAATGAATTTACGCTAAAGACAAAGTGCATCTTCTTTTCCAGATTTGTCGAAAAGTAGATGGCAAACATTTTTATAAAACTTGCCAAACTGCAGTGGCGTTCGCCCGAATATTTTGGATCCGAACTTTCCGAATCAAAGGCAATACGTGAAACAACACGTCTATTGATTTCACGATCCGTTACATGGAACAATAGCTCCAATATTTTGCTCAGTTGAACTAGCGTGATATACTTCGCCTTGGGCCCATTCTGCAGAGCAAACTTATGATAGACCATAGAGATACAGAGTAACTGCGTTCTCGTAAAGGGCGAGTCTACGTGCGAGATTATCGGTCCATAAATATAATTGAAGCGCGCATTTTCCATATAGTCTAAAGTCAGATCCAAATCTTTCATATTGGTAACAACAAGAAATGCTAAACACAATCAAAGAATATTTAAATAGGAATAATCAACTTTTGGAAACTAAAATATCTTTTTGACAACATATTTGATAAACTTTGCAGTCCCTAGCATTTTAAAACATTTTTTATGTATGTTATGTTTGAGCTGATAAATTTTAACAATATCTTTTTGTTTAAGATAAGCAAGATACAGTCCGTCTGTTACAGTTCAGAATTAGACTTGATCTTCATATTTATATAGCCTATTTAACATTCAAATTTACACATTTTTAAGATATATAGCTAGTTATATTAACTATAACTATATAACAGTTTTGTGCATTTTTAATTGTAATTAGTTTGATCAAATATTGTCTTGTACATTTCAGAGTAAATTGACGCACAAGGCAACTGTATTTAATTGGACTTTGGATGGAAAGACAACGCCCAGGAATTCCAAGAGCTCTGGCTGCTGGCGTATTACTTCGGCGTATTCTTCAAACGTTATCACCAGATCCTTATCGAGATCGAATTTCATAAAGATTAACTCCAACATGTCCTGCAAGTCAACTAGGTCAACAATATATGTATGTATTAGCTCATTTGGTTACCATGCGCATTTCAATCTGCTCATCCTCATCTTCCCCGACGAAGAACTTTTCTATGAAACGCATCACATGCTCGCGATTCAAGTAGCCCAGATGGTCCCCATCGTATACCTGGCAACAGCAAGTAAATACTTAAAAAGAATTTATCAAATTTAACAACTGTTATACAAACGTTAAAGACGAATAACATGCGCTCTTCGAGATCATTTGAAAAGTAGATGTGAAACAGCTTCACAAACGATGGCAGTGTACAATGTCGATCTGGTGAGAACTTTGGATCCGCGCATTCCTGATTGAAGCTGACAAAAGTCACCACTCTGCGATTAATTTCTATATCGCTCAATAGAAACATCTTCATTAATATAGTTCCCACTTGTCCGAGTGACATATACTTCGCTTTTGGTCCATTCATGAGTACAAACTTATGATACACCATTGTGAGGCACAGAACCTCAGTATGGGTGAACGGCGATTCTATATTAGCGAGTGCACCTGCGTAGATATAGTTGAACCGTGCATTTTCCATATAGTCCAGTGTTAGATCTAGATCCTTCATTATGTCAAAAAAAAAATAACTATTAAAGTCTAAAAGTATTAAAAGTATAAATGGTTTCTGGCACTGCTATTCCGACGAAATACTAAACAATGAGCCATATAGGCTTTATCGTATCACAGGAAAATCATTCGAAATATCAAGACTTACTCAGTTCATTATAGATGATAAAACTTTGAAGGTAGATGGACGGTTCGACTCAACAAATTAATATTTATAATTTATAAAACTAATAAAAAAATTAAATTTATATATTTAACATTTTACAATTAAAAGACGTATATTGTTTTATGTATTTTCTTTAACTAATTGTTTAATTGTCCTTTGCTTGAATTAATGTCATTTAGTAGTAAGCTAAAGCAAAGTTACAGGGTATTACAGCGCTATACAACACAAAGTGTACAACAGGGTACATATACGAGTGTATGCATGTGGGAGTGTGTTTGTGTATGTGTAAAGGGAGTATACCTTAGCAATGTACCTTAAAAGACAATCGTGTTTAGCTTACAAAAAATGTAATCTTAATCGAGTACACGACAGCTATATAAAAAGTTTATATATATTTATATTAAATGTATGCACACAAACAACATACAAAATACAACTACATAGATGTACAATTATCGTATAAGTATTTATATAAAATTAAAAAAAAAATATATGTGTATACATATATATATAAAATAATTAATATGAAATTATAAACTTAACATAGCTGCTTGATGGGTATCAAATAGGAAATCTAATACAGTGGCAAAAATAGAATACTGACTGGGATCTGATGTAGGATGACTTCAGTGAGAGAATGTGGAAAACTTATGCTGAAATTTCTTCTTAATTGATACTTCGAGTTTGAGTATTTTTCGTGTTTGCTGCGACACAACCGCTTGTAAAATTCATATTCATAATACATAATAATACTACTAATATTGAAAGAAATGCAAAGTTTCTTGTTGTTCGGCTGTCTGTCAAATTAAAAAGAAAAAAAAAAGAGAACAGTCCATTCGAGTTATGTCTGTGGCAACGTGAGTATATTCGCATATGAATACGTATTCATATTTCTATATATATATATTCATGGATTAGTCTGAGTTTGTCTTTTGAGACAGTTTTCTTCTGAGAGTCGGCTACATTTTACTAAACGCATTTCAAGCTAAGTTCAACTTGTCGTCCACTAAATGCTGGCAATGCGTATTATTTGTGAGTGTGAGTGTGTGTGTGGGTGTGCACAACTACTAGTTGTAAGCCAAGGAATTGGCATTGAGCGCCAGCGCTGCTTCCGTGCTGCCGCTGCTTGATGATGTGGATGCCTGTGGCTGTGGTTGATTTGTTCCACTGTCCAGATGCACATTATTATAGTCTGTTTTGGCATTGCAGCGCATACCATGTGGCAATGGTAACTGCGGTTCCGCCACTTGCTGCTGCTGCTGTTGCTGTTCTTGTTGCTGCTGCTGTTCCACTTCGCCATTGCCGTTGTAGGCGCTGCCATTGAGATTGTAAACAGTGAGTCGCGCCTCGTGCTCGCGTCGCTGTTGACGCAATCGTATGTCATGCTCCTCGCGCATATGCCGCAGCTTGAGATCCTGCTCCTGGCGATAGTATGACATCTTGAGTTCCTGCTCCATTTGCTCGAAGCGCAGCTTCTGCTCATGCTCACGCCGTGCATAATCGATCTCGGCAAGGCGCGCTTGTTTCAGCAGCTTAAACAACTGCTGTTTATATTTCTCCTCCATGTCCAGACAGCTTATGATGCCTTCATTTGACGCTGACGCTGCTGCAGCAGCTGCTGCTATTGGCGTATAGGCTGGTCCAACTGCTCCACTGGCCGCTGGTAGCTCATCCTCGGAGAGCAATGATTGAGCTTGTGAATGCTGTGTAGATAAAGAATATATTGAATAGGATCTAATTTATATGTCTACTGATCTACTTGCCTTGCGCTGTCGTCTTTTGCGTATGGGTGAAGTCTTTTCGTTGTCAATGTCCTGTGTTGCTGTGCCGTTGCCTGTGTCTGTGTCCTCTTTCATGTTTAGCAAGGCTTTGGCTTTAACACGTTTGCGCCGTTGATTGGACGCTGATTGTAATGGATTGGATGCGCTCTCCTGTTGTGAGTCGCCACCAGCGGTGGAGGGCGGTGGTGAGGGTATGGCCATGGTTGAAGTTTGTAATGTATCTTCGCTGGCATTTGTGGAGTTCGGCAAAGCAGCCAGCGGCATATCTTCGTCCTCGTCCAGTTCAAGTAGCTCTTTTTTGAGTGCTCCATTGGTGCCACTGCGCGTTTGGCTGCGCGACGACACCGGATCCTTTTGTAGTTCCTCCATAAACTCAATCATGCGCATGCCCTCTAGCGCCTCCGATTTAGGTTGCTTTTGCTGATGTTCACGCTTCGCCGAGTTCTTCATGCTGCGCCATTGCACCTGAATTTGTTCGAGCAGTCGATGTCGAAAGTTCAGCGCATTAAATCTGTTTAAATGCAGGATTTATTAATTGATTTCAATTATATATATATAAGCATGTTTGTATACACTTACTGTTTGGTTATTTGCGACCAGGCCAGTCTCTTGGCCTTGATGCTTTTGGCATCAACGCTGCGATTCTCAACGAATGCTACTTTTGTTTTGATCACCTCTAAGAGGAGGCCGCGCTCAGCTTCTTCCCAATTGAGCGAACGTTTTTTGCGTGTGCCTTTTTTCTTGCCCGTTGCGCTTTCTTTTTCAGCAGACTCCTCGGCAGCATCTTCAGCGTTCTCCACCCCCTCATCAGAGGCATTTGTGGCTTTTGTTTTCGACTCCGCCTTTTCGTCATCGTCATCGTCCTCTTGCGGCGACGGTGCACCCTTTGTCAATAGCTCCTCCAGTTTCATTTCGCTATCGAATTTTTATTGTTTTTGTATGCCTTTTATTATTGTTATTATCGTTATTTAAGCGCGTTTCCGATTTGCAAAAAATTCTTATTTGATTTCTGTATATACTACGCAACGGCGTTGCCACCGCGTGAAAGTGTTGCAAGAGTGGCAACATGCAGCATCGCGGCACAGCTATCGATATTTATTACTGCACCACTGTGCAAACTTAGTGTGCTTTGAGTTCTATCGATACATTGTCGTACTCATACTCAAGTATCGAGCAAAGTAAGTAGCAGGCTAGAAAATATAGTCTCATTGGCAAATTATATTTTTATCACACACATAATTTAGCGAGATGGCTTTTGGAGACTATCCAGCTGAGTATAACCCAAAGACGCATGGACCTTACGATCCAGCACGCTTCTATGGCAAAGGTTAGTGAAATTGCGGAATTACGTAATTTTTTTTTGCCGAACGACTTCGGCATTTTACTATTTTTTTCTTCCAATTTATGTAATTGTTTTCTTTTTTTTTTTATCATCACAGCTGATGTGCCTTTCGGCCAAGTGAAATTGGGCGAGTTGGGTGCATGGTTTGGACGCCGCAATAAGACTCCAAGCGCCATCACTGGGGCTATCAGTCGTGCCTGGTGGCGTTGGCAGCACAAGTATGTGTTCCCAAAGCGTGCTGGAATTGCACCCTTCTTCCAGTTGACCGTCGCCAGCATGGCGTTCTTCTATGTAATCAACTACACCAAGTTGAAGCACCACAGGAACTACAAGTATCACTAAGCGGTACATCTCGTTTAAGCTCTTCAGTGTACACTTTGTTCTTATAACTTTTTTCATTTATTGTTGCCATTCAGTAAAGTGGGGAGAGTTCGAACACAACCACAACACAATACAATTGATGTTTTGAACACGGCTGATTCTAATAAAAAAAATTCTGCGAATAACTGTGCTGCACCAAACAACCGTAAACTTCATTTGCAATAGCCGCTAAAGATACAAAATATTGTTAATTCTGTTCATCGATATGAACCAGTTTCTGGTTTTTATGCTCGGCTCGCGAAACTGGTTAAGCTACGAATCTAGTTACTATAAATGTTCATTTATCATCAATTTATGGTTTATAAATCGATCTATATGTGTAAATTGGATGGTTCCATTTTCGGCCAATAACTAAAGACAAAATATACAGGATGTAAATTAATCAATTTAATTGCAGCCTTTATTGATGTGAGACACTCGCTCTAGTATTCAGTTGCGTCTGATCGGAATCCTTGCTCACAGCTGAGTGTTCTGTTCATTCAAGGTTCAGTTCTTAGAACTAGTTAGAGAATCGTTCGATAGATCGACAACTGCTTCATCAGACAATTTTAAAGCAATTAAACAGAATTAAATATGAAATAGCTTTAATTTTAGACTTTCATATTCTGTCCTTGTCAGTAACACGCATCCGCAGCATTTGCTCCTGTGTCCAATTGCGTGTTCGTATTGGCTCTTGGTGGCGTAAAAATCTCGCAGATGAAGGGCAGCTCATGTTCACAGCTCAATGTTTGCCAAGTACCGTTCGGCGTCAGAGCCACGCAGCTGGCATTGGCTTGGCTGCCCCTATTATGGATGCAATGCTATTGCTTACAAAGTTGCCTTACTCAAGACAAGCCCACTTACCCAACCCGGGGATGACCCTTATGCCAGGCGCGATACAGAAAACACAGCAGGCTCTCCTGTTGTGCATTGCGATAGTCCAGTGGCTGCAGGGATTTGCTGACATTAAATTGCAAGCCCACATATGCCAGAAGGATGCCCGGTTCTGGGTGTTCTCCCACACGCTGTCTATTATAATTCAGCAGCCACTGAGCTAGTGCATAGGTGCGCGCTTCGGAGGCAACATGGGCTAGGCTTCCACTAAATTCGCTGGCATTGCTGCAGCTGGTGGAAGCATTCAAATAGTTGGCAGGTTGGGTATAGAAGACAAATAGACCCACCTGTGCAACGCAGCTAATGTTATGCAGCGCTAAGGGAAACACTAGATTGGATTTCACATTTATTGTAATTGCTCGTCTGTTCACCTGTCGGCCTGCCGTATAAGCTGTAGTAGTCGAAGCGACTATCGTTCGTCATGCCTGCAAAGCTCGTATTTTGTGGGCACGCCAGAACATGGCAGTTAAAATATTCCGCTGGCTGCTCAAAGACACTCAAACGATTCCTCGCATCCTTTTGCCGCCTGCTGCTTGCCAGCTCTCTTGGCTGTGGATCAAAACGATTGGTACGTCGGCCTGGTCCACCTGGCGCAAAGTTTAAGGCCAGGCCACGCAGCTCACGTGTAAGTGCCATGCACTCTTCTAGAGTTCCTGTGCTCTCCAGAGCAAGTGCGTCAGCCGTAGCAGCGCGTTGACACTGACGCACCAGATGAAACTGCAAAGGAGCAGGATTTTCGCTGGGGCATCGAAGTGCAAGTAAAGGCGAAACGCTTAACAGCAGCAGCCACATGGCCTAGTGCAGCAATCCACTGAGCTTGGCTAACTTATATATGCATATATGATATATATATGCATTCATCTAGCTGACAGCATTGATAACAATTTTATGGTCAATTTAATTTTTATTGTTCATTTGCATATTTTCTATTTTTAGCTTAGCTATAAGTTGTTTATTTAAAATAATACAGTAAAAGCTCGCTTGAACGAACTGGGCAGGCAGATGTTTGCTTAACACTTAATTATGCATAATTTCATGTACTCTATAATTTTTACATATTTCTTTAAATATTTTTAATAGTTTAATATGCATATGTCAATTGAAAATTTAAAGATTTTTTGTTATAAAATTTATAAAATTAGTTAAATTAATTGGTTTGCTGTTCGAAAAGCTAAAAGAAATTATGAAAAATAGTTGTTCGTTAAGCAGAGTTTTCACTGTATATGTGTGTTTTGTGTATTTGATTGAAAATGTGTTGCATTGCACAGCTCCAGGCGAGCGTTCTAAAAATATTTTAATTCAATGCTCAAATGAAGCTGCGCAAAGACTTCGCTTAAATACTTTGACAATTAATACAATTTATAATTTTAATAATTATTATAGATATTATTTTTCATTTGTGAAAAGGCTGCACGCTTATAGTACATAGTAGTATTTATTAAATATTGTAGTGCAAAAATAGTTTAAACAATGACAAGAAAAAATTGTACAGAACATTAAACTAAGAACAAAGGCAGATTTTTTGGAACTAAGTTTCCTCATTTTGTTTTTGTTTTTTTTTTTTAATAAATTTAAAGTACAAATACAAATATCACCTGAGCGTCGGCTGCTGCATTCGTTGTTAGTTCGAGTTTTTAAAATTAAGCAGTTTAAATAGTAAGATAAATACAATATTCATATATATAAAGTTTAATGACTGCACTACAAGAGAGAACGAGGAGTGTGTGCTTGATTCTGATAAGAATCTAAGTGGAATCCAACCGACACCAACACGTGAGTGCGTGCGTTAACAGAGCTGCCATTATTGTGCAGTGCTGCCCATGTCTGACGCTTGAACTTGACCGCACTGCACAACTAACTCTGCGACATTAGCGGGCAATTAGCAAATAACGGGGAAATTGCCCGGTAATCTCTGCACAGGGAAATTTCTTTTTCTGTTTTCTTTTCCTTTCATGCAAAACTTAATTATTTTTTTTATAATATTATTAAATTAAAAACTTGCGACCTTACAGACTAAAACTGCATTTGACTACCGCAGGCGGCTGCATGCTTAACTTTTCTTCATCTGCTTCTTTTATGCTGGCATTTAGCTTGATTTTGAATATTTTGAAGTTTTCTTTTTAAACACTTTGAGTGTTCCATTGTTGAGTTTTGGAAATATTTGCGAACGTTTTTTTGCTTTATTTTGTTTTTCACATTTTAGCTGCTGTGCGAGAAGGCGGTGTTTGTATAAGGTCCACTGTATATGGAGCTGCCCGAATTGGAAACCGTCTTCGTGCTGCGGCGTGCCATAATGCACAGCACAGCAGCCACCACGGCCAGCATCAAAATGAGTCCAGCAATGGCGATGGCTATGGCAAAGGTGCGCTGCGACACGCACAGAGCATCCTCCAGGGTCTGCAAGGTAGGAAATAAATAAATTAACAAGATATTAAAATAAAAAATAATAAATAAAGTAAAAAACATAAAAAATGTATTTTATGAAAATATATATAAGAAATATAAATATATAAAAACGGTGGGTAAAAGTAAATAAATATTAATAAAATTATATTAAAATTATTAAAGTAATGAATTTAAAAAAAAGTAAAGAAAAAATATTTAATAAAATTCCAACAAAGCCTTTACTGTAATTATTTATCTATATATATTCAGAACATACAATTATGAAACTACCCTCGCTTAAGTATAAATATAGATTGCACTCACCTTTTCCTTGTACACAGCATCCTCATCGCTATCGTTGGCATTCTCATTCTCATTGACATAGAGGCCAGAGAAGACCTCGATGGTGGCGGGCAGAGCCTCGTCGTCTTTGCCCTCGCCCGTTGCCTGTCGCTTGGGTCGTTTGCCCGTGCAGAGTGGCGCCTCCTGGCAGCTGGGATCCTCCAGAGCGCACAAACGCACGTTGCACTGATAGTACACGGATGTGGTGTACGGAAATTTGTGTGCTGGGAAGGTAACATTGGCAGCCAGACGATCTGCCGTATAGTTAAATTGACCCATGATCTCGTTGTCCATGGGACAGCTGCAGCATAAAGAGAATACATGAGCAATGCGCTACTATTTCTATGCATGCTGGCATGCTGGCATGCGACTTACCCATCTTCGCCCACCAGACGCTGCTCGCCCCAGCCCAAGCCATCACGGACAATGCAATCCGTGACATGCAGGCCGTAAAGTTGCTGCTGATCGATGCTGATGACAATAGTCAGCGGATCGCCAATTTTCACATCGTCGGCTATTTTGTGCTGTTCGTTGTAGATCTTCATGTGGCAGCCGGGCATGGGCAGTTCGTTGTTATCATTCGCATCCGCGTCGTAGACATCATCATCATCTTCCTCCAGCTCATCCAGCTGCTGCTTGTCCAGCGAGCGGCCATAGTCGCGTCTGTCGTGCTCGTCGCTGCGATAGGCTTGTGGCTTATGGACGACCTTATGCTTCTTGGGCTTGACGGCAGCATCGCGACTCATGTAGGCACAGCGCACATGGTAGCCGCGTCCCAGATCCGTTATCAATTTCAAATGCGGCTGCAGCACAATTGTATTAAAGAACTCGATGCCGCCATCGTCCTGAAATGAACAAAAGACAAATGAATAAAATGACTTAGGCAACAAACTTGCAAAAGACTTAGACAACAAACTTGCCGCAGCATGCAAGGCAAGTCTTTGACTGCTCGTTAGCGCTCAAGCATTTCCTCCAGCTACTTTTTTAAATCTCTTCTCTTATAGAATGGTGCTAGCAAAACAAAAGACTTAGGCAACAAACTTGCCCCAGCATGCAATGCAAGTTGAAATCAAACGCTGTCAGCAAATGCCTTAGAAGCCATATGAGCGCAACCAGCATAACACTTCGATTTGCCCCACTGTACATACAATGGGCCTGTTGCAGTGTCTCATTATGCAGGTAGCTTGTAGTTAGAGAGATTCACGCTTCGCTGCCTCTGAAAATTGCCAGCACGAAATTTGATGTGCCACGAGGTCGTCGTCGTTAGATCACGAGCACTTCCTCAAGTCTGCCCATATATGTATTTTTTTCTATTCAGCTTCTTCGCATTTTGTAGAATTGTGCTAAAGCCCGTGCAGCCAAGTGTGAAGCCCGCTCTTATCTACATATCCGCACAAATTAGCAATGTTTGCGTAATGAATTTTCATTTCAGTTTAGTTTAGGTTTTTTCCAAGTTCTTCTTGGTAAACTGAGGCTGAAACTGAAACTGATTGCTGCGTGTTGCCAGTTGCCAGTTGCCTGTTGCTTGTTGTACATCCGCTGCATTGCATCATTGCTCAGCTTCAGCATCCCACTGCCCAGTTGCCCAGCTGCCCCTATATCATTTAATAACATCCACAGCTCCAGGCACATTTACTTAGTTTTTCATTCTTTCTTTCTTTCTTTCACATTCTGTTTTCTACACGCATAACGGTAATTGTGCTTGTGCTAATTTTACAGCCAGCCAGCAATAATAATAACAACAACAAGAAGAAGAATAGCTACAGTATCACATATTCCATACTCGCATACTCCTATTAGAGATGGTCGCGTGACAAAGTCTTTGAAGCACGAGCTTCTATATAGCACATTGCACACTGAATGCTCGCTTAGAACTAGATTCTTAAGCTAGAACCAATGCACCCAAGAACAACAAGATGAAGTAACAATAAGCTCTGAAGCTTTATCTTCCGCTTGATGAACTTTATTGCTGTAGGCCTATGTAGAACTGTGGAATCTATAGACAGATAGATAAAAGACAAACATTTAGACGGACGGTCAGACAACTGGACAGATAGTCAGACGGAAAGACAGATAGACGAACAGCTAAGAGGACAGACAGACAATAGGAAATAAGATCAAGAGGGCAGTTGGACACGCAGTCAGACAGACGAGCGGACCGATAGGCAGACTGCTGCACAGAGATACAGATGAATATCAATTTAGCTATGTTCGAGCTCAACTATGAGTCTAAACATCTACATCTAACCGATTTTTTTATATGAGCACTCGTCTCTCTAGTCGTCTGCAGTACTGGGTCAAGTGTATATAGTATATGGTACAGTCATATATATATATATATACATTCCCTTAAATATATTTCTATATATAGCACATCGTGCTTTGGCACTCACTCATTGGCCCATCTCTAAGCAGCTCTGCAGCCGTCAATTGCTTGCGTGGTAGCTGGCAATTGTATTTGGGTCTCAATGTACGTGCCGCATTCGGAAGTCTTTGAAAATTGGGCCTGTCTACAGATTTGGGCACGGAAATGCTTTGTATTTGTTGAGTAGCTGCGTCGTCACCCAAAGGGGCAAAACGCATAAAAGTCAAAGTTGGAAGCTATTTCCTAGAGAGCTGCAGGGCAAACAAGCAGCGTCAGAACGTCATAAATGTCTGACAGTTATGTGAGCCAGCTCAGTTCCCAGCAGCCAGCGTATGAACGAGAAGAGACAATGGAGGCCAATAAAATGGGCTGTAATAAAATGACATTTAAGATTTGAAGAGCACATAACGGTAGATGCAGCAGACAGCTATTATGTCATAATGACACTTCTGTGCGACAGTTCTTGAACAGGTTTAGAATATTTGAGCAGCAGCGGCAGTTGCTGCTGCTGCTTAGATATGTTAATGTACGATATAAAGAGATGCGCAACTTAGTCGCATCGCTGTAAGATTCATAAATGTCAACGGCACTGCGATAACACATGTTACGTGACTGCGGGCTGCGTGGGCAGCGACCTTCGCTCGAGTCGAACAGCAGCTAAAGTCGATTTCATAAATAAAATATCAATAACAATAAGAGAAACATGTTTACATGGCTTACACACACACACAAACACTTTTTTTTGGCATTTTTCATGGTCGGCCGTTGAACGTTGACCAAATGGCCGCCAACATCGCTGCGAGACTTGAAAGATGCGCTGCGCTCTGCACAGAACAAATCGATTTGCTTTCGCCTGAAGAGCATAAGCGGATTCACACGAAAGACTTAGGCAACAAACTTGCTGCTGCTGTTCACACTATTTGCTGTCTGATTGGAATTTAATTTGGAAAATGTGGCTTATCAATTCTTGCCACGGCTTCCAAGTGCTTTATATTGTTTCTTTTTACTCGCTGCTCACGGCAATTATAATTTAATTATGGCGCTCTTCTCTCTCTCTCTCCCTCTGCCTCTTGCTCGTCTATTATTGACCCTGTGTGGCATAGTTAGGGCAGCTATAAAACAATTAATAAAGAATAGCTTAGATAGTTTTGGTTGACAGACAGACAGATACTCTGTAGGCAGTCCAAATGAGCTTAGCTTAGAACAGCATACAATTATCATATAGTTGAGATATAGTTGATATATAGAAGATCAATGCTGATTGACGAATTGACATGAAGCTGAAGTTTTAGAACAGCTTTCTCTAAAGTTAATATTAAATATTCTCATACTTAGAAGTGTCCAATTAGCACATAAATTCAGGGTATAGGGCTGTGCTGCTGCTACATTTTAGTTAACCTTGGGTGACATTGAAAGAAGTCTTCGAAAAGGGATAAGCTTTGAAATATCTATAAACAAAATTAGTTGACTAAAGCTCTTGAAAACCAGATCAATATCAATTTTAATTTTGATATCGATTATAATCGATTTTTATCGATGTTCATCCATTTTTTGATCTATTAAATGTCCATAGATTTATACCTATTTATAGTAGAATATATACCTATTTAACATTATTCAATACGTTCAGCTTATAAAAGAACAGCTAATGGATAACTCTTGTTAATATTTCTTAAATTAATAAAAAAAATAACTAACATACAAAAACGCACGTTTATAAATAAAATATTCATAGTTTATTTAATTGCGCTTGGCATGCATAACAACAACAACAATAACAGCAACAACAATAACTATATAGCCACGGCAATAACAACAGGGTCGTTGTGGAGCCTCGGTTGGAAGTCAATGGCGTAGCAATGTATTTTTTTCGCGGCAGTTGACACGCGACTTTTTACATAAATAAAAAGTTGATGCCATAAATGTGCAGGCAGCTATCTTAGTACCTGTGTGTGTTATTTTTTTTTTTTCATCATAATTGTATGCAAATGTGCATTGTGCTGAGTTCATCTTTGGCGCTGACGTAAGCAACCAGCATCCTGCCTCAGTCAGCAGCCGCCTGGTCACAAAGATGACATCAACAAAGGAAAAAAACTTCACGTAACTTCACTTGGCTCATATTGATTTTGCACTTCAGTTAAGTTTTTCTCTTTTGAGCTGTCCGTTTTAATTGTTGTTTAATTTACATAGTTATTTATTTAGCGCTGCCCAACACAAAAGGCTGAGGCAACAAGCTTCTGGTGCAGCATACGCGCTAAAAGTCTATGCACATGTCCAGTTGCCACATTGAACGGCAATTATTTCTTCGATTTGTGTCAGGCGAATCGGGCGAAAGGCAAAAGCAACAAATTACAAAACTCTTTGGCTTTGGAAAATTACATTAAAAACAAGAAATGTAACACAATCACAGCATCAAATTTGTGCGTGCGTGTGTATTGGCCATAAATATGTGTGCCTGAGTGCTAATTGAGATTTCAAAATATATATATATCTATCTCTCTATGAGTCTATGAGAGCTTCGTGCGCTCGTAAATCGATGCTATGAGCCAATAAACAAGCCACGCCATATAAGCATCATTTAACATCTAGCCAGCATCTGTATGTATCTGTGCCACAGCCTCCAAGTTAAGCTACAAGCTAAAACATTTATATCACAATTTATGGACCATTTCGGGTTATTTGATATTAGTTTGTGTTTACTGGATATGTCCACACATTTATTATAACTGTAGCTGTTTATGAGTATATATTTAAGTTAATTTGTTTAGTTATATTAAAAAGTTACTTGTGCTAAATCTGGTTTAAGATAAGAGTAAAAATGTTTCACTCAAAGTGGTTTTTGCGATTCCTTTTAACGAGCTAAACGTTTTGAAGTTGAAGAGTTTAAAAAAGGCAGATAGAGAGAGAGAGAGGTAAGAAAGGAAAAGCGAGAGAGATTGGGGATAGAGGTAAGAAAAAGAAAGAGAGACAAATACTAGACAAAGAGCAAAGAGAACAGCGCGAGCCAGAGATAAGCGAGAGAAAAACACAGAAATAGAATGAGAAAGAGATAAACATATAGAAAAAGAGATGAATAGAAAAGGAAATAGTGAGAAACAGAAAGAGAAAGACAGAAAGAGCAAGACAGAGAGATATAGCTCCATCGAAATTAAGAAAAATCAAAGGATAGAAAGATGCAGATACAGATACAAATATAGATACAGCTGCAGATACAGATCTAGATATAGATGCAAACAAAGAGAGAGAGCCAAAAAACACAGTCTCGAATGATAGCTAGTGAGATTACAAAAATATATAGATAGAACAAGCATCATCGCATGTTTGTTCCTTCTCCATACTTCTCCATATATGTGCCCGCCCATTGAGCTGAGCTGAGGCACATCTGAAACTTAGCTTGACCATGTCTGTAGCAATTACTCTGCCCCGATGCCACCTCCCATTCAATTGTCAACTAGTTAATGATGCAGCGTGTCATTAGCTGAATGCCAAAGAGCCACAAGCATTCAGGTGATTCAATCAGTGTGAGTTGTGCCAGCCAAGTTCGGCGGCCAATCAAGTTGGCATATGGATTGGTCACCTTGTAACCAATCTCTGGCAGCTAATGCGCCTTATAAGCAGTTAATGGTTTTCGCACAGCTCAAAAACTCAATTAGCATGTCGCAAAAGGCATGACAGGCGCATAGCGTCTCATAAAATGTTGAGTAAGTCTCGCGTCTTGTGGGCGAATAGATTCTATGAACTGGACGCGACTTACCCGCTCCTTGGGCATCGTGTTGCAGCTGCGCAGCGGCAGTCTGTAGCGCAGCGCACCAATGTGATCTCTGCAAAGAAAATGAAGATGATGAGATATTGATGATGATGATGCCAATCTAAGTGTTATGGCACACACACATACACACACACACTGCCCACCTGTATTCGCTGAGGCAAGAGGAGTTCTTGGACAGGCCTTTCGGATAGATCATGCCGCTGAACAGGCCCGTCTCGTGATTGGGTGGCGCATCTTTGATCGTGATCAGCATTGAGCCCGACTGGCATTGCACTCGTACATTGGGCGCAATGCTGCCTGGCTTGCCAGTGGGCGTGGCATCCTGAGCAGCTGCTTCCGCCTCAGCAGCGGCAATGGCAGCGTTTAGCGTGCCAGGCGCATCCTCTGCAAAACGATGAAGAAGAAGAAGAAGAGGATGGGGGTATTAGCTTATGAAATATTTGCGAATTTACAGTTAGAAAAGAAAAACTACAGTTAGACAATAACAATATCGAAAGACAAAGCGAAAGCCAGAGCCAAAGGCAAAGCTCAAACGCAAGCTGAGGATGCGGCTGAACTCGGGCCATTCGCATAAATCATCAGCGATACACGAATCAGCAAAAGCGAATATTGGCGATTACACGACCAATAGATACCCTGTAGTCATATGAGCATACATATGTGCAGCTTATAACTTATATATAACTAACTTCATATTAATCTAGCCATATTTTTGCCATTAAGATAAAATCTATATGAATTTATATGGCATATGCTGCGGTATCTACTTTATGACTCTTTTAACATATATAAAGTCAAAAGACTTAAGCCCGTTAGCAGTTTGTACAAGGTATATGCGAGAGACAATGGTTTATAAGACGCCCCTGGGAGCAGCAACAACCATTGAAGCTGAAGCTGAAGCTGACTGAACTGCAGCTGGCAACTGCGGAAGCAAAAATGCTGCGACAAACATGAAAACTCTGGCCAAGTTAATGACATTGAAAAGCCATTCAAAGAGCAGCAACAGCAGCAGCAGCTGGCATTAGAGAGATGCCAGTTCCTTGAACTTGTGTGCTGCAGTCAGAACCTTCCGTTGTGGTTGGTAATGGCTGAGCCCAGAAACCAAGTGAACTGACAAGTTACAGGGCTATATATGCTATATACCTAATATGTATCTATATATATATATATATATATATATATATAAGTGTGTGTGTGTGTGCACAACACCTCGCGTGCGATTCGCATTCTTTTTGCACTATTTTTTTTTGCGCTGACTCTAGCTCAGGCATCGCATCTTGTCTGTAAACTTGGCTTAAATGGAGTGGGAGAGAGGGGGCTTCCACTAAGATGGCGTTGCTTCGGTTTAGTTCAACGAACCTTCCAGCAATTCGCATCAGTTAGCTGGCTTCTATGCCTATTCTACAGCACATGCTGCTGGGCAAAGTAATTGCATGCAACTCAAAGCCGGTTTTCTGTTTTCTGTTGCCCCAAAGCTCGGACTGAAAGTCAGCTTTGTTGCTCACTTTGTTGCTGTTGTCAGCGCTTAATGTTCGCTCTTATTATGTATAGTTTGGTAAAATGCAGCCGTGAAATAGAGCAGCTTACACAGAGCCCTTTCTTTATGGCTAAAGAAATTTCTTTTATATAATATTTATTCCAATATAAAGCAAGCTTTTCGGCCTAACTAATTTCGTCAGCATTTTTGACAACAATCACTTCCAATACACTTTTTTTTATTTTAATATTTAACAAATTTGAAGTTTTATTTTTAAGATTTGTTTTAAATGGAAGATTCTTTTATAATCAAAGATGTTAGCGAACAGCCAAGTGCCTCGGACAGCTCTGCCACAGTCGCAGCACATTCGAAATCTAGTATGCCAAAGTCTGCGGGTCTCATACAGCTAAGCACCGAGACCTCTGAGGCACCCCAACTAGAGCTGCTGTGGGATCAGTCAACGCTGCTAGAGCCGGACTCTGAGGATGACTTGCGCAGGCTGAAGTCGGGCGTGGACCTTAAACCGAAGCTGTCCAATAGCACCACTAACTCTATAGATAAGTTAGAACTGGATGAGCGCATTAAGCGGAAATTTCAATATTTAGAGAAACCGAATCAGAGCTCAAGTGACACATCGGACTTGGATGAGAAGGTATAGACTATATATATATACTCATATAACTATATTTGCTAATTCGCACGCCTCTGCCTGCAATCTTAGTTAAGCTCTCAGTCTAGCTCCGATATTAAGACGGCAGAACCTTTCCTCAAGCAATACAACAAGTCAACCTCGCTGCCATATAGCAGTGATGATTCGAATGACTCAGGGAAAACGTATATGTCTTGTCTGGATAGGTAAGATCATCTCTCTTTTCATATATATTTTCTCATCTCTTTCTTATTTTTCTCATCCTTTTTAAATTACTCTTCTCTTTTCATATTTCTTCTCATTTCTCGGCTCTTCTCATCACTCATATCTCATCTCGTATCTCTTTTATCGCCCATCAATTCTCTGAAAGAGAACAGTCACATCGTAGTCATTTCTTTTCTATTCACTTCTCTTTTCCTCTCTTCTCATCTAAATGCTATTCTCTTCTCTCTATTCTTCTCATCTCTCTTTTCTCTCCTGTTCCCAATTAGTCGTTTGGCCACTAATGAGAGGCTTCCATTAGATGAGGCTTACAGTCTGATAGGAAAAATTGATATGAGCGCGGATATAAAAGACGCCATCGGGCAGCCAGTGCGACCTTCAATTCGAGGTCAGCTGCTGCGTTTACTGCAGGATGGTAAGAAGTGGGATCTTAAGGTGTATGTGGGGGAGTTTAAGTTCTATTGTTTTCTGGGCGTGCTGCAAGCCTATTCTCCCTACTTTAACCGCCCCAAAATGGAAGATACTTATGTGGTCCGATTGCCATCGCATAGGGTCACCGCGCAGGCTTTTCACATCATCTACAATTGGATGCTGTACGATGACGATGTAGCGTTAAAGCGCAAACGCTACAGCAATCGCTGCCTGATGGAGATCTATAGTTCGGCCAAATTTCTATCCATATCGGAGATAGTCGATGCCGTTTGGAATACTCTGGATGTTATCAAGAATGAGAACGAGGCTTTCACACTGCTGCCCGACATGAACTATATGGACTTGACGACCTTTGAGTTTCTCTGCTTCGCACGCATCAGTCGCTTCTTTTTGACCCTTGTCGCATCCCAGGAGTTTATTGAGATGAACTTAAACTACGTCACCCGCCTGCTTTCAAGTCACAATGTCGGCGTCAACAGTGAGATTGAAGTAAGTTATTCTGCTTTTGCTTGTGATCCTACTCCTGCTCCTGCTCCTACTCCTGTTCCTACTCCTACTCCGGCTCTATATTTCTACTTTAAGATCTGTTCGTACTCATATTTCTACTCGACACCCCTTCCTCTTCCAGACCCTTATCCTACTACGCCATTAACATTTGCATATTTCTCTCGCAGATCTTCTATTCGGCTCTGCGTTGGCTCAGCCACGATTGGCCTCAACGTCTTTCAAATGTGCCCCAGCTAATGAGATGCGTTCGTTTTGGGCTTCTCTCACCGATATTTTTACGTTTTCTCCAAAACAAGCATAGCACGCGTGTAATGCAGTACATCGCCAATAGTTCAGAAGTGCAGGAGATGATCAACAAAGCTTTTGTGTGAGTTCGAGCTCGATTGGCTGCCATCGAGAAGTTCTACTTATGACAATATTCAATTCTAGCTATGCATCCGCTGAGCTCTATTGCAAGGATCCGCAGCAAATTTTGCCCTTTCAGCTGCCCGAGTATGAAGTGCCGGAACAACGGCGTTGGCTCTTTGACGAAAACTGCTCCTATCATCATGACCTCAAGTGTAGTCAACGTCAGTTCATTACCTATGAACAGTTCCTCAACTATCTGAAGAGTCTGCATGAAACAGGACCTGATTACTGGCGCAGCTTAGTCTATATAGTGGAGCCAATCCAGTGCTGCACACGGCACACATCTGAATGAACCAAACACGTATTTTTATATATATACATATCTATAGATACACAGACCTCCACTGTGTGGCTGGCCAGGCGGAAGTATGTCGCAATATTTGGCCAGTCAAGTCTTTCAAGTTGGATTTCATCGCTTTCTAATAAGACAGCTAAATGCGACATGAATTGACTTTTGCTTTGCCCTCCCTCAGCTCTTTGTTTAATGTTTAATGGTCGCTGCTGCTGCTGTTGTTGTTGTTGTTGTTGGTCAGGTAAACGTAAGGCCAACAACACCTTCGCTTTTGCAATTGCAGTTGCAGTTGCGAGATCTGTCAACAGGATAAGCAACTGCTGCTGATAGTTGAATTCCCGCTTCAAATTTGGGCAATATCTATGGTGACTCATAGAACACTGAGATCATCTTCTATATAGATCATCTATAATACATTTGAACTTAATTGTTTTTTTTTTCTAAATAATTTTTTATATTTTTTTTTGATATATTTATTTTTATATTATTTATTTTTTAATAATATATATTATTTATATTTTCTTTTATAATTCATTTTTTTATAATTAATTTTTTTTGAGTATTTTTTATATGCAGTATTTTATATGTATAATATAATATTTAATACATAATATATAAATATTATTTTATTAAAAAAAACATGCATTAAATAAAATATAATTAAATTGCAAAATCTATAAATATAAGCAAAAATGTTTGCTAATTTCACTGTCATTTATAACTATTGAAATCACAACTAGTTATTTAAAGAAGTTAAATTTACTTACTCTCTGGCGTTGGAATTTGTGCGCCGTGTGTCGTTAGAGCTGCGAGTGTCTGCAATAGAAAGTGGATAGAAATTAGAAGAATGTTCATTAGCTAGACGAGCAGGGTCAGACGGCCATAAAGCTGTTGACATAAATCACGATCGAGCCGACATTAATGCCACACTAATCTATGCGACTCTGCAGGCAGCAGAGCTAAGCTCCTTTAATTAAAATGGAAATGCAAAGAAATGCGCCTAGATTTTCGTGCAGTCAATGACAGTCAAGGAGGGAGAGGGGGGCTATATGTATATATAGGCAACATTATTCTCACGATTCTAAAGGCGCAAATGCAGCCAAAAAAAAAAATAAACTTTCGCCAACAACAGCTCGCGCCAGGTTAGAGTTGAAATTCAAACTGTGCCTCCTCGAGTGGCGACTGAGACAGCGACAGAGACTGAGCCAAGCCGGCTTAAAATCTAGGCATGATAAAGCTTGCAGCTTGCAGCTTGCCGCTTGGAGTTTGTGCTACTTTTGGCAACTTGGCACGGCATCAATGGGCGACGAGGATGAGGAGTGCAGCACAGCGCTGTTGCCGGGCTCATATTCAGGTTAATCTCACAGGCCAGCCAATTGTCATTCACAGCCTCTGGACTCTGATTGATGTGTTTAGCCAATTTTTCTCTTTTTTCTCTTTTTTTAGGGAATGAGGTCAGGCAGCGACTGCTTGAAGCTCGTCCAATAAAAGTGATATATAGGGTTGTTCTTAAGAGTATATCGAGCTAGAACATCTGAAGCGGTGCGATGTGATTTATGGGCGAATAAGAACTGAAGTAGCAACCCACATATTTGATAGGTATTTAAATGGTATCAGGGAAGAGCGAGGGTAGATTTGACAATAGATAAAATATAGAAAATAGTTACTTTATTTATATTTTATTATATTTTATTATACTTACGATTAGGTGCAGCGCAGTGCATAGGATTCGAGTGCTTGACTTCATCGTGGGTGCTGCAAAGAGACAACGGAGAGAATTAGAGAAATGGTGAGCAAAGTTTGGTGATTAATTAGAGAAACGAAACACGGGCAAGCCGGTTAACTGACTGTATATATAAATCCGATTACATTATGCAAAAGAAAAAATCATGTTTAATGAATTTTTGATTAGGTGTGTATTTTTCGCTCGAGGCGAAACTTTCAGCTGAGACAGCCCTGGCAATTGGGTCAGTCAGGTTTGCTAGCTGCCACATGTTGCGTGCCCGCCAGAAATGAGGTTAAAATCAGCATAAGAAACACACAGGAAGCCAAGCAACATAACGGTAAAGGCGCAACGAGAGGGCTCCTCTGAAGCAAGCAGCGAGCAAAACCAAAAACGGGTATTAAACACATATCAATAACCAAATGGGGCACATGATAAACAGTTTTCATCTGCACACAGCTTCCTGCATGCATAAAGTGCTGTGAGAAGACATGAAAGTCAAGTCATGGTCAGGAAGAAGCAACAAGTTTCGTTGTTGTTGTTGTTGTTGTTGTTGTTACAGCATGATCGTTATCGAGAGTCAAAACAACATGCAGCTTACATAGGCAGGCCAAGCACATATGATAAAAGCCGCCAGAGACTTCTGTTTGCTCTCCGAGATGATGTCACAAGACAAACAGATAGACAGCGACAAACAGACAGACGGACGGCCGGACGTACACACTCACCCATTGATTGCAGCTGTCTATTATTCCCGGTGCTATAATCGCTATGGGATTATTAATAAATGGAAATTGGGTCAAGCGATATCGTCAGCGCGCGTTGATAAATGGTTAGCATTATCCAACCAAATATATATGTATTTGTCAATGCCAGGCCCACACAAAAACGAGACAATGAGAGAGAGATGGAGAAAGAGCGAGTGATCTTCCGATCGCAGCTAACCGCGTGGCTTCACTCACAGCTTTCAACTGACAGCCGTCCAATGCAAAAAGTTAACTAATACTAACAACAACAGCAGCAGCAGCAGCAACAACAAATAGACAATACTCGCATTGCAATAAATTAGCTAAAATTAGACGCATGACGTAAACCCATTTAGCGGCTAAGCGCAAAAATGTCACCAATTGAGCTTTGCTCAAAAAAAAAAAAAACAGTCAACAGCTGCTTCAGTCTAAAAAAGCGCAGCTCATGCATTCGAAACAGCAGCAGCTGAGGAAAAAATTATATATATAGGGCAAATATTAGATACTCTGTTGAAACTTAAGCTGCAATAAATAAATCATAATTTAAATAAGTTAATAATTGAATTATAACTATTTAAGCAGAAGGCCTTAAACTATTTTCAATTTAAGCAAATTAAAGTTTAAATATTTATATATCTTATTTTGCTGTTTACAAATAATTCATATACAAGATCTTTTAACAGGATTTCTCAGAAGAAAATCTTAGTTTGTTAGGTGGCTATCATTTCCATTAAAAAAAATATATAGAAATATTTATATAGAAATATTTAAAAAATATATACAATTTAAAGCTTTTGTTTGGCATATTTTTTTAATAATTTATTTCTAATATATTATTATTCTTTTTTTTTTATTATTTCTTATTATATATGACTTTCCAAAGAAACCTGAACTCATTCATGCCCTATGGCAATATCCCAATAACCGCTGCAAGCTTAAACAAACAAACACAAACGTTAAATAGAAAAAAAAGGAGAGAAAAACTTGGTGCGCATGGCGCTCAACGGAAATTATGAATAATGAACTCTGATTGGCATCTGCTCTCGTTACCCAGTTTCGAGAGTTTGCAAACAACCAAAAAAAAATCAAAAAAATTGGCAATAAACCCAATGAAATGGGTTCAAAACTGACCTTCGAATCGGGTACAGCTCGATAAGCAGGAAATTGCATAGAAACCTTATTTAATTTATATACTGAAAATTAATTTCAGCTATGCTAATTAAGCTAATTCACAGTTTTGATAGCATTGGCAAAATATTGATTTGATAAGGAAAATGTTTTAAAATTTGGGTTTGTTTTTATTTTAATAAAGCTAGTTTTATACGTGTAACATTTATATGCATATATGCTTTTATTTAAAAACATGAAGCTACCAAATTCAAAGACTTTTAATAATTTGGCTACTCAAAATTATTTTTAAAATATTTTTTTGCACATTTATTTTTAATAGAGAATTATATTAAGAAGGCCTTATAAGTCACTAGCAGCTATAGCTATAGCTTTAGCTATACTTCTTAGATAATATTACATTCACATCTTACATATATATTATATAGTTTTATTTGAAACTTCAAGCATTTTCAATTGATGATCATCAATGCGAATGCGTGCGTGCATTCAGCTGTAACGGATATTTTTATGTGACTGTCAAGTGTCGAATTCGTTTGACACACATTCCGTAACAGCAACCGCAAACAACAACAACAGCAACAGCAACAAATACAAAAAACCTTTAAGCCAAAACAAATATGTATAGAAAAAAAGCCGACAAATGGGCCGTGCAACTGAATAAATTAAGCGAGCTGCGAGCTGCGCGCTGCGCGCTGTGAGCTGTGAGCTGTGAGCAGCGCGTGTAAAAAGCAAAACAAAAACTAAACAAAATTAAATAACAGAAAAAGACAAAAAGCGCTAAGCAAACATATTTGCCTAAACAATTGCATTTTCATTTACGAGCGCAACTAGACGTATACGTAATGTGGCGACTAAATGACCTCGCGTGCTGCTGTTTCATTGTAGCAAAGCTGCCAGCCATAAACATATGCAAAACCCCATTTTTTCATAGTTTTTAAGTTTTTCGAACATTTTTGAGGCATGCTTAATTTTTAAAGCTTTCTGCTCGAGCGATATTGAAAGGAACAAACTGTAAAATCGCTTGGTTAAAAAGCGCGTAACTATGCGTAAAACTGTGCTAATTGGGAGCGAGAGAGATAGTAATAGATGCTGTTAGTGAGATAAGAGAACTTATTTCATGGCGCCTGTTAATCCACGCACTATCGATTTGCGGCATCTGTGCCACATTTGATTGAACAAATTATGTTGTTGTTCCACATCAATCAAAAGACTTAAGACACAAACTTAGCTCGCAAAAGACTGCAGAGACAAACCTGGAACAGCGCGATTATATCGACTTCATTAGAATGAGGCGACGCTCACAATTAGAACCAACACAAGAAACACGGCCATGCAAATTGCCACAGGCAAATACCAAAAAGAAGTGTGTTAAGCACACACGCACACACTTGTACGCACACACACACACACACAGCGCGCCTAACCACAAATGTTTGACCTATTTGAAATGAGCCACAGACTAGAGAAGAAGCAGAAGAAACAAATACAAAATAGAAATAAAAATCGAAACGAACAACGACAAAGACCAAGATTCTAACAGCTAACAACT